CCTAGTCAAAGACGCTTTATAGTAAAATCGTAAGCCCTGTCACTACAATTTTGTGTAACAAGACCCCTGTTTGACGGCGCCAAGGTAAAGATTACCTCCAACCGAGAAGAAAGGGGGCAGTTTTCACAAGTTTGCCCTGGGAACGAAACACCATTATTTACACGATCAGAGCTTCTATTAAGGTTTCGCACAAAGAAATCTGAATGCGTGATTCATTCTGTTCCTTTTATTACCTCTCTGCCTGTTTAACCAGTATGTGGGAAGAAGAAGTCCATGGTATATTGCAGTCAACTCTTGGTGAACTTTGATCAAATCACCTTTGCCAATAATGTAACACCACACTTCCGCTTAATTCGTCACTCACACACATTAATTCATTTTGCGTCATGAGCTAAGGTCACCAGTGTCTTCAGAGGCAAAGGGACGTCTAAGCATATAAGACTAATCATGACACAATAAAATAATAGGCTAAAAATGAAATACGAAATCATGACGCCTTTTTACCATAGCGCAAGGTCAATTTGACTGTTCCCTGCCTCAAAACAATGTTGATTAATGAGGCCATGTTTTCGTTCAGCTGTTTCGTAACACCTTCGTGAGTCTTTCGGGCTCTGCGATTTGCGCAGCTTCCAACGAAAGTTTCTATTTTTATATTGGAAGATACAAAATTCACTAAAACAAGCTATTTTAAACTTTTTCGTCAGAAACGCCGTCGACAATAAGTATCTCGAACTGCATTAGATGCGAATTGGTTTAAGGTGAGAAATGAACTTTGGCAGCAGTCTTCCTTGCTACTGATACAACAAAGAGGCCCGAAATGATTACATTTGAGGCAAATGAGAGATATTTTTGGAGCTTATCATCTTATCTTGCACAGTCTGTATGTGTCTATTTTCTCACCGAAACAAAATTACATTTGAAAATTGAATTTGCGTAGTTTAATCTGTTTAAATTATTGTAATCCGACGGAGTTCTGACAATAGTTTGATCACATAATTTAAAAGCACTCAGTACCTTTTTTAAAATATTTTCTTTCTTGCCTAAGAGTAAGATTCTATTTTTACACAAACAATAAAACCAGGAATAGAAAATAACCCCTGAAGTCTAAGAATGTCAAGAGACGGGGGTCATCAAACAGTTACCCGCTAAATTTCAAAGTTTCTTTCCCCTTTTTCAACCAAAACACGCAGATTGTAATTTTATTACAAATTGGAGTTCTGCCGGAACTATTTTTCATGCTCGAAAAGATTGGAAATTTAGCACCACTTGAAGACAGAACGGAACGCTTTTGTAAGAACAATTTCAGGCACAATATCCCACATACCAAACTGTGTTCGTGACCTATGTAGATATTTTCATGCGGTTCTGCCCTGTTTCCGGGCGGATGCCATTGACTGACCTCATTGTACCTTGGACTGTCGCGTAAACAAACTTAACTTTCTAGCATTAAAAACGTGACGAGTGCACGAAAAATTATTTAAGCCGTCAACACGGATAATTTCATGCGTGTATCTATACACGTTCCCATGAAGCTACGAGCTGAAGACAACGACAATCAAATTTAAAAGCAAAACCGAGCAGAAGCAGAAATTGTGAATGAGCTTCGGTCGTTTAATTTTTTGCTGCAACAAGGAAACGTTCGGTTTGACATGGGTCACTGTTTGTCGTGCATGTGTAGAGAGAAAAAAGCCCTCTTTCGTCGAGGAGGATGCCTAGAAGATTGGGTTTTCGTAGATTCCGATTTTGAAGACGACGAAGAAACATTTTACCGAGATGAAGCCCTCGACGAAATTCTGTCAGCCTTCGAGGAAGCTCTTTCTTGGCCGAAAGAACAAAACGACTTCCCCAATTCGACGGCCATTGATGCGATGAACGATATGTTCTGCATGGCTTCTTCAGAAATGTCTCGCTTGGCTTCGGGTGATAAATTTACCGAGGCCGATGAAATAGCCGATGCTATCGTAGAACTCTACGACGTTTGGGGAGAGAGTGTCTTTAGCTCTCTGAACGTAACTTTTTTTACGAGAGAAGAGATTTCGCTCAACCGGTTTACCATTAAAGTTGGACAATACTTGAAACCAGAGCCGTTGCAGGAGCGAGAAAATGACATAGCAGTCAAGCTGTATTTCTTCATTGTTTACGATATGGACCTGGAGAAATATGTTTGCACGTACCACTTGGAATACAGAGATTTTAGTGGCATGACTGCTGGAATTTATTTTCTGAGGCTTAAATGTCGCAGAGGAAGGTTCCAGGTTGCATCTTATGGCGAGAGTTGTCCAGTATACTGGAAGATTCGACAAGATGTTTTGAAAGACTTCTCCAAGAGAAAACGGACTTTTATTTCATTTTAATATAGTTTTGAACCCTCCAAGGATTTGAGATCGAGAATATGCACTGTCATTCACTAGCTGTAGATAGAAGTCTCTCTAAAATCACAGGAAATTTGTGATATTTGGAAAATTTCTACTCTTCCGTGTCTCCCATTTCGAGTAATAAAATCTTCAGTGATCGTTAGTCATATTTTATCCAATTCACAATGAGGAAGTTTTGTAAATAGTGTACGATCTACAAGGAGTGGAAATATTTTTGTGTTTCAGTCTTTGTTTTCGGTGTGTTTGGTAAAGAATAGCAAGCGGAAAACTGAAAACTATGTATTACGGTTCTCATCGCCGCTGTTTCATACCAACTGATCACTATAAACTATGAATAAAACAAACATGACGAAGTTAAGAGTTGACCCATTAGTCCAGAAAGCGAAATCGGAGCTACTGTTTTGCGAAAAATAAACCTCCGAAATGTGTAAAAGATCTAAAATGCTGCCACAGTCTTTCGTTGATTTTTTCAGCCGAACAAGTAAGTCTAGACATTTTCGAAAGGTTCAATTTTTGGTTCAAGTTTGAGCCTTTTACGCCCGCCGCCGGCTGAGATTAACCCGATCCAACTTTCTATTAACTCCGCAATACCTGAGGCGTCCATTATCCCTGCTGCGATTTCAGTCACGATGACAAAAAGTTGTGGGGTTTGGTGACAGTCTGGGACAATTTTATTTACTGTACAAAGCCCTCATTAGTGACCCCGCAGGACGCGCTGTTCTCCGCTCGCGGGAATAGTGAGAACGAGTCGGGGTGAGGTCTACCGGGGGTCTGGCACTAACAATCTGAGCTGGACCCCTTGCAGACCAATAGATCGCCGACTCGACTCGAGCTGGTCAAGGCTTCGTATTTTCCTGCGGGCGAAACGCACGTGCCGAAGCGATAATGAGCAGGACCTACTCGCAGGATATTGTATTTTGTGGAGGACCATTGGGTTATGATGCTTTAACAAACACCTTATTGAAAAATAAGGTGTTTATTAAAGCATTAGAGCTCAGTTCAGTGTGTGCTGCAAGGTGTTGTATGTTTGAAACGGAATGTGTATGGCGACATCTCAATGGGGCATCAATGATTGACAAAAGGACTTGGCAACCTGAGGATTATAACAACGTTCCCTGGAAAAGTCTTTCGGTCTCAAAATTTCTCTGTCATTTTCGAATCCCCCACCTCTCTCTAAAACGTGAAGAGAAAAAACTTGACATGTCAGTAAGGTTGGGAAGGACGTAAGGACCTGCGAAGCGTGCATGACTTTTGTTACTCGATCTAGGTTAGGATTTCAGGCTGTATCTTGGATAATTTAGCCTGAAGTTTTTAAATTCGTCAATCGTAATCAGTTCAGTTCAATCTTTCCCATTCTTGGCCACCTCTGTTCCCTCTCGCTTAGTTGTTACTTCAGTAATTCTTTCGGTTTTTGCAAACCTTGGAAACTGTATAAAAGCAATAAAACTGTAAAATCGTTTTTCAAATTCTCATTCGTTTATTAAGATTGAAACTCTTTTGGCTAAAATCTGACAAAAAAATCTACATATCTATCTACAAAGCTATACAAGTCTTTTTCCCACCCTATATACAACTTATCATTTTGTTTAAGAAACTGAGTCATCCTCTATGTTGGAACTCTATTTAGTGAGATACGAAAACGGAAAATCACAACGATTTTCACTATATTCTCTTATTGTCCACGCGATTGCTTGCTTGAAGCGCTCAAATATATCTGCGGTTTTTCTTTGCTGACTTTCTGATTGGATCTCTGTGAACTCCGCGCTGTAAAAAGACTCGACTCATGAAAAGAATGAACGAAATCGTTTTCCGTCACTCGGGAGTTACGGCGCATGTACAAAGTAATGAATTTTCTACGATTTCCCATTTGTGGACATGGTTTACTTTGAGATTTACCTCAAAGTACTTTTTGATAACTTATGTAAACGATTCTACTTAAGTTGAAAAAGAAAAAAATTGCCTTTCAGGCTGAGTATAAATTATCAACCAACCAACTGCTCAAAGCGACCTGGCTAGAGAAGGAAAACAAACCGACCAAAAACATCCCAGATTTCCTTCGACAATGGGGCTAATTTGGTGATAAACACCAAACGAGAGAGTGAATGAATGAATGAACGTAAAAAGTGTAAAAACAAATAAAGCAAAATTACAAAAATCAGAAATAATCCGATATTTTTTTTTTCGTAAGCTAGCTCAACATGTTTGGAAAACGAGAGAGTAAAACTCTTAAAAATTGGAATAACATCCAGTTTGAGGTACAACGTAAGTACGCGGTAATACGATAAAAACTAAGATTGACGGCACATGATAAGAATAATAAAAATGACTCCTTAGAAACAGGGTAAAACGAAGGGCCTTGACGAGGAACTGTAAAAATTTTGTGAAATACCGGCTACGGAAGGCTCATCTGTATAAAAAAGAAAAAAATCATGACCTAAGAACCAACTGAAGCGAACAAAATCATAAAGCACTGAAACAAGGCAAATTGACATATATATAAGTGCTAAAACATGAGTAAAAGTAGAAAATACATATTTTACCTTTCAAGTTGTACCCAATCTTGAATCAAATCATACCAAAGAATCTATCAAAAAAGCAGAAACAAAATGAAGCATGGATGCTTACCTAAGAGTTATGCTTTACTTTGAGATCTTCAGGGCGCAGTTGTCTCTCTCCTTCACTGAGTAATATTTTAAGAGCCCTCTGAAGAAGAAAAACCCCCATTTCTCTCTTTTTCTTTTGAGGCCAAGATGCTGCCCTTCCGTAATAATCACCTCTTTTCTTGTTTGTTAGTCGTGGAAGGCCTGAAATAAACAACAACAATAAAAACAAAAGAAACATAAATTGAAAAGCTTGAGTACGAGTCTCACCGGGGATTGTGTGTTCCTTTTTTATGCATCGGAAAAAAATTGGGGATGAAAGGACATTAAGATACTAAGGGTGTATTGTTTTTGGTCATCGACTCAAATCCAAAATGGCTGGAGCAGTCTTAGTAGTCCAGGATAACATTTGGCAATCGATTTAACCATGGTTGAAAATACAACGAAATGATAAGTATTTACGGGGATTATTTCAAAATTCGATTAGGATTAATTGACCATTTTAACCGATACTGGGTTATGTAATTTGGATGTGTTCAAAAGACAAGTGACGTTTTCAACCTTTGAACGCCTTTTTCTCAGCTGTCAGTTGCTTTAACAGAGTGTTCGAATCTTTCATTTGGAGCAGTGGCTTGTCATATTGGTTTCAAGATCTTCACCCTGCTACTCAGTGGAATTAATTCCGCCTGAAACAAGTTTAGTCTCCCTCGTGGCCTTTGTGTGATCTTGTCACACAGCGCGTTCAACACAATAATTATTTCAACTGTTAATAAAAACTACTGTCATACAAGTGACTATCAAACACTGAGAACATATTAATTACCTAGTGCATCTATCATGCACGCTTCCCTCGTGTATGCCTCCACCGGAATGACACTCTGAAAGATATGGAGCGACACAACACCAAGCCCAGCTGCCCAAATATCACGGATTTGTTGAATTTTGGGATTTTCCTGTTAAGGCAGAAATGACATAGAGTAATTTCACTAGAGTTTACAAAACAGTCTGGGATTGCATTGATTTTGCTACACGTTAATTGGTTTAGAAAACTCGCGCTACCCTCTTAACCAAAGAGTTGCAATGAGTTGACTACTAGCGTTTTCTGTCCTTGAAGCCCAGCAAAGTGTGTCGGGTTTGAGTTCTCGCTGGATCCATAAGATAATTACCTTGGATGTGATTGGCTGTTGCTCTTCGCGGGTTCAATAGCACTTCAAACCATTGTTCAATAGCGCTGCAAATCCCAGAGAACTCCTGCGAAGGTGCCAGTAACTTACGGCTAAAAATTGCCGATACAATGTTCGAGAAGAGGTGAAGTTTTTTACAATTTGTATTAAGGAAAACGATTCTTCTTTTGATTTATTTGTAACTGCATCGCTGGTTCTGTTACTCAAAACAAAGATGTTATCATTAATTAAAAGCTTTATATCTAATATTGCAATACGCATGGCATCTCTATGTACCTTTGCAGAGTTCATGGCTTCATTAAGATGTGCGTAGGGTCTTGATCGCTTTCCTTTTCCCACGTAGAATATCGCCAAGATAAAGACTCGGAAGACATCCTCAGGGCTCATACTTTTGGATCTCGTTGGTAGATTTTGAGTGACACGCGGATCAATAAGAAGATAATTAAATGAAGATTTTTCAGTCCTATAGAAAGTAAATGTAAGCTATGTGATACTTTAAAGAAATTTGCTAACTGATCTATCAGAGGACATACCTGTACATGACCTCATCCAATTCATTAGCTATTTTTTTTGTTTCGTCATGCATAAAACAATTCAGTTTCATACTGCTGAACGTCTTTTCGATAAAAGATTATGATGGTATATAAAATATGCTTGGAATAAAATAAACAACAATATCAACGACGTTCATATTTACTGTAAATAAGTTCGGACCACATTTTTACATCATCTGTAATCTTATATGAAAAAGAAAAAAAGAAAAAAAAACAGACACTAAACAAAACAGAATTTATTTGTAAAAAAATTGCACTTAGTCCATACAAGAAAGTTACATAGTGTTCCCGATTACATCACTTGAAATTATTGATTACACGAACGACTCACCCCTCCCTCCAATTCTTTTTACAGGTGAATTCTATGCACATAGACTCCTCCTCCTCAAACAAATCTGGCGTTTCTGCTTTCCCCTCCAAATGTCTCCTTAGCTCTGGTAGATACTCACTATAGAGTGATTCCTAAGTAAAAAATAATTGTATTTAGGATACAGTTAACAAATTAATACATACTATGGGAAAACCTAGTTCCCAGTGTCTCTCTTCTTCTTACTACCCTAGAACCAGAGAGAGTGGGGCAAGGGGGGAGAAGGGGGATCACAGGAAGGTAGGTTCACTCATAAGCTAGGTGATCTAGCACTTTGAACCATTTTCCATCAAATGATGTAAAATTAATAGAATCTGAAAGGCCAATCATAACTTGGGAGAATATCACCACAGGCTGATGATAGAACTCGAGGAAAAAACTAGCCAACTACTTGAGGCACAGGACAACTTTGGTGGCCAAGTCACCATAAATTTTAGTTAATTAGTGAATGGTTGAGAAGGGAGCATGAATGTTCTTGGCAATCACAGAGTGAATAAACTTAAGCCAATGTAAACCTGAACTAATTTAAACTCTCAATTGAGAATTCTCAGTGGTTGGCAAACCCACCAGATTTGTTTGTTAGAATTTTTTTAGGCTTTCCAAACCTAAATGACTTTGCTCATCATTTCCTTTGAGATTAAGAACACAACAAACAACAAATTATATTTGCAGAATGTTTTTGTGTTTCAAATAATACGCAAACAAAGAGTAAAAAACTTAACTAAAGTGCTATATATAAACAGTTTGTGGTTTTCAGGTTTGGTTGCATTTCCTGAACTTTATTGCAATTGGTCTGTATAAAAATTTACCTGTCACAATCAAATTGAACTTACCAGTAAAACAACAGAAGTGGTCACATTTTTCTAAATTTTGCAGAAGTGCAGTAGCAACCATTTGTATTGAACTAAATGAAAAACAGAAACTGCAAACTCCTTAGTTCAGAGCACAAAAAGAAATTTTGTGCATGGGAAGGGAGAGATCTTAACACAAGACAGTTACTTTCAACTCAGTTTTATTGTTGATGGCTCTCATGATAAGCCATTGTGACTTAACTTCAACACCAATACTTGATATGTGTACCCACACCCTGGCAGTTCCAAGTTAATATTCCCTGTTACTTTGCTGTGTTAGTTTTTACCTTTGAATCCATTGAGCCACTCTGTAGCTGAGCTAACCGTTTTATATACACATTTCTAGTGCTTGTCATGATTGGACCAGGTATTTCTCCATACTTTTGTAGTTCCATCCTGAGATCATTATTGGAAAGTTTGAAAAGATTCTCTGGCACAGTTATGGATTCATTGATGATAGACTGGTCCAATATTGTGCTGCACTCCTTCCAGTCATAGAATATGGTGCTATTGCCAAAATAAAACTCTGCAGGGTCTTCATTATCTGAATATAAGAGACAAGAGGTTAGTAAGTGAAAAAGGGGAATAGAAAATATGTCTGAGAAGTAACCCTTTAACTCCCACAAGTGACCAAGACAGAATTTCTCCATACAATATCGATACAATATCGAGTAGACAAGTGATGAGAATAAAGAAAAATATCAATTAGGAGATTATTAACTGATCCATCACCAAATTCTCTGTCCAGACTAATATCATAAGAACTGTATAGCAGACAGTAGAGAGTATTATTAATGAGATCTTGAGAGTGAAAGGGTGAGGGCACCATAATTGAAACAAATCTTTCACCATGCAGGGAAATATCAGCAGGTGTATACCAGCACTTTGAAAAGAATGCATCAAATATCCTTTTTTTATTTGCCATGTTATGGAATAATTACCTCTTCAAACCCTCCCAGGAGATTTGGGTTCAAAACAAATGTGACCTTTGATGCTTTTCAGAAAATTATTGTGAACTAGATTGAGTTATGGTCAGAGAGGAGAGGGTAGTGGACATTGTCATAGTCTTTTGCAAAAGCTAGAAGAAGTTAACTAAGATGGCCTCATTGTTCATGCAGATTTTTTTTCATTTGATGTCTTTTAACTTGTACCATAAATTGAAATATGGGAAAAAAGAACTGCAATCTTTTGATATCCAAACAAAACACAATCAATTCTTAACTTATAATATGTACCAACCATGCTCTTCATAACTTGTATGTTCCAGCCACTGCTTTGCACCTTCTTCTACGGTTTCATCACCATCTACAAGACTTAAAAGACCATGTTCAAAGGAATTAGTATAGGTAATAACATGATTTCGAGTGTAATTAGGTGTCAGTAGTAAGCATAACTAAATTTTTCAAAGACAACAAAATTAGAAGAGCCTGTAGGGCTAGTGCCATATAAAGTCCTTCAAAAGTTTACATTAAGTGCTTACGGTATTACACCAAATCGCAAGAGAAATCATGTTCTTACTTGTCAATAATGTACATGAAAAAACATCACAGAAAGTCAAGAGAGATGAAATTTTGAAAGCGAGTGTGCACCATTTGTAATTTACATTGTTTTACAACTTTACACTTGCGTTACATGAGAATGCACTCATTTTCAGCCTATCAGAAGTGTGTAATTTTTCATGTACATTGTTAATGGGGAAATAAAATCAAGTGATGTCTATTAAGGGTACTCTCTCAAAATATTGTTGCAAGTTAGACTACTTACAGCCCCATTAAATGTTGAAAAATAATTTTCAAAAACCCTGGACAGAACACATACCATCCTGGTAATGTGGGAAGGAGCTCATGATTGTAGTTAGAAACCAGGGCATCACTCTTTCTGGCTGCTACTATCAGTTATAGGCTTGACTCAAGAGAGAGTTCTATGTACATGTCAGAGAAATAATTAAAAAAAAATAGTATGCTCTGTGTAAAGCTATGATCATTTTAGGTTAGGGTCATAATAGCCTTAAACCCTTTAACCCCTGAGAATGACCAGCTTCCAATTTCTCCTCACAATATCACCCATGAATCAAACATTAAGGTTGTGAAAATCAAGGAAATGATCACCACCTCATGAAGCTCTTGATTTTTACCCAAATTCTCCTTGTAAGCCTTTCAGGAAATGTGTAGAGGACAGTATGGAGAATATGCATACTGATATTAGGGTGTAAAAGGTTAAAAAGTGAAAAATGGCTGAAGGTACATGTGCATATAAACACCAAAAGTGAATATAACATATATTATACAATTTATACCTGTTACTGGAGATACTTAGTTCAGTAATCTTATCGACCACTGTTTCATCCAAGTCACCTGAAGAAACATCGGCACTAAACCAAGGATGCAAGTTTGGAAATGTAACCACTGTCTGATCGAGCAAACTGTCTTCTGCAATTGCTGTGTAAAACGACTCACTGAATCCACAACTGACTTCACCAACTGGCTGTTCATGTTTCATTCCATCCCATTTTTCTTCAGGAATACAGGTTTTAGATTCGTCCAAGCTTATGTTTGACTCTACTTCTAATATAAATTTGATACACTGTTTTGCACTGGTCCCTTCGGACAAGGAGGCAAAATCCAGAACATTTTGTCCTTCGTCATCTGTTTGATTGAGATCACCTCCATGGTTTATCAATAACTTTAAATTATCCAGCCTTCCCCAGAGAGCAGCAACATGAACAGGTGACATTCCCTCACTAGATCTGACGTTAGGATCTGCAGTCCTCAAACAAACCTCCAAAACCTCTGAAGCTTCCTGATCCTCGTGCCCAGCCAGCAGATGGAGAGCAGTAATACCATCCTCTAATTGATCAGCTCTCGCTCCATTCAAACCGAGCTCCTTAGCAAGACTGCAAACGACAAATGGATGAAAAAGGACCTTACGACTTGTTTGGTACATGTCAATGATATCTTTTTAACAAACCGCGCATTTCGATTGACCAAAAACAATCAGAACAAGAAAAATACCGATGAAAATTCAAAGTTAAAACATGTGTATTGCTTGAAACACAAGAGGTTGCCAAGTTTACTTTTCCCGTGTAATTTGTTTCAATCGTTCATCTGATCGGATGAGAGAGAAGCTTTAAAATGTTCAAACCGATCAAAGAGTACAGGTAAGGAAAAACCGAACAAAGAGTACAGGTAAGGAGAAAGAACTTATACTTTTCGATCTTAAAATTCTCTGTGATCGCATTTACACATAACGGGTGAAAAAGAAATTGCTCATGAGACAAAAAAACGGCAACAAATCACAGGAACACATGATTGTCACATCACATGATTGTCGCTTGGCAGAACATTGCAAAGTTAACTCAGTACAAGACTACATATAGGAGCTGCATTTCCATTAGATCGTTTATGTCGATGAGTTGATAAGTTACTGCAGTCTTCTGCTCCGATCGCTGATATTTATTGCAAATAAGTCAGCTATCGAAGCGATCAAAACAGTCATGCAAACCAACTTCACTTCATGAGCAAACGAGAAATAGATGCATACGTACCTATAATTTTCTGATGCGATGGCCGAAAACAGTTCCTTGTCCATGAAGCTGGTTAAAATCACTGTAGCTACATGGCCCAGACAATCGTAATTCAATCATAAAAATTTAAAAAATGATAAAGATTAAAAGGAAGGTATAAAAAAGAAACAGGCGAAGAAATTATCATGTCTGCTGAAGTTTACGTCGAAATTGGCGCCGAAATATATCCCAGCATTCCATGTAGTTAGAAGTGTCACACAATCGCTTGGACATCACCAAACATATTTGACACTCAATGCTTCAGTATTTCTTATTCCTTTCATCTTCAGATTGATGTATGTAGAGATTTCAATTTGGAATTCATTCTTAAAATTAATCCTGCAACATTTATCACGATTACTCCGTGACATATCATATCTGAAAGAGTTAGAGAGGCTCTCAATACTAGCGTGACGTTATCGTAACGTGACGTGATGTCCAGACTGGGAACAACTTGGAACGCCTGCTGGAGAATGCCGAAGAGGATGAGAGTCACGAGATTTCACAATTCAAAATGTCTATTTTTTCAATTTTTAGCGTAGGTTTGGGGCTTCTCTGTGTTCACATCGGCGCTTTTTCTCCGCCTAAGTATTCTAGATGTATCAGCAAAGATTTTGGACAAGGAGGGACCGTTTGTCTTTGCTCAGAAAATGAGTGCGACTCATTCAGCGAAGGAATTCCTCTTGGAACGGAAGAATATGCAGTTTACACGAGTTCTAAAGCGGGAGAACGTTTTAGTCTTAAGACAGCGAAGTTTGAAAAGAGTTTGACTGTGAAGTCCTCCGTAGAAGATGTCCGTTTGATGGTAAATTCTAGCGTCAGGTTTCAAAAGATTCTCGGGTTTGGGGGTGCATTTACAGGTAAACTGGTGTTATGTAGGATCAGTGAGTGCATATCTTCTAAAGTTATACGAGCTTGGGTGTATTTGGTGGTTTGTTTTAGGAGTTACATCACATTTTTGAAGCAGGGAGATACGTATGGGCAATTACGTGGGAGGATTATTGTGATCTGTAAGATCTGAAGGGTGACCAGCACACTGAATAAACTTGTCCCTTTAAGGCGTAGGTTGACTTTCTTTTAGCCAAAAAATATAAGTTGAATGATCGCAAGCCGAACTATTGGTTTTAAAATATTAAATGCAAAAAAATCCTATCACAGAGAATTAATAGATAAGCCCATGAAAATAAATTTATTTGTGGAGTTCTTGATCTATGCTGGGCACCAGTAAAAAATGATCACAACTCTGACAAAGGCAACTTAAATACCCTACTTAGAATATTGAGTGTTTGCTCACTACAAAAAAAATACAAACAAAAAAGATCTCTGATGAAAATGTTTGTCAGATACTGCAAATTAAAAGAACCTTGTGTCTAGACAGTGACCAATTTAAACCAATCAACATGAGTGTTCCTTACCCCTTTACATCCCAACATCATTATGCATATTCTCCACACTTTTCTCTAGACATTTTGTAGGTTGCTGACAAGGAGAACTTGTTTAACAATCAAGAGCTTCTTTAGTTGGTGATCATTTCCTGTATTCTTGTTACCTTAATGTTTGATTCAGGGGTAATAATGTAGGGAGAAATTAGATGCCAGTCACTCATAGCAGTCAAAGGGTTAAGTTGTGCAAGGAGACATGTTACTGATCAGAATACATTGTGTTGTGTATCAAGCTTTTTAATCTTCTGATGGCTGCATCTTTCAACAATGATTAAAGTAAAGTTATCAGTGTTTTTTCATTGGCTGGGCATGATAGAGGCCAATTAATTCTTCTGTGTCTTCTTACAGATGCTGCCTCAATTAATATTTACAACATCAGCACAGCCTTGAGGCAGAAACTTCTTTCTTCATATTTCTCAGAGGAAGGTATTGAGTATAACATTGGACGTATTCCTATGGCTAGTTGTGATTTTTCTACAAGACCTTACTCCTACAATGATCATGTTGGTGATCTTGAGATGGCCAACTTTAGCTTGGTTGATGAAGATGTAAAATTGAAAATTCCACTGATGTTGACAGCGATGAAGATGAGTAAGAAAAACATCACATTTTTTGGAAGTCCATGGTCTGCACCTGCATGGATGAAAACAAATAACAAGATGACTGGGTTTGGTCAATTAAAGGGCAAGGCAGGAGATAAAAACCACAAAGCATGGGCTTTGTACTTTGCCAAGTTTATTGAGGCATACAAGGAGAAAGGAATAAAGATCTGGGCAGTTACAGCACAAAATGAGCCATCTGATGGATTTATTCCATTGTAAGATAATCATTGTTCTGTGCTCTTTAATAATGGGCAAGCTTTAAAGTTGTGTAGAAGCATGGTTTAAAGTGCATTCTGTGTTGCTAGCAATTATGTTGAAAACTTCTTGCATTGTAGGATAGACTTGTGTTGTTTACAAGGGTTCGTGAGGTAACAATCCAAACCTGTGACCAGACAATTTTGATCTATTTTTACTTCCTTGATAATGATTGATAAAAGGGTAAAAATTTGAGTTCATTCTATTAGAATTTTGTTTCCTCATCTTCTGATGATGAAACCATATCACATATTTTTCTTCCTCTGCATTGAATTTAGTAATACTCTACATATTAAAGATTTTGTTTACGTCAAACACTTACTACAAACTGTAAATACAATCATTAAATGGGGTACAAGAACATGGCTTTGGTGTCATTTCAGAAAAAAAGCCCTATGACCATTGTGAAGTAAATAGCATTTATCTGCGTCAGCATACAAATGTTTAAAAGTAAAATTGATTTTATCTAAAAATTGTTTTCAACATTTTTTTTTTCATTCTAGAGACATTTTCACATCTCATAAAGAAGAAAAATACAAAAGAATTAAACTGGTTGAAATTACTTCAACCCAAATTGATTTGAAACGACAACATCTGCATTTTAGTGCTATAGATGAAAATTAATTTTTATTTTTTATCTTCCTTTCTTCCAGTTTTTCATTTCAGTGTATGGGATACACAGCTGCAATGGAGAGAGATTTTATCAAGGAGGACTTAGGGCCTATGCTATCAGCTCGTGGCCATGCTGATGTGAAGATAATCATGCTTGATGATCAGCGCATGTTTTTGAAGTCATGGGCAAACACCATTCTTACTGATCCAGATGCTGCTAAGTATGTCGCTGGAATTGGTGTTCACTGGTATGAAGATATATTTCTTCCTGCCAAAGCGCTGAGTGACACTCACAACAGGTGATTGCTGTGATCTAGGTTATCTGTTAACCCTTTTACCCCTAAGAATGACTAACATCTAATTTCTCCTTACAATATCACCCCTGAATGCAGTAAGGTCATGAGAATAAAGAAAACTATCAGTAGTAAAAGAGGCTCTTGATTGTTGCACAAATTCTCCTAGTCAGCACCTTAGGGAATGTATAGGGAACAGTATGGAGAATATCTTTACTGATGTTAGGGTGTAAAGGGTTAAATGGGTATTATTACTATTATTATCTTTCAAGCCTTAACACCCTGGCAACAGTATGCAAGTTCTTCCTAATGTTCTCTATACATTAGCTATGGATAATCTATCTGACAATCATGGACGTTTTAACTTGAGTTCCTAATCATTTCCTCTATTTTCATGACCTAAATGTTTTATTCAGATCTGATACTCTTTGGAGAAATCAGATGCTTATCATTCTTAAGATGTAAAGGGTTATTGCATGTTTTAAATTTGAGGAGAGAACACAAAGTGACCTTACAAGGGCTAATGTACGACTCATTGTATTTTTCTTTGGAAGAACGTTTAATACGCCTTTTTGATAAATCATTATCCTCGAAAGAACAATTAGGCTAGGATATAGACATAGACAGGATATAAAAATAACTCTACTTATGCAAACTTCTAGTAGCAATTTTCAGAAAATTTTCCTGGAAAAGGATAGGATTGAAATTGAGGGAACTGAGAATTTACTGGCTAAATTTCAAGATTAAAGTTGACAAAGTTGACTCTAATTTGATTGATAACTTAAGTTGCAAACTTAAAAATGTAAAATGGTAATTACATTAACTTAAAGAAATTGTTTTACTAATATTGTAGAGGAAACTTATTTCTTTTCTCTTTGTCAGGTTTCCTGATTACTTCATTCTTGCTACCGAAGCCTGTATTGATCCCCACCTCTCCAAACCTCCTATAGTCAGCCTGGGGAACTGGGCGAGAGGGAATCGGTACAGCCATAGTATAATTGAGGTTTGTGCTCTGCTTGATCTTATTATAGACACACCTTGGAATCTATGTTTTTTCAGGAAAGGCTCAGATGAGAATGATTAACATTGTGTTTTATATCTGGTTATTCACCATCGTTGCGAGTTTTAATCAAACTATTGAAGAACTGAGCCAGAAAAGATACTTTTTTACAACTTAAATTTGTAGACGCGGTTAATTTTGCTCAGATTTTGCAAGTTTTTTTTCTTTCCCTGGTTTTTTTTGTATGGCCTGACCTTTAATCGCAAAATAGGCGCTGAAAATTCAAAAAAGAAAATACCTCTACCGTTCTTACTATCGCACTGTATTTGGAAAGATATACGTATAACCTATATTATTCTAAACAAAGCCCAGGTCCCAAGGTGATCTACTGATTTGCCATTGATTTTTTTTATCCAATACTGTATGCATAATGAAGTATTGGGCTGTAAGGAAGTCTTGTCTAATACTCGATAGTGACCGACGTTTTGGCAACCTCAGCGTATAAGTCATAATCAAATTTAAGAGAGTAAATGTTAGCCAGTCGAGTGTTATAGGATCCTGTTCGTGGAAATTTTTCTGAATTGAAATTTGCCTCAAGATTGTATTAAGGTATTTCAGCTCTGATTGTTCCGTTTCGATCCATCATTCTGTTTGGTCTGCTGGTTATGAAAAATTCGTTTTCATGGTGCCAGTAGTTGTAGACGTTAATAAGGAAAACCGGTTTTCTAAATTTGGGGCAGAGGGTCATTAATTTTAAGTGAGCTATTCTGCTTTGTAATTGTCACATCATCTTTTCTCTTCGCTCGTTTGTGTTCGCTCGGTGTTATATGTATTATATTAAACCAAAGGGTGTTTGCAGTTCAAAGTTAACTTAGCGGCGCAGCTCCATAGCAGGTCAACAAATGGTTTATCATACCTAAAGTATTAAACTTGTCTCCACAAGAGAAAAATCGCAATTTTCTTTCCCTTCTTTTTAGGAGTAGATACACCTAATTGCCAGTGACGATGTTTCAGAAAAAAGCAGAAAAAAAAGAAAAAAAATCCGGCGTTAGCGTACAATTTTTTTTCTAATTATTGAAATCGCTTGAAATTTCTAAACAACATCTGATACTCTCAAAAAGTTCGAAAGTGGAAATTTTGTGAAAATTTCCTGCTTCCGGGCAGTTATAGCCCGAGAGTAGTTTTAAATGCTAATATAGTAAATAAATCCCTTTTTAGACTTGTTCCTTTTTTGTTATTACAATGTGTTTTTCCTATGACAACGTTATTGCAGGTACCCTATACTGAAAAGGTTTACTTTTCACTTCATGGAAAAAATATTAGTCTTTTATTTACTTGGCTGATTTCCCAATCAACCTTGGAAGGTCGATTTCTAGAAAGTGTCAAGGAAAATTTGAATGCTTCATTTACGGGACACTTTTCATAAAAGAATGGAATCCCTATATTAATATCTACGCCGATACCATCCGTTTTTAAGTCTTTGTTTAGAGACAATTTTAAAAATTTCTATACGATTTTTAATAAAGTATTGTTTTACTAAGAATTTTTTACATTCACAGCAGCTCTTATTTTTTGACTTGATAATAATGTTGACATTTTCTGGACGTGAAAATGTCGTTTTCAAGTTCTTTTGTTTGATTTACTTAATGCTTTCAAAGCAATGTTTTAATCGCGGTTTTTTAATCGACTCAAATGTTCGCAAAAAAAAAAAACCCGCTCCTTAACCTGGAAAATTCACAGAGCAAATAGCTGTTTTTATGAGCATGAAAACATTTATTGACACGCGTTGGTAACTTTCCACTTCACAGAGGAAATAGCTTCTTTTGCAAGTGAGCATGAAAACACTTATTGATACGCGCTGGTAACTTTTCGGCGGATGTGTTTATCGTCTGGAGTCGTTTCCCTTTTTGTTACTTATTCGTCAGATAGAGAGTGATTTAGCGGACTAACTCAAAAATTTGCCTAGCTTCTAAAGAGCGGCTGCGTAGAGCTGGGTCAGTTGGCAGTTGGTACAACCGCCCAACTAATATCTAGGAGGCATGGGTTCGAATCGCGTCGAAGCTTGATTTTTTCTAAGCTTCTTTCTTACAAAGCTGAAATTGCATTTCATCCGCAAGGATGATTTCTTTGTTTGGAAACCATTTTTAATTGATTCCTGAATTTAATCTAACTTTTCGACGTAATATGTGTAATTTTCATTTTAATTTAAGTGGATGATTTGAGAACCACTCATTTCGTTGCAATATTTAGCGGACGGATTGCCACAAAGAAGGGAGTTGACGAAATTTCCTTCGTACGACACTATATTACTTTCAAACGAAGCCATGGACAAGCGATGAAAAAAACAGCTGTCAAATTTTGAGCAAAGATGACAGGTTTATTTGCTGTCGAGAGCAGTTCGGCCTGTCATGTATCACATCTTCCGACGAAGTGTATACATTTTGCAATGTCGCGTATATTGTATAACTCGCAGAGGTTCAGGATACTTAAAGACGTTTTTTTCGTCATTTTTTAATTCTAGCTGTTGCGAGAATATTTATACAAAACTTGTGGTTTCTGGTGCCGCTTGGACAAAAGCTTCAAGGGACCCCTTGTATTTAGTACCCGTCATCCTCTTCTGTCTTTTATAAGAGGTGTGCCGGGGAACAAAAAAAATGCAGCTGCAGAAGAAGCAACTTAAGATGCAAATTGAAATCGCCTTCAACCTAAGGCTGTACCGTCAACTTGAGCAAATATCACTATAACGACGACAGTGACTGGAAGAAAACGAACCTCTGTTGTTTCCATGGAATACCTTCGTTGATCAAACTATTTCGCTGAGGTTGCTTCTTTTTTTTCCCCGAATACGTTATCGAACGGAGTTGCAGACAAAAATATTTCAGGTTGCTTTTTTATGACTGGCATACGTTATCAAGCGGAGTTGCAGAACTGAAAATGGACCAAAACCCGGTGCCTTTTGTAATTAATGCTGCCCTGAACATTCCATTTTGTTTAGTTGCCGTTGCGGGAAATTCGCTGGTTTTAGCTTCGTTTGCTAAGAACCGCTCACTCATTTCACCGTCTAATGTCATTTTAATCGGACTGGCGGTCTCTGATCTTTGTGTGGGCGTAATCGTCCAACCTTTGTACATCGTGTGGAGATTCAACCAATTTTTCTCCAAGGACAACTGGGGAAAAGGAATTCTCGATTCACTTACACTGTTTTTATCGTGTGCTCTGTGTTCTTTCTCATTTTTGACCGTCACCACCCTCAGTGTCGACAGATACTTAGCTTTGCGTCTTCATCTACGTTACAGGGAACTTATAACTGTTCGTCGTGTCTCCTATTTTCTTAGTTTTGCTTGCATGTCTGCGTTTTCCCTCTGCACAATGACCGTATTTCTACCTGCACACGATGAATACATTGCCTCTGTCATGGTGCTCGCTTTCTTCGTGATAAATACTGTAATCTACTTCAAGATTTATTGCGTGGTACGCAGGCATAGGAGGGAGATAACAGAACAACAACAACACCAACCAGAACAACTACACACAAGCAGAATTCCTGTCACAAGATTTGCAAACATTTTACGATTGCGGAATTCATTTCTCGACACGTTTTATGTGTACTTGATTTTTTTGTGCTGTTATCTTCCGTATATCTCCATAGCAATTATATTTCCCGAGTTCAAAACAAACTCTTCGCTTGTTATTGCATTCGAGATTTCTTGGAGTTTGGTTTTCATAAACTCCTCGCTGAATCCTTTGCTATATTCATGGCGGATCAAGGGGGTTCGCGCAACGATGAAAACAATTCTACTAGGATCTTCGAAAAGACAATCAGCTCCGTCCATAAGAAGGGATGCCGGCCATAGTTTTGCCATGTACCATATAAATCATTCTTGTGAAGTTTTGTAAATCAATCTCGTCCAGTTATGTAAGCAATCTGCTGAGTATTGCCATTGTTGTCAAGTGAGGTAGACAAAAGTAATTTTCATTTTCCCAGCTCTACGCAGTGTTTATTTGTACATGTATGACCACGCCACTAGAATTAAACTGTTCTGAAGTACAGATATTATTAAAAATATCCTTTTTTCACTGAAACCGTAAGGTTAGAGTTGAACGGATTCCTGGACTGACGTTACTATGTCTCACCCAGACTTAACGAAAATGAATTTCGTTGCGTGATATTTTCTTCTTTGTCATGTAAATCTTAGAAAAACGAGTATTATATCAATTCTAAAATAAAATAGACACAAAAAAATCTCGAAATAATTGCAAAAGTATAAAGTTTTGGTGAGGGTATGCAAAAGTAATAATAAAATTAGTAATACACGAAGCTTTCGTTAACACAAAACGCATTATTTAACTTTTTAAGTAAGGTATATTATGCTGAAAAAATGTAGATTAAACTCAGTCCTGGTTGAAAATAGGGAATGCTTTATCCACCTCATCTTAGCATTTTGCCTTTAATGTATAAATTGAACCTGTCATTAGTTAACGTGAGAGGTCGTGCTTTTCGGTACTCTTATTTTCACACGTAACAAACTAACATTAATTAAGCTAGCTTTAGAAACTCTTTACATTATCAACTCAGGTGGGAAAACCAAATTATGTCACATAATTAGCATCGCGCTTTCAGGATTGTGAAAACCTCTTTAGTTTCACACTTTTATTTTACAGATGTAACAAACGAACGTTACTGTAGCTTTAGAAACTCTCTGCTGTGGCCAATTTATGTTATCAACACAGTTGATAAAACCAAATTAACAATATCTCACATAATTAGCCTCGCGCTTTGACGTGAATTATAAGCTAAACAATCAAAAAACAAGCAAATAAGCGTAGTCCTTAATTATCTTAATGCTGCGAATCCACGCGAATACTTGTTTTTAAGAAAATCATTCGAATTCACCATCAGTAGGTTACCGCTATCAGAGCCAAGTATTAATTTAGTTTGATTCCAATTATTGCATGCTTTCTATATTTCCCAGAAAAATTGTCAAAACGTTTTATTCTAGCGGACCAGCAAACTCACAATTGCGCATTAGGGGTAAATGTACATTTGCGCGTTGAATACGGTCAGTGCCTTGCCTTTTGGTAAAAAATTCATGCTTGTTTGCAAAGCGCGGCGACAGGATGCTGCTGTAACAATTTTACTTCTGTTGTGAAGTATTAAATATGTACTTTGTTGTCCGTTGGTTTTTTCTGTGTTTTCTATTTGTAAAACAAATGGTAAACAAGCTAAAGGTAAAAAGTTTGTATCTTTTCTGTAGAATATTTTGCATGTGTACTCTCGCAGAATGATTATACTCTGGGGTGGGGGGGGGGGGAGTTTTTTTTGTAGCGGAGCTCGTAGAGCGTAGCCCCATAATTATACAAAATAGTAGTAACCCATCAAGCCGAAAAAATTTGGATGTACGCCCGTACGACCGTACAAGGTGCTACTTTTAACATGCGTGGTCAACTGTACCGCGGGCACAGTGGTCAGTGCACTAGGCTCCGAGTCGGACGACCTGGGTTCTAGTCCTGGCTGGGGCAAGGCGTTGAGACATGCGGGAAAAAAAAATGCGAGCTTCCGCTTTTAGGCTTGGGTAAATATTTATATTATCGGTAAAGGCGGACCAAATCTTGGGGGTTGCAAATCTTCTAAGAAACTGGCACTTGTCTTCATTTGCAGTATGTTTGAACCTTTGCTAACAACGTATGTTTATGGTTGGAGAACACTGGTCACAAAAGACAGTCATTATGACGGCCAGCCCAAGATGTATTTTCGTAGGGTTTCATACGCAACCTCCGTGATTATCTTACATTCCCGCGTGTTGAAGCACACATTTAGAAGTGTGCACTAACCTGATTCACTCTTTTTTTGGAGCCCATCGATCGCCCGCACAAACAGACATATTTAGTTCAAATTCAGTCAGTAAAATTACACTGCTGGAATTCTTACCAATTCTTAATTGAACGGTTTGATACAAGGCCCTATGGAACGGACAAATGTGTCACATGTGACTTCGAAAAAAAAAAAGGGTTGGGGAGGGGGGATTAGGAAGAAAGTGTTGAAATTGCCTTATAAGTGAAAGTGTAAGGTAGGAGGCCAGTTTGCAAACAATTAGTTAGTGAAGATAAACGCTAATTTTTGGTATCTTTTTACTAACCTCGTTCTCTGTCTGAACTTTAAGTTACGGACCGAATTTTTTCCCTGGCTTGGATTTAAGGACAAAGCGCGCGGGCCATAAATCTGAGCGGAACAAACGAGGTTCCGTAACTCACGAGGAAAACGAGGATAGTAAGATTGTCATATTTATTTTATCTCCGAGTTCAAATAGAGGGGAAAGATTAAAGGGACAAATTCAAACAACTTTTTATATTAAGCGCGCCGCACAGTAAAATATGTCCCACTAAATTTACTGATCAAAGCGCACGTATTGACCAAGAGCTACCATGAAGAGAAATAACTGAAGCAACTTTGAGGGGAGTGGACCTATATCACTGCTTATGTTTGATATCAATGTTTCTGATATTGTTCCATGTAACTCTTCAGGACTTGTCCAACTGGGCTGTTGGATGGGTGGACTGGAACATAGCTCTCAACATGAAGGGAGGACCCAACTGGGTGAAGAACTTTGTTGACTCTCCAATTATTGTAGATGCAGAGAAAGGACTTTTCTATAAACAGGTATAAATTTGGTTGCAATTTTTCATTTTCACTCCAAAAGAAATCAGTTTTGAACAAAGTTATGGTCATCTGCTAAGAAAATTGGCTTTTGGGGTAAAGTTGTAGCCAGTGATGAAAATAAAAAATTCTCACGCATGCCCAGTTGTGAAACGGTTAAAAACAAAAGAATTCTAAAATACACTTCACCATACAGTCAGAAGGAAACTATACAAAAATTTACTTTCCATCAATTGCACAGCAGTCAACAGATGGTAATGATGATGATGATGATGATGATGATGATGATGACAATGATGAAAATCAGGGCAATGAAGATAAAACGGACAACGGTCATTCTTGCTAAAAAAAAAGACTACCACAATTATTTGCATTTCTCTGACATATAAATACATATATACATAGATATCTTTTCTGCCCGGATTTTCAGTGCCAGTTACTAATGCTATAATTTCTGGTGATTCTTCTATTCACAGCCAATGTTTTACCATCTGGGCCACTTTAGTAAGTTTGTGCCTCCTGGCTCACAAAGAATTGAGGTTACAGCAAGTGGCAAATCTTCCCTTCAGTTCATTGGTTTTACTACTCCAGCACCATCCATGTCAACAGTAGTTATTATACTCAACAAAGATGACTTTGCAGTTGAATTGCAAATTAATTCTCAAGATGGTACCATCACTGAGACTGTGCCACCATCTTCCATTCAAACTTACATATGGTAGAATTTGGCACAAGAATGAAGATGATATTTTAATCGGTCATACAATAAATTCCTGAATCAAAAATTCTTCAGTTAGAACTGATTGTTCCTATCAAAAAATGCTGTGTGAAAAGGTTAAGAGAAAAAAAATTAATAAAACCCTGCTGTTTCAGGGAATTGGGAAGCTTTAAGACAAAGAGATATGTCCATGAGAGAACTTATTCTGCTTATGCGTTGATTGAAAAAGTAAATTAAAGAATTCTTTGAGGAAAACTGCTAGGGAAAAGAGACTCGTGTAGGGATGTTCAAGCTTTAAAGTTTCATATGCATTAAAAGTTTCTTTAGTGCATAAGAGCATAACATATAGTTTATGAGTGACTTTGCAACTGATTTTTCTATATTCATTTACATTCATAATTTCCCACTGACCAATATCACCACAACCAAGACATGGCTATTAACACTTAGCACACACTGTGATGAATTTGAGCAACTCCATGGCAACATGAATCAGTTACTGTTAAGCCCTAGAACACTCCCTGCATGTCTAAGTTGGAGCGTCTCAGTTACAGGTACTCAGTGTAGTTGTGTCAAATGTCAAGAAGCCAGCAGCTCATCATCCTCATCATGGGGTTCTGACATTTCTGCATCATCATCATCTTCATTGGAGGATAGATCTGATGTATTACTAGCACAAGCAACTTGTTTTGTGTCTTCTCTGTCTCCTTCTTCATTATGTCTGAAGAAAGTCCCTGGAAGAAATAGTTTATAATTTTACTCAAAGTTAATTTAAGAGATACTTGCAAATAGTTGTTGGTAAAAAATACTGGGTGAAGACTTTCAATTGTCATACAAATCATACATATGGAACAAAATCATAAAAAAAATTGAATTTTATAATAAACTGAGATTACTTAACAGTAGCTCATACAGATAATATTTACTGATATTATAATTTCAAAAGAATTTGCTTTGCTATTTAACAAATAAAGAATTAAATGAGGTACAAAATATAACAAAATAAAGAGAAATGAATCAGATCTTGTGTAGACTTTGCTTTATGTGTCAATAAATGGTAAAAATAATCAACATTGATGACCTACTTCTTTGTCTTTCTGTCATAGATTTTATTTCTTGTTGTAACATACTGTCCTTTGAGGCTCTTTCTGCTGGTGTTGGTTCAGACCTTCAACAAAATTAACAATTTATTTTGTGTGATAAAATAATAAGTGATTAATGCCGAACACTTGATACATAACCCTGGTCTGACCCAGTCCTTTCACCCTGACCCTAAGAGTGGCCAGCATCTTATTTCCCTCTGCTGAATCATTCATTAAGAGCACAAGAATAAAGTAAAGGATTGCCAATCTACATGGAAGACGCTTTGATTGTTAAACAAATTCTCCTTGTTTGTACTACAGGAAATGTTTAAAGAATGTATGGAGAATATAGATACTGATGTTGTGGTGTATGGGGTTACCCCTTTAACTCCCAGATCAACTTTGTAATTCTTGTTACTGTCAAGCATACAGTTCTTATAATGGTTGTTCAGATAATTTGGTATTGGATCAACTAATTACCACAAATTTATATTTTTCTTTATTCTCATCATTTATCTGGTTGATATTTTATTGATATTGCAAGGAGAAATTCTGTCGTGGTCACTCATGGGAGTTAAAGGGTTAATGGTCCAGACAGCTAATGATCCAAGGTTTATTTATAAAAACCTATGGGCATACTCTCTCAGTCCAGTGCTAAGCGTCACTTTAGATGTGACTGACACTTACTTTGCTGCTATTTCTTGCACCTCCCCACACTTCTCACACACCCCCGTTTGTTGTGCACATTTAGAACAAACTGTGTGATAAGCATGTTTTATTGTCTTCAGCTCACACCTCACACTGAAAGTAAACATATAAATTTATATATAAATACTGTTTTAGTTGCACACAGTAATTACTAGGATTTTCAATCCACTACTTGACCGATCCTATGATAATGTAAGCATCTATTTCTTATTAATTAAAGGGGGTATGTTTCTAAAGAAACTGTGGTGCTGTGTCAGTGGGAGAGTATAACAGGGTAATTTAGTATTATCAAATGAGTTTATAACATGAATTGGCCACCATAAAGAGTTTCTAAGCTGGCATTTCGAGCGTTAGCCCTTTGTCAGCCCGGCTAAACTTCAGAATACCTGGCCACTTTGGTCCGCCTCACTTACATGTGTCAGGAGGCTTTGAAGATCGAGGCATAACACAATAGACACTATTCTTATTCAATGACATGTAATTGAGTGGCTGGGTATTCTGAAGTTGCTCTGTCAGCCCTTCATCGTTTTGCTCTGACAAAGGGTTAATTCTCTAAACATCAGCTTTGAAACTCTTTACAGTGGGCAATTTACATTATCAACTCAGTTGATAATTTACTAAATTACCCTATTTCCCATCACAGTTACACAACAGCAATTGAAAAGGTACAAATCACTGTCAGTAAATACAAGAGGAAATACAATGCCACGAATGGCTCTTGTTCACTGAGGGATTCATGTTATAAGCTACATGGGTCTCCGTAGCACCATTACTTTTGCCCAAAAATTCACTGTCAGAACGTTTTGCACACCCCATGAAACCGGGGACTGGAATCGCAAACAAAACATTCAACAAATATTTCTCTTGAGACTCCTGATCTGCTAACGAAAGGAAATTTGGTTCAGGTCTAATTTCAAGGGAGATTGGACCCATGTACCACTAACATGATACAGAAAAGTAAGTGAATGCCAAACGAAAATCATTCCTCCAAAAGAAATTGTACATAAAAAGCACTTACCATTTCTTTGGCGCTGTAAGAGGCTTGTATTTTTTGTATTTCTTTCTCCACTCAATGATCTCACGACATCTTACGCAAACTCCACCAACTTTCAAACTATTGATTTGCTTTGTCTTTTTGCTTGTATCATGAAGATTGTTCTTGAAAGCTTTCGTGTTTTGATGTCTCTGGCCCTTTTTTGTGTTATTTCCCTTTTTGGTGCTCATTTCCTGTGATCAATTCACAGAAGTTTATTCCTTATTCCACTTCACAACATTCACGTGTGTTAGATTACCAGCGGTGTTTCTGACAAAGACAACCATCTTACGCATATACGTAGCTTTGAAACAGCTGACCAGTTAAACTCAACATGGCGGACGAAATCCATGAGACCACCTCCAAACTTCTTATTTTCACTGCCCCAAATTTATGCTTTGATTGCATTCAGAAAACGTCAATAGATGAACAGAAAGGTAAGTTTTTCTATTTCTACCTTTGGCCTAGTGCTAACTTAAAATTCCTCTTCCATTCCTCTTTTCGGCTGATAATTTTCTGTGCTTATTTTTGGCCTATTTTTCAATGGAGCTACGCAATTATTTGATGGAGTTTTTGTCACTGTTGTTGATATTGAAGGTGACATTTGTTTCCCTTTGCGCCTCACAGAGGTTCGAGTAAATTCTAGCGATTGCTGGAAGCAGAAAACCTTTAGTTTCAACGAAAACTCAAACGTGGTCTGCGATCGCAAGGTCCACAACAATGGTAACGATGTCGAACTCACTGACGAGAGTGACGTTACGATCGAGTATGACCCACTGGCGATACAGGAATCGGTTTGTTTCTACCTTGAGAGTGAATTTAAGAATGGTGAAAACATTAGCTCCTCCTCGCCTTCTCAGCCGTGTGGATCTGACGCAGAATTTCACATACCTGATGACGAACATGCCTCTTCAAACAGCGATGCTCTTCAGAAAGAATTCGAAGATATACGATCTGCTAGTCAAAAGCTACTTGTCAGTGACAAAGCTGAAAGTTGCAGCAGTTCAAGTGGAGATATTGATCGTGATAGCAGAGGGCTGAAGAGGAAGGCTGAAGAATATCAGAATCTTGATCACATTGATACACATCAACTGACAATGGAAGATATTTATACTCAGGACAAGTACCTTTCTTCAAGTGATAGCTGCAGTCCAGCTAAAAGAGAAGCCAGAATGCGAAGTCCCATATCGATCAGCTGTCGAGGGAGTTTAAATGGTTCATTTCAAAATGACAATAACTCTCACGAGCATGACTCTTCTCCTTGTGTACTGATGGTACCCAGAATCAGTGAGAACCTCACTTTGCTGAGAGACTGTACTGAGGAGAATTCTATCGTAAACATGCTCTTTATTGTTACCCAAGTGAATGACATTCGTGATGTTCAAGTCAAATCAGGTGTGAGTGCTGGCAACTTTGTCGCTCTGTCTTCACTGGTTATTGCTGATGATTCCAAATCTTGTTTTAAGCTTACGTTATGGAGAGAGGCGTCCAGATGGACTGAGAAAATAAATCCAGGTGATTTTGCTGTGGCAACTGCTATCAAGATTGGGAAATGGCGCGATGAATATGTTGGAAAAACAACTTTCAATTCGGGATTTTACAACCTTCATCAGCCTAAAGCAACCCTCTCAAAAGGTTGTTTAAACTTGGTTTCACAAGTACGGCTTAATTCCCTTGTGACGTGGGTTAGATCAGAGCATTCATACCTTCTCACTGGGGGCCATTTAAAGAAAAATGTTGAATTTACAGAAATTACTCATCTTCACAATAATACTTTGGTCCACTTTAGAGGCAAACTGATCAGTGTCCACAGGGCTTCGTCGTCATCAAACACCTATCATTTTGGTGTGCAACAGCTGACCAAGATATCGACAGGTAAGCAGTGGTAGTCTGCAAGATATTTATGTCAATAAGGACTACTGTTAGTAAAAGGTACATCTTGCCAACGGGTCTTTTTGTTTTGTTTTGTTTTGTTTTGTAGCGTTGTTAATAGAGCGTCTGACTGTGGGTGAGAGAAGTGAGTGTTTGTGCCTACCCTCAAAAAATTGTTTCTTTGCAAGCACCGGCCAGCGAGTTGCGAGCAGAATTTTATTAGTGCGCGGACATAACCTCTTTTTCGTCGAACGAGCGCGGGCCTGTGTTGAACGAAATTCGTGTTTGTGTGTGTGTTATTTTCTTGTTTGTGTATTTGTGTATTGTTGTTGTTTGTTTGTTTGTTTACTTCCTTATAAATTTCTTTGTAGCTTCAAGACCTTGATAACCAATGTTTTTTAGCATAACCAAACTACCATGTACTTCTGTAAATCATTAAGTCAAATATATTTTATACTTTTTTCGTCTGTTTTGTTTCCCAGTTCTATCTGACCGCCCAAGCGAGGAAGTAGAGCTGTTTTTGTGGGGAAGACAGGCTGCGTGGGAAAACCAACTGCGAGAAGGATTTGGGCAAATCTGGGAATTCCAGTTCCTTACCGCTAAGTTCAACAGTGACAGTGGCCGCATCACGCTACACTCAACGCCCCGGTCAACAATGTACAAATTGAATCCGCAAGACAAAAATGCCCAATGTATCATGTCACGATTTAACGGAGGCGTCACGGAAATAACTAAATTCGCAAACATACGAGATCTGCTTGAGTCAAAATACACTGGCCTTGCTGAATTTGAAGCTAAGATTTCATCTGTTCGTTTTCACAGTGCAAATGAGGTCATCGTTGTGGACAAAACCGAATCCGCAAGCACTAAACTGTGCAATAAGCTCGACAAAATAGTGTATATTGGCTGCGGGTCTTGCTCGCGTGTTCTTCCGCAAGATCAGAACAGCGTTTACGGTCAGTGTTCGCATTGCGTTGTCACTGATCCTAACTATAAATACACGGTAGGCCATTATTACAAACCGTTGACCTTTTGCCTAAGTGACGGTCATATGTCTGTCGAAGTAGACGCGCTTAACAGCGTCACAACCGGTCTCTTTGGAGATTTTCCTGCCAAGACCTTGTGGCAAAGAACAGCAAATGCGTCGTTACGTGATAACAGTTATTTAGATGGTTTCCTTGAGTGTGTTGGTGCCTTGCTCAAGGGGAATATTTACAAATCGATTGTGGCGTGCCGTATAGAGCTTGACGAAAACAGCTTTGTCGAAAACAGATATTTCACTCTTCGGGAAATCCATTCCTTGTGAGTATTTTCACGAAATTATTGAAATTCGTGATGTACTTGGGAATTCTTTGGCAACTTACCTGACTTTTTTTTTCACGCTTATGCTGCACAAAAAAGGCCTGTGTGAACGAATGAAACTTCTGTTTTCGACAAATCTGTTTTGGAGATCTCGCTATGACTTTGTAGGAAAGAACAGAAAATGCGTCGTAATATGTATGTAGATAATTTCCTTGAGCGTTGGTGTTAATGTCAAGGGGAATTTTGTCAAAGTCTCGATTATTTCGCGGCTCAGAATAGAGAGTCTTTTATTTCTCATTCTTGCCGTAACCTACATTATGCTTCACCTTTCGCAGTTCACGTGTCTCATAACGCAATTTTTTGTTTACAGAAACAACTTCAATAAATCCCTGATATCATGATTTTACCTTTAAATTATTGTTCAGTCATTTGGAAGACAAAAAAAATGCGGGGAAAAAAAACAGTGACTCAGTGGCTTTGGAAAGTTATCGAACTTTTATTCTTAAAATTGTGTTAATTTGCATACGCTTTTCATAAATATTTATTAAATTACTTACTTATTTGCTTTTGTCTTGATTCTTAGTAATTATTGATTCATGACGTTTATCACCTCTTGGTCAACATTCCAACTTAGATACGACGGGTCTGAGGAATTCATCCCTGTCGCGAAAAAATAACTTCCATAAACTCTAAGTTCCCGAGCGATTGATAAACAACGCAATAGATCTTCGCTGACATCAAATGGTATCTTCTGAACAAACAACATGTTGCGCTTGTTCCAGCCTAGAACCCAACGTAAATCGCGAACACTTAACCAACATATTTGCCGCACCCATTTTCCATGGCATTTATAGTTCGCCTCATTTTTGTCTTTGTCAAACCAATCAATAGCACGCATAATAAACGCGGGCTGCAAGCCAATGACACCCCCTGGAACTCCGGGGTGTTGTTGTAAAGAAGAGTAGAAAGTTTCCGGTGGACTCCTTGTATCTGAGAGCCACTCAATAAAATCGCGAGCAGTCTGGTTAAATACGATATACTCCACAAATCCTTTTGTAAGCCCGACGTGGTTTGCACCCTTAAAAAGTGTGATGTTGTAGGGTGGTGGTTTTTTCTTTCGAGATGTCTTGACAGGTTTGTATGCTTTGTGGTCTGAGCCTTGCATTTGTCTTTTGAACTCGTATGCATACTGCGTGCGACGTTTTAAGTCAGGATGGTGAAAGCTTTGAATATTGTTTTTACCGTTTAGCGCGCGTAAGGCGCGCACTAGTTCTCGATTGTTATAAAGAGGGAAATCCTGGCCAACGAGGTTAATCAGATACTTCCAGTCTTTGCCAGTGTTGAGCAAGTCCTCCATACAATTGAACTGCGCGTATAAGATACTGATATGCGGATAAATGACATCGACGCTTTTCTTCGCCAATAGTACATTCGGTAAGCATCGAATCAACTCCGTTGCCGCTGCACAGAAAGTTGGTGTAGACTTCAAGTCAATGTGAATGCAGTATAGGTTTTGAGGCATGTAAATGGCTTGAAGGAGTTTCTCTAAGAGCGAGGCTGATTTGTACACGGAGATCGTGAAAGCTATTGGAAATTCAAGTTCTGACTGAGTAGGTGCAGGGTGGCTAAATTGTTGCTGGACTATGGAGGTACACTCTTTAGTCCTGTATGTTTGGTAAATGATGTCATCATCACTAATCAAAGTTGTATTGCCAAGCTCGATTGAAGGATCACTTTGGATCTTCGCTACACATTTATTCCAGTCTTTTTTCTAAAATCGTGATGAAAAAAACAACAAAAACAAAACAAAACTAGATGTTAGTCATAGTTTTGAAGTGTCTATATACTCTCATGACGTACACATTAAACTTAGTTAAATTTCTTGCCGCCTTATCATATGTTTTTCCATATTAGTGTGTAGAAGTAAACTCTTTCGCTGTCTGTACTCGAGCGTAGTAATCCATTCAACGGGAGCTCATCCCGGTTTCCAAAGCATGAAGCGACCAAGAGAATGACTTCGCGCCCCGGATGGGATGCCTGTTAATCGCAAGTTGACTCCCCCCCCACCCCCCTTAACACCAGCATTTCATCAGGCATCCCTGACAGTTCACCAATACCCATTGTTGGTATCCAACTAGTCTCGAACTCGAGCCCAGACATTTCCCAGCCAAGCGCTTAGTTGTATTTACACGGTAGGATCTGGGTAAGAGATTAGTACCCAACTCATGGTTGACGGGTATTACTTAACTCGACAAGGAAAGGGATAACAGCCGATCGATGTCTACGTTGAATGCTATTGGCTCTGAGGACTGTGGTGTCATAGTCAGGGGATGTGGCAACCGATTTGATTCCTGCTTCTTCCGTGCAAGTAAATCTATTATTTGTGAGGTGAGGGGCGATTGGAAGAGAATTTCCTATCATAGATTTTTTTTAAAAAAAAACTAAATAGTCAGGGGGCTGGCAGTTTGTATGCTGTTTTGGTCTCTTAGTATCCATTCTAGGAGAAAAGGGTAGGTACTGACAGTTGTATGTACATGCTTTTTGAACCTAAATGCAAAAAACACATTTTTTTTTTAAACTCGAAGGTAGCTATGATTTTTAACTTGCATCTAAAAGTGAAATTGACTCGATTGGATTGTAAGCTTTTGTCTTTCTTGTTAAGAGAAACCAAGGAAATATATTGGAGTTGAAGAGTTATACTGACTTACCAATTGATTTTTCTCATGTGAGTTTTTTACTTCTTGTCGAGCAATCCAGAAGGTTAGGACCGTGGATAGGACCAGAAAACAAGAAAGCATTCGAGTCTTAAATTTGCGCCGTCTGATACGAAATGGAAACATTGCCCTTTTCAGGTGAGAATCTGCAGGAAACAAAATGGTTTAAAATAAAACACCAGTCACATTCTGTGTTACTACACATATAAGCATATATAGATGAATATGTGCGCGTTATAAGTATTAAATTTATTATTATTACTACTGTTATTATTCAGCAGTGGTGAAAATAAGGCCTGTACGTGATTTGAACCCACGACCTTCGTGATACTGGTGCATGCAGCGTTAACTTGATTAAATGCAAAGATTTTCATTTGGAGAAACAAAGGGAATCTACGTATGAGTGATTTAATGACGAAATTTTAATTGATTGAAAATATCTCTGTACTTTGTGATAACTTTCCCGATAACTTCTTAATTTTGTTTGTCATAAATATCAAATTTATTATTATCAGTATCACTACCTTGATTAAATGCAAAGATTTACAAATGCAATACATCAACTGGAAACCGTGATTGCATGAGTGAATCTGGTTGCGAGATATTTTTCTCAGTTCGCATCAACTAAGTCAGCCGAAATGGAGCGCGCATATGATGCAGCCTAGCCTGGAATAACCGAAAAATAAAAGCTTTGCTACGCTGTTGAAAGAACAAATACAATCCTTACTTGAAAAATTTTTCAGACGATACTATCGGTAACCAATAAAATGCCTCTATATTGTACATTACATCCAGCCGTATAACTTACAATATTTACATGCATCTGTTCAGAAGAATTACATGCAGGTTGCTATGCTTGTTTTCCATTTGTTGTTCGTTTGTTTTATTTCGTTCGCTCTGTAGTTGTTTTGTTATCGGTCGTGTAGCGAGATGTTCGAACCTCCTCTGGGGAAATCGAGACTTATGAAAAAATTATCAAGAGCAACTGCTTCTCTCAGGACCAGGCATGAACAGATTCTTGAATCGTATATTGTTCAATACAAATAAGTCATCACGTACCGTTTTCCACCATTATCCAAGCTTTCTAACACCTACTCACGCACACAGAATCTTCGGCTGATTCTGCGAATATTTACTTTGAAGTCCTCGATCCTTTTCCTTGAAACTTGATTAACCAATAACTGAACAAATGCCATAATGGTTTTCTTACCAAAAGACTCACCGTCGGAGATCAGAACAAATCAAAAATCTTGATTTTGAAAACTGACCATGGCTTTCAGTTTCGTCTCAGAATTAATTTATTCATTTCTCATTATCAATCTGGCACAGTTATGCAATTGAGCCGTCAAGAAGGTCGGGTTGAAATTTTGAAAACCTAATGGCGAAGGAACTTCAGTCAGTTGTATGACCTGTGCGTCTCGCTTCGTTGGAAGTGTTCCTTTTATGCAAATGTTTAAAAACCATAAGGTCACGAAAAAGTTTCATTTACTCACCCCACTAAGCAAGATGCAATCAGCGGTACTAAACTACTTCCTCACATGTTAAGCAAATCAGACAAAACTCCGACGACTGAAATTAATTATTATTTGAACTCTCATCTGCGAGTGTCGTACGCATCAAAAGAGGCTTATTATTCAACTAGCAGCAGTAGTATTTGGATGTTCCGCATAACTAAGTCTATATCCTAAAAAAAATAGTTGCTATATCGGTGGTTAGATGTTATGCAAATTTGACATTGCCTTTCACGAAAAAGGTACGTTACTGAAGTAAGCCCGATCGCAAACGCCCCTGCCCAGCATCAAAATAGAAATTTACGAATAATTTAGAATTAAAAGGTCGAAAACGATAGAGAAATTTAACAGAATCTGTCCCAACATGCATCCAGCCACTTTTGAGATGATTGCATTCAGAGTTTTTTAGGAAGAAAGGATGTTGAGAAAGCTTGCTGCTCCAACCTTCAAATTCCCCTCGTTTAATTTATTCGAACAACATTATATATGCTGTAGCGATTTACTTTTTTCGCTTTTAATTTTCGAAGGGGTTTGCTTTTTTTCGGTTTTGCCCTCTTTCTGGTTTTGTTTAACCAGAAAAGGGCAACGTAAATGATTGCTGACATTTGGTCAGTTTAAAAAAAAGTGTCGCATGGACCGTATTTTAAAAATTTGCTTCTCCACTTACCAAAATCTAACATCGCTAACGCCCTCGACTGTTATCGATGAATTAAACAGGAAGAATTTGCTTCAAATTGGAAAACATATTCTTCTTGATTCATTGGGTCCAGTACAAAAATATTATATTTGAAAAATTCCGACCGGCTCGTGGACACAGCTGTAAAACAGATCATATCCATGAATGGTAAGTTTTGTGTCATTATGACATACATTCCTGGCATACATACATATTTATCATACATACACAAATATTTATTCAAACTTATATATACAAATGACATACATAAATTCGAAAAGGGAGTTTTGAGGTTAACCCTTTCACAAAAAGGGCAAATTTTTAAAATTATTTTTAAATTTTAGTCGGCCCCATACGATTACATAACCCTTTTCGACCCTGTTCAAATTTTAAAATTGATTCGTCTCCAATCTTAAGTAAATGACTGTTATTTAATCTCTAGGCTGTTTTTTTAACACCACAAAATTGCAGCGATGTTTTAATTAATTTAAAGAGGAAGGAGTTTGTAGGAAGCATATTCAGTAAAATCTTGGAATAACATGAAGTAAGTGCTACCCAAACAATCAAACGGAAACTCGAGACATCTCTTGATTCACTCGCACTCCGTAAATTTTAATTTGAGTCTCCCATCAACGCCAGTCATTAGGTTGTCACTGTCTGACGTGAAGAGCCGTATGTTTACACGATCCTTTAAATAAATTTGCAGGATCAGAGAGGTCACGTGTCTATGCGTAACAAGTTGGAGACACGTCTCACTGATGGAACAGTGATTGGACCGATCATCATCTCCTCAATGAACCAGAAGGATAATAAAAGTCGGTGTCGAAGTTTTATATATAACCATTTTGTGCGCAATCATTGTGGGATAGTTAGTATTCCAAGCTTGCAAATAATCTTTATTCGTATCGTGAAAATTTCCTCATTCGATGATAAAAAGTGTTAAGTTTTTGCGTGGTGAGTTATCTACTAACAAATAGATCTCCAGGTCGTTTTCGTTATGCGCATGCGTATTAAGAACTATGACGCTTTGCTTGAAAAAAGGTAAAAAGGAAATGATACAACGACCCAGGAATTTTTTAAATCGAGCAATGCTTGTGTCAAGTTTGTTTCACTGTTTTTATTTGACCTTTCAGTATCAAAAGACAAAAGAAAAAATATTACTTCTCTCACAATTAATGAAACAGACGAAATAAGGAAACAAAAAAAAAGAAAGCAAACAAGTGTGAGAGAGGGAGGAGAGTGGGGAGGGGAGGGAGAAGAGGGGGAAGGGGAGGGAGGAGAGTGGGGAGGGGAGGGGGAAGCAGGGGCAAAAGGAATTTGATGAAAAAACAAACAAACAAACAAACAAACAAATAGACAAACAAACACTTGTACAAAAACACAAAAAGACAAATGGGAATGAAGAAAACCAAGCAAAGCTACCAAAAACAAAATTCAAAACCAGCCATAAATTGGTCACGCAGCATTTATTTGTTATTTGCTTCTTGGCATAAAAAATAAGACAGTGAAGTCCCAACCATGAACAAAGAAAAACGCTTTGTTTTTCACAAAAAAATAATCATATGTATAATAATTAAATCCCCTATGCCTTCTGCCCATGATTGCTGACATAAACATTAATGAAAGTTTAACACTTATACTTCAAAAATGTATGGAAAATAATCCCTGGAAATAAAGAACATGGAAAATAGTACATTATTTCACATCAACTTTGTTTGTTTTCAAATCTGTTTTCCCCCTTAGTAAGGTCTTTTATTGCTTCTTCAATGTCTTTTATTCTAGATTCAATTAAAATATATTTTACATCTGATCTATTCAAATAGCCATAAGTTATCTGATCATTAGGCTAGCTCCAATAAACTCTCAACTTACCATTTTTAACACTCAGCACATGGTAATTTAAATTAACTATTAATTATACTCTTGCATTAAATACAATTCTCAAGAGGTGCACAATGTAATTTCCTTCGAATATCTTGGTGCAAGGGAGGAAATTAAAGTACCCTCAAAGCTATGGACCCTGATTACACATAAATAAATTGCCAGGAGTAATAAGGCATTATTATTACTATGAATGTTTAACAGATAAGTTGTGATTCTTTACTATGCTGAAGTGCAATGGGTGACTAAATCTTATACAGGGTATTAATATATGTTCAGCTGAACTGTACACACATTTTGAATGGTTATCACTCATAATATATTGGAAGACACACAGAAATGACGTCACCAATAACAACATTTTGCTTCCTTATCAGTCATAAAACAAATAGATTCCATTTTGCCATGGCTCTGTACAGTCTGTAATAGATCATAGAAGACATCACAATGAGATAGACTTGACTGCGCCTCATGTGCCACTGTTGACATCATCTGTGACCTATTACTGAATGGAAATATCACCCCATAGAATTTAATTATTAATTTCATGTTTTGTTTTGCATTTACTTTAACAAATTCAAATTTCGTATAATGTAAGGAGAGGTCTAATGGGAAATATGAAGGCATGAAACTCTGGCATGGAAAAGTTATCATGCCATGTACATATAAATTCTAACATGTGTAACTAACTGAAAGAGCTCCATGCTAGTAAGTAATTAACATGTTTCATGGTTAAGACAAAGTTGTCTAATGATAAATACTTGTATGTTGTGTTTTTACTGTGTAATGAAAACTGTGAAATCTTTCCTTATCTATTTTTTTTTTGTCTTTTTCATTTTTTTTTCCCAGAGTAAAAGAGCATTTGAAGGTAATTGAATATTAAATTTCTCCATATATTTCCCTGAACTCTACTAATGCAGTTAAACAAAATACTTATGGAATAGGAAGAACAATTTAAACATTTATTAGAGTTACTATAATAATATTTATCTTGGTAGTCAGAACCTACATAGCATCAATATTCTAACATTAGTATCAACTTGTTACATAACTAATGCATTCTCCATCAGCGAGTCAGCACTAGCTCTCAATCTTTCTCTAAACTGCCCTGCTAAACTCCTTGCAGCTAAAGTAAGAATTTGTCTTTTGGAAGAACCTAGAAAAGAAAAGAAAAAAAAGAGTTTGATATCACTTATTCTCCAAATAGTAAGGCAAACCAGCCCAAGCCTTTACAGCTGTAACAAATATAAGTGGCGAGTTGTCACAAACTGTCACAAACAGTCACTTGTATTTGGTGAAATCACATTGTTATGTAACATTAGTCACACATTTATAATTTTGTTCCTTAATCCTCAATGTTTGATTCAGGAGTTATACTGTGAGGAGAGATTTGATGCTCGTCACTCTTGGGGATTAGAGAGTTAAGATAACACCACTTTTTAAAAGTGAACAAAAAAGTATAATGGTTGGATTTGGGTGGGGTCAAACAAGCCTCCAATGCAAACTTATCAGCCAAAAAAATTTTAAAATTTTGACTAAAAGTTTTAAAAAATGATTCAAAATAAAGTTCATTCTAACTCAAGGAATGCAGTATGTTTAAAATCAGCTGTACCTGATATTTTAGAATGCCAATCGCCATACTCTTGCCCAGAGCCTAGCATGACCTCCCCAAGAGTAAATGATAGCCCTGACCATCTTAGGTTGTAATTAGATGGGGTGCTTTCCTCTGCTTTCTTGATATAAAAACTTGGAATTTGGACTGATTGAGAGAATGTTTCAAGCTCTGTCTTTGAAGTTGGGTCACTCAGTGCAAGACATGTTAAACCAAACCACCTAGGAAAGAAAAATGTCAACTCAATAAATAAATCTGGACAAAAAAGCAATTTGGCTTGAATCCAAGTTTTTTCTTAACTATTAAAATGGAGTTATTTTAAGAAGCCATTATATCGTTTTGCTTCAACTCCACTTTAAAGTCAACTCCCTTTTTTTGTTTGAACTGGATACAAATAAAGAAGTTTTTGTTGCTGTTAAAATATAGTTTTTATTATGCAAGAAGGTACTTCATGTCACAGATATCATAAATCATTCTCTAGCTGAGAACAATCACTATGACTATAAAGATACATCAAAGGGAGCAGTAACCTACTTGCCAGGTAACAGCTCTGACAACATTTCTTCCACTCCAATGATCACTTGACCTTCCTGCACTTTCTTTCCACGCACTAAACTGGCTATTCTATGCTGTGCTCCCTTCACCCCAGCTGAAAATCCTACAGGAAGGGGAGCAATCCCAGATGTCGAGGAATTTGACTGCACAGTAACATGTTCAAACACTTGACGGAACCCATCCTTTATTGCTTCTATGGCTTCAGTATCAGTGGTTGCAACAGCTAGGCTTATAGACTGTTCTCTTCTGTCTGCTAGCAAAAGTGAAAAAAAATACATAAATATAGATAGATTAACACTAGCTATACATCAGTTGGCCCCATGACCCCTGACAGTGACTAGGATCTAATTTTTCCTTGCAATAAAAGAATTAACCCTGTATCAAACATTGAGGTCATGAGAATAAAGGAAATGATCACCAACATAAAAATCTCTTGACTATTACACAAATTCTCATTATCAGCACCTCAGGAAATGTATAGAGAACAGTCGGGAGAAAATACAAACTGATGTTAAGGTGTAAAGGGTTATGCAAATGAATCAAGAAAAATGGCTGATACTTGTTTTCTTTACACTGCTACATGCAGAGGTGTACATGCATTTTCACGTACTGTAAATTTTCACAATGAAATAACCTTTTCACCCCTAGGAGTGACAAGCACCTAATTTCTCCTCACAGTATCACCTCTGATATCAAAAATAAAGGTTACCAGAATAAAAGATATGATCACTAATGAAATAAGCTCTTGATTGTTAAATTTAAAACAAATTCTCCTGGTAAGCATCATAGAGAACAGTTTGGAGAATATACGCTGTGAAGTAAGGGTGTGAAGGGTTATATGAAAGAACTAATTAGGTAGCATTACTCATGCTTCTTTCCTTTACAGTGCTATAAGTCAAAGTGTATGTTCACATACTGCAAATTATTGGTTTCAAACTGAATTTAAAATAAGATATTTCTGATACATGAATGTGACTGATGTTTACAACACAGCTCTTATAAATGGTGCAGAGGTTCAGTCTTTGGTGCTTTAAATCAACAATTAAAAGAACCTCCCTAAAAATTCAAATCAAGTTACTCACATAAGTAGTCCTCCATTTCTGGGTCAAGTGTTGTGATCACACTTTCAACTGAAGTCTGAAGAAAAATACAGACAAATTATGACAATTTTCAAAATGCTTTCAAGATTTATAACTGATTCTAAAATTATTAATATGAATTCTGCCCTTATGATAGTCTGCTTAAAGCTGGTTTTAAATTTGACTTTTCATCTGTTCTATTGAATAATTTGTTTCCACTGATTCAGGCCACTGCGATGACTTTGTTTTAGTTCAAATGACACTTAATCAAAGAGCATGCAAGAATAACACACTAGTGCTTTGACAGTCAATATCAACCCAACGATATTGATATAACAACAGACTCGCATAATTGTACTGGGTTTAAACCGATGTATGCTTTGGTGCAAAATCTTAAATTAACAAACATCGAAATTTGTCAGATGTTATTCTATAGATCATTACTTTCACATACTGTTGAACCTAATGTGGCTTCATTTTGAAATAATTTTGATCGATTTGGAATTTAACAACGTTGCAAAACGTATGATAAGTGAATTGTTTTCATTCAACATATTTTAACAATACCTTGGTTTTCTCCATAATATTTCTACCAATGTTTTGCGTTGTTTGTAATCCAACCGACATTGCAGTGGACATCCAGCCCCAAACCCCGCTAGTTAAGTCATCATTCCCATCGCCATCCTGGTCAGGAGTTTGCCCCTGGCCTTGCCACGTCGATGATGAATTTGGAGATGATTTACCACTCTTATTTTCCATGAGATCACTTGCTGAAACGTCCGTGCGAATCTTCTGCTGAACGGGGCTCGTTATTTGGGTCACCGAGTGCGAATGAACCGAAGTGACGCCACGTGAACTCGATTTTTTATCCCCAATGGAAACAGGAGAAGTAGAGGTGGACATGGTGCTCGAGGAAGTCGAGTCAATTTTAACGTAACCTTCTTCTTCCAATGCGCTTTCCACTTCTTTCGTAATGTCCATCTCAGGTTAAAGATATCTCAAGTTCCTTTTAACCTTTGATCACGGGTTCTTGATACGAACAAATCGCAAAAAAGTAAAAAATATATTCATCAACAAGCACAAAAGTCAAGAGAATGCCATCAACTATTGATCAGGCTCCATGGCAGAGCCTCGCCTGCAAGTAGAAAATAGTACAGAGGGGAGGGGATGCTCGGGTAAATTTCTCAAAATTCCCGGTAACGTGACGGGCCATAAATTAGTCTCCTTAGTCATATTTAACAGGTTCTGGCACCTTAACCAGTCCATTTTGTTTCTTAAGATGATAGTTTTATTCGGTGATTTTTAATACTCTTGAACACCCCATCTTGAACGAAAACAGAACAGCTTCACGTGCTAGTAAAATTAGGGGACTTCAAAAAACAGCTAGCTCAAAATCCCCGACAAAAGAGGTCACAACAGTTGATAAATTTAAATTTGTGAGTATAATGAGGCACAGATCTTCTTTAAAGATCCAATCTCTTTTTTTCTCTTTTTGATATACATTTCTAAGGTTGGTTTAGATAACCGAGTTGTACCAAACTTGATAAAATTATATTTTATATTTCTTACTGGGTGCGACTTAAATTGATAATATTTTGATCTATTATATGCGGTACTTTAAACGATTGTCTTTAAAAAGCAGGTTTACATCGTACTCTCAACAGATATCAACATGCAGCTACCAGCACCTTACAAACGATTTACTAACGTCATTTTAATTAAGGAAAGAACAGACTATAGCGCTGATCGAAACTGAATAATCACAACCGCTTTACGCTTCTTGCGTTTTTGCGTCCTAGTGAAATGGACCAATCAGCTTTCGGGGACTAGACCAAAAGCAATCGGCACTCGACTCTCATGATTTCTGCTCAAGTTGAAACGATAATCACTAGTACTGCCACTGAAAATCGATCAGATTACGTTCAATAATAGATTTAAAGAAAGTCTCAACCAACCGTCATTGGCAAAATAGCAAGTAAGTTAATAACAAAAACATCAAAAAAATATGTTCAAACTAAAAGTTTTCAACTTTATTTCAATAACCTAATCATCGGGAAAATTATTATAGAAACTTCCCTTTCAATATCGTTCAATATTATAAAAAAAGTTCTTTTTGGGTACAATGCCGCTTATCTTTTTTTGTGATTTTTTCATCTTGAGATTTTTTTATTCCTGTTATTATTATAATAATTATTATTCATTGTTACTTACTTACCAAGTAACTCTTCACACATACATTTTATCTACCCCGGAAAAACCTATCTGATGTCTTTCTCATATCAGCAGTGGAAATAATGCAGATGATTTTTTCCAGTATTCTTGGGCTCAGAAAATGGGGACCAAGTTTCTAAACTCCACAGCTCCAGGGACCAACCCTTTCTCAAAGTTCATTTAAAAGGTCAAGTCTCCAAAATGTCCCATGAATTAAAACACATTTGAATCTGTGGGACATTTCTTGTCCTGCTGGTAGGTTTTGGCTAATCTACATGAAGAGATTTATATTCTCTCTCACCAATTATTTTCAGGAACTAGCTACATCATGGGCCTGAATAGTTAAGTTTAGCGACCTTAACTCTTTGACCCTTGACCCTTGAAAGAGACAAACATCTAATATCTCTTTAAAATATCACCCCTGAATCAAACATAAAGGTATAAGGGAAATTATCACTAACTAAAGAAGCTCTTGGTTGTCAAACAAATTCCCCTTGTCAGCACCCGAGGAAATATATAGAGAACAGTATGGAGAATATGTATGCTGATGTTATTATTGTGCAAAGATTTACCAAATATAAGTCTGAATTGCAAAAGATGGAATAATTTCACTGATGATTGCTCCCTTTTTATCAGTGATGTCAAAGGTAACATTTCTGCCTTCGGTGTTTTGTATCACCATAACAGTGTTGCCCTCTGGTGTGACAAAGCCAATAAACTCCAAGGAAGTTTCTACAGAGCTGTTTACTTCAATTCTGTGAGAACCTGGTGGAACGAATTTGCTGAAGTGGCCAAGATGATAAAACATTGGCTGCAAAAGATTGGACAAAATCATGTCATAAACTGATTGGAATCTCAGAGTACCTGACAATGCTAAAAAAAAATATCCTGTAGTTGATGTGAGTTTTATACAGTAAATTTGTTACATAATTAGGGCCAATATAGATGTTTAGATTATAACTCTTTAAGTCTTGCTGTGATTAAAATGAAACTTCTTCCAAACATATCCATATATTATCAAGCAAACAAGAGATGAGAATATGCAATCTTGTCTGGTATAAGTTGTCATCTTGATCTAACACCAAATTATTGTAACTAGGGAGAATTAAAAAATCTCATCTTGGGAGTTAAAGGATTAGCTAAATCAAGTACAATCAAGGAACACTAAACATTAAAGAAGAATAAAAAAAAGTTAAAAATAAAAGGAGAGGCTTTCAGATACCCCTGGTTGCCTCTTCTTTTAAAGGCTCAATTAACATTGATTCTATGACAACTTTACAACTTTGCTGAAACAGAAGTGGAAGTAGATGAAGAGCTGAGACTGTCATGTTAAGTGGATTATACCTGTTTGTAGAAGGCTTTATTTTCTGCATCTACAATAATTGGGGAATCAACAAAGTTCTTCACCCAGTTAGGTCCTCCTTGCAAATTAAGAGCTATGTTCCAATCCACCCATCCACTTGACCAGTGGGATAAATTCTGAAGATTTAAAAGAACTAATGTCATGTCACCCACTGAAAATATGATGGCAGCAACAGAGTGTCAGTAACTGTCTGTTTTGAAAGATGATGATGTTAGGAAGCCTAGTTTGGTTTGAAATAAAGAAGAATCTCTATTCAGATTACAATCCCAGGGGGAACTCCCAGGTATAGGAGAAGCATCTTTTAAACAGGGCTCCCATCGGTAAAGACTACAGATACAAAGGCTAAAGGAGTATTTTTCAGGCACAAAAAACAATTGCAGAGGTGTATCTCTAATAGAAGTGTCCTTTCAATATAGTTAAAAGATCTAAACTATAAGGTTATGAGAGCATCTTTCAGTTGGGAACTTACAAGGCTTAATTTCCATAGAGTTTGAGATAAAAATAAAGGGAGCTCTCCGCACTTTGAGAGGCTAATCTTATTTTCTTCATATTTCTTTTCTTCTAATTATTATTTTGATTATTTTAACATTTCTTTGCTCTGAATATAATGGTAACTGTATAAGATATGAAATCACCTTAATGATGCTATGTGTATAATCACTTCCTCTAGACCACTGACCAAGGTGAACTCCTCTCTCACTAGGGGGTCCTGTCCAGCCAGTACACGCTTCCGTGTTTAGAATAAAGTGGTTGGGAAATCTATACAGTGAAACCAATTCAGCTACTTTGAGTAGACAATCACAATAGTAAATGATATATAGTCATTTAAGTTTGCATTGTGTATTCTCTTCCAAACCTCCACTTTACTTTATAATAAAGTGACATTATATGTGATACTTTACCCTACTAAATGTGCATAACAATTCTTGTCATCCTTGTTACAACTAAATTTAGCTGCATATCTTCTTTAATCCATGCTTAGTGACTGAAAACACCCACCTGTGTTTAGTACTAGCACATGCACAGTATCAGCTAAGTTTAATATTAAACACAATATTCAGGTCTGGATACTGTCCAGTAAAAATAATATTATATTCAGTGAGGTGAGCACATTAACGAGTAAGATAATAATTGTACTTATTTCTAACTGACTGTGTTGTTCACTATAATGAGGTAGAGGATAGCTATTAACTGCCAATGAAAATAAGAGTAAAATAATAAAATAACGTCAAGCAAAATTTATGCTGACATACTTTTTGTGCGTTGCAGATAATGCATCAGGTGAGGTATCATTCTCATTATACCAATGAACTGCAATGCCAGAAACATATTCAAGTGTTTCCTTATCTCCAAGGATGGTATCAGCCCATGGCTCAACATACATCCGGTTATCGTCAACCATCATTAGTTTTACATCAGAGTAGCCAAACTTCTCCAAGGTTGGACCTAGGTCCTCTTTGATGAAATCTCTCTCCATCTCCTTTGTGTAACCCATTGTTTGAAAGGCATACCTTCAAGTAAAAGTTGACCAGTGAAATAGCACACAAATTTTCTAAACATTTTCTTGGAGGGCTGAGGCAATTAATCAAATACCATTTTAAAACAACCTCTCTACGTGAACAAACTGTTCAATAGTAAAATATAATTTGAGACTATGGTAACATTGAGAAACCTACATAGATAATTTAAGATACCCTCATCGGAGTTTTCTTCCTGACAAACCACTCCCAGTCTGAAACATCAACTGGTGAAGATTACTGTGGCTAAAATTATCCTTATTGAAAGACATCAATTGACTGTAAGTGCTGTAGGACCTGAAAGCTGTTGTTAAAGAACATAAAAGGAGAGTGCAAATCCGAGGTTTTCATATGTCAGGAGGACGATTTACCCTACTTACTACTGTCCCAAATTTTGCTTTCCATCAATCATTTTTCTTGGGACCCAATGAAAAACAATTTGTCTTTGACCATTATGGACAGTTAACAATAAATCTAGGATTTGTGTTTTCACCTGATGCCAAATTCAGGTTGAAACAGTCTAATTCCTGAGCATCTAGAATTTATCTTACAGAATGATGCAAAAACCAGTTTTACAGCCTGTGGAGCCAAAATATGTCTCACCATGGGATGAAACCAGTGCTAGGTTCATTCTGTACAGTAACTCCCCAGATTTTCACCCCATTTTCTTCATACTCCTTGATGAACTTTGCAAAGTACAAAGCCCATGCTTTATGATATTTGTCTCCTGCCACTCCCTTTAATGTTCCAGCCCCTTGCATCTTGCCATTGGTTTTCATCCATGCAGGTGCAGCCCAAGGACTTCCAAAGAACTTGAGGGTCCTTCTACTCATATTTGATGCAGATAACAACAAAGGAATCTTCAGCTTGAAGTCTTCCATGACCAAGCTAAAGTTTGACATTTCAAAATCTCCTTCATGGTCGTCGTAAGAGTAAGGCCAGGTAGAAAAATCGCAGCTGGCCATAGGAATACGCCCAAGGGAATACTCAATGCCATCTGGAGAAAAGTATGAAGATAACAGCCTCTGCTGCAAGGTGGAGCTGATGTTTAATATGTTGATTCCAGCAGCATCTGAAGAAAAAATGAACTTGGGACTTAAGCAAGATTTACTGGTTGATGGGGGTTGGGGAGAGGGGGAAGGTTCCTTCAACAATGTTAAATTGGTGTTTCATTGGTATTTAAGGTATGCAACGTTGTTCAATGAATAGGATGATCACATTTTTGTAATAAAAAGGAGAATAAAAGCACTACAGGAACACCCTCATCACCCCCCTCCCTCCAACCTACATTCTCATTACCTGTAACCCTGGAAATGTATTGAGATTGGTAAGGAGAAATTAATTCTTCATCACTTCAAGTCTGGCAGTGAAAGGGTTGAGAGGATCATAAAACCATTGAATGGGCCAAAATGTCTCTACCGAAACCATTGCCTCTGGCTTACAAGCTTGATGGAAAGACATGTCAAGATTTTTTTCTTCATTCAATCTGCCTAAAAATATTAGCAATAACCTCACTTGTAGGAATATTGATCTCTGTTCTCTGCCACAGCTATACATTTGGTGTATCAAGGAAATTAGTTGAATCAACCAAAGAAACTTTGTGTAGTTCAATTAAAAAATTTGAGACCATTTGTTTTCGGCAATATTGGTTGTAAATACCCCGAGGTAAAAGTTGTCGATTTTAGTTAAATCTTAAGCTTTCAAAAATGATCCTCTAGAACAGGGAGATAACAACTCGACAAAGGATAATAATACTAAACCTGTAAAAGCTCCCCCTATTCCTAGTATAGTTTGAAAAACTTCATCCTGATTAACGACAAACTTGACCTCGACTTCAGCAGGGTGCTGTAGTTTTCTGGAGAAACCTGGTTTCTTAACCTTCCCCGTCTTTAAGTTGAAACGATCGCCTGTCTTTGAGCTGGTGTAAACGGCATACTCTTGCTCTGACAAAGGACTTCCCTCGCTGAAGGCATCGCAGCCATGCTCATCAGAACACACACAGACAGTACCCCCATGACCAAAGTCTTTGCTATGGCACGCTGAATATTTAGGTGGTGAGAATCGAACTGTAGCTACAAAGGACAAAAAGCAGCATGCCAAGGAAAGAAAAAGAAGTCCTGCTTTCCTGAGATACATACTTTCCCAACGTTAAAATTACGAATAAGCTCTCCCAACTGCTGCAATGTTAGAGCAGGCGCTCAGTCCCAGGCCGCCGGAGTGTTCGATATTTTTACAAAATGAAATAATACCAAAAGAAATATTATTTTAAGCGTTTGTATTGAACATGACTGGACAGGTTGTGCTGGTCAGCATAACACAGAATGCATCCTACGGACTGGCTCTTTTGTCATTAGTCAGTTTTGCTTTACACGCGTATAATTCATGAAGGGCTGTTTTCATTCGCTTACTGACAATTCTGTGGGCTAACAATATCGAGGGGTACGAGGGTATTCTTGAAATCTGTATATATATATATACATACAGACTAATTCAGTCGGTCTGTAATCATACAACTGATTGACAAAATCAGACGAGGTGTTTAGCTTTTGTTTATCACCAGTTAATCAAAACTTAGGAAAACTCTAACGAGACATTCGAGGGAAAAAAAGGTTGAATTTATTCGAAAATAAAAAACAAGACAGTTGACGTTTTTCTCCGAGAAAATAGACCCACAGGTTTATTTAATCAGCGCACGAAACTATTCTCTACTTCAAAAAGCGAAAAAAGAAACGGTTTAATGTTACTCCACTAGCAAATTTTTTTGGCAATGTACAAATTTCTGTTTTACCTCACGCGATTGAAATTACTGTCAATAAACGTTCAATTGATGATCACGAGGTAAAGGCCTGTTGAAGGGTGTCGAGCTTCTTATCGCCCTTTTTTTTTTTTTTTTTTTTTTTTTTTTTTTTTCAGATGAAGACACAGCTGGTTTTAGAGCGCTTTTTTCCCCGATATTCATTTTCAAGATAAAATTAATTATTTCCCAAAAGGTGTAAGAAAGCTATATTCCGCCGTTTTCTTAGATCTGATGTCAATCTTCCATCCTCCCGAGAAGAAACTACAGTACACGTGATGCATAACGTAACAGTCCTTCTTAAGATCCCAGATCCACCCCTGTTAAGCATGTGTGTGACTTAAAGGGTGAACTGCTTTGGTTCTGACTATATCATCGATGTCGAATAAATTATGTTATATTCATATGAAATGAATTAGCACGTGGGGAGAATGGTTTGTTATTGTTAGAAAGACATAAGTGGTTTTCAATTATTCGGTCAGCTTGCACACAAGAAAATTAGATACCAACCCCTGTAGTTTTGGGATGGGGATTTACTCGCCAGCCTCCCTCTTTTGGAGCCATGAATTCACATGATGCCCCCTTTCTCGTTTTCTGGACTCCCTCTTTAATTTAAGCTTCCCGGTTTGGGACGTTCGGTGGGTCTTGTCAACATTGGTTCTCGTCTACAAATTTACAAACACTTAACGAACTTCCGGTTACGTCATGAAAATGGAAGTGATTATGATATGCACTGCACATGCTTCAAATCTTTACCACAAATAGTATTCAAACTAAGCGAGATACCATCAAATTGAAAATTACTAGGGGCTAAGTCGTTTTTAGATAAATTTCTGAGCTCACCAAACGATTGGAAACTGTAAACATGACGACAATCATGCTATGGCATATTTTACTATGATATACATCGCCCTAGAGACTATTTTGTAATGAATTTAAACATCATTGTCACACCATTGGTTTGTGATCGCAATGAGAGGATCACCTATGATTCCACACCACCCTCCGATGGACTATGATGTAATCTACCACGAGAAGATTAATACCAATGAGCATCATAAAGATCGTGTGGGAGTCTAGCAAGGAGAAACCGAGGAAAGCGTGGAACTGGGGTAAGCGACTTCTGTAAAATTTTACATTTTGATACCCACGTTCTATCATTTGCCAGGGAGTGCCCCGAAAGTCATCACCATCAAGTTGAAAGCGGCGATGGCTCGAAAATTATCATAACCAATACTGTAAAGAGCAAACTTGTTTTGTGCTTGTGATCTCGAATCACAACACTGACTATCTGTTTACGGCTACAGAATTTGCATAACGAGTTAAATATTTTGCTTGTTTGATTTATTCTTGATTGTTCAAACTTCTGCTTTTTGCTCACAAATACTTCAAATTGACAGCAGTTCCAATATTTTAAGAGAGGCAAAAGACTGATCATTTTTCTCCGTTAAATCTTAATGAAAACTTATACCCCATTCACACCAGCAAAACATGTTTTGTTAAACTGGTTTTCATTGAATGAAAATTATAAACAGAGAACTGAAAAACTTGATTTTCCATTGGATTCAAGACTGAACTCAATTTTTTCAAGTCAAAAATATTCGGTTAAATAGTTTCTATGAAGAAAAAAAAAATTAAACTGTGTTTAACAAAACAACTTTTAAACATGTTTAAGCTTTGGTGTGAATGGGGCATTAGACTCTACTTTATTCTTTTTCTGGAACAATTTAATTGACAGCATGCGTACATTAAATCAAAACTGATTAAGCGTAAATTTGAGCTCAGCTACGTGAGTTTTAAAATATCCTCTAACTGGTTCCTAATGACCGTTTTTCAAATTGAATCAGGTGGAGATCTGCCTAATCTATTGACAGGTAAAATTGATATGTGAAATTGTTCCTTCTGGTGTGGTTTCCATGCTAAAATTTTTAACTCCGAATTTCGCATGAATTAATCAATTTACAGTTCCTCGTGCTACTTTAGCTGACAAACAACGACTGACACCTTTCGCTCGTCAAAACTTGGCCCAACTATTTTTACGTAAACAAAACTCAAGAAAGTACCATCTAGTTTACTTTTCGTGCTTCCACTCAAATTGCGGCAATGAAAGGATGTCATCCTGATTTCTTTACCTAGCCATTTCTTTCATTGTTCATTGGCTTCCTCTTTTATTCTGTAATTTGCTTGACGTAAAATGGCTGCGCGACTTCTGCCTATTGAAAAATCTTCTTTGAATTTTTAGCCACGAGAAACATTCACTGTCGGTAACTTGCACTGAATATCTCTCGGATCTGTCATCATTTTTTTTCCGAGATGATTTCCTACTGCAGCTATGTCAGAATAGTCTTACCGGGACTTGGCCCCTTAGTGGGTATAAAATTTGTTGATGCTTTTCACTGAATTATGAATTATGAATGAATTATTTAAATCGCATCGCAAAGTGCATCTACTTTCGTCTGGTTGGTTTACTATCCATCGATATGCGTACAAATTTATCATACGAGGCTGGCTTTTACGAGGACCTCCCTTTCACTTCAGTGATTCGTCTCACATAAAAGTATTCTCGTTGAAAGGCTTTTTGGAGAAAATCAAGATTAGGCTGCGAGCAGGCTCTCGTCGTTACGGCTTCGACCCGAGTGTTTCTTCGTCCGCGGGAAAGTATGTAGCCTTAAACAAAGCGAGCCTGCCAGAGGTCTACAAGTGGTCTGGTACTGCATGATTACTCTTTTGAAATGAATCGATCTGAGGGAACATTACAATGTCATAGATGTAACTTAGCCGGGAGATATCTTATGCAATATGAGTTCAAGATCTACACTTTGATTCAATTTAGGGGGGGCACGAATTCTGAAGAAAAGAACATGCATGAATTCCCAATCTATTTCGAGCAAACTCAGGATAAATGCAAAAAATTATTTTTAGAAAATAAAACTTTATTTGGTTCCTTTCCTTGAGATGTAGATGAAACACCTTGTTAAAAGAAGCATCAAACCATAACCTGCTAACGGCTACACTTGTACCACAATTTATCCATGAAAAGAAGACGAAAAAATAATAAAAAAATTCAAACATTTTATGTGATAGACCTACGAATATTATCGCTTTGATGAAATAAATTATCCAAAAACTGCTTGAAATGTCCACTCAGCTCAATGATATTTGACAACCACTTAGTAATACAGGTATAAGTCCCCTCCAAACAGCCACCCGTCATTTTGGTCAAGAAACCTGCTGCATCTAATGATTGGGCCAATGATTGACAGGCGACCAGCCAATCATAACGCGCGAAATAAGAGCGTCTTCTCGAAGATGTAAATAAAACAGTTACAAGAAAGGTTTGTCGTTCAGTTTCACATTCGGGGCAAAAATTTGGGAGAAGCGCGCTCTAGCGTTTCCAACTAATTGAAATCTCGGCAATGCCTATACCAGACAGGAGAACAAGCGGCAAGGAAGGTAACACCATATTCAATGATGCATTCAATGGGCTAGTAATTAAGCTATGCATTTTTATAGCACATACCACGAAAGTGTTTCCTCACAAGATATCTTTTTTCACAGCTTAGTAGCTGCTAGAATATGGAAACCAAAAAGCCCTTATTTATTTCTATGTAGGCGCCTTTTTTTTTTCGTCAAGAAATGAAACGAATTTTGCCGTAAGGATTTTCGAGACAATTCCTGTAGAGCTGTTCAGACATTATGCGGAAAAATTGCAATTCTCTATGCATATTATTTAGTATTGTTCTTTAGCAACCAAACTCTTCTTTATTACAAGCGTGAAGGGAAAAAACATTAAACATGCTTTAAAGTTCTGTTTCTCTTAAAAAGACCAAATAAAACAATGATTTCATAATTCAGTAAATATTTGCCCCCTTGATTTTAGCACAGAATCTTAGAAGTCATTTATTATTACAGGGCCAGTGTTGCTGGCCAACGAACCTAAATTATGCAGAGCTCATAATAACAACTCCATGCCAGCAAGATAATTGGGTTTGAATTTATATCATACAAAAGTTGTTTTATTTGAAATTTCAAAACAATCACAGTCACAGTTTACTGCATGCATGATTGTAACTTTCATCAAAATCAAAAAAGCAAAACGTCAGAATTCCTTGAATGAAACAAGTAACTTTTTACGTAACTTTTTTACGTGTCAAGGACAAAACAAAGGGCGTGGTTTATACAAGGAGTATTTGAGGGGTTACTTACTTATAACAATAACAATATTTTATTACTCCTTGCAAGGTGTTTTCGCGTCGAATGCATCTGCTAAAAAAAACTTCTTAGCATAATTTTTGAATCAGAGACCAATCGGACGCTGTCTCTATCATGTCTCACACCCTTATTCTTCACTATTGTTCCTTGAAGATTCGCGTTTCTTATCATTTTCATATGAGCTCACTAATATACTAATCGTTTGTTTGTGTTCGTTTTGCAGCAAAGTCAGCTGCTAAAGATGTATTTAGTGGTGGTAAAGGCGAAGAAGGTACTATAAATCCCTTTTCTTTTTTATCGCTAACAAAACGTACATCAGTTAAAGAAACAAAATGTTGATTACACTGAGTAACACACGTTCTTTGGCAAAGCAGGGGTCACTCAAGAGTTTTTTTTATTATCTCCTAAACAGAAGAAAAAAGATCTAAAGAGTTTTGAGACTGGTATGCCAAAAGCAAAAGTAGGAAGGGTAGGCAAGAATGTGTTCATCGGTTCTTGTTTCTTCAAGCGATTTTGAGTTGCAGAAAAGAAGCCCTAATAAATTTAGGCTGAAACGCGATTCGAATCTGTGCCTCCCACATAATAATTGGCCGGGCCACCTTTAATTGAGTTCGAAGCCACATTTTGAGAACAAGGCAAATTCTGGTGTATTCTTCGTTCCTGTGGCAGAATCTCATCCCAATTTTAATGAAACAAATTTTTTATTTGCATAGGAAGTTTTCAAAAAGCCGGAAAGTTCGTCTTGTCCTCTAAACTGTGGGAGCACTCCACTCCATCCAAAACATGCGATGTACTCATCACATTTCCCAAAGGGACAGAGGACTACACGGTAATGTGGCTGCTATCGAGACTGCGAGCCAGAGTACCAGATGTCGACGTCCATGTCCGTCAAATGGCACACTCACCAGTCTACGGTTTCTATCTAACTTCCTCTTTTGAAGTCTTCCTTCAAAAAGCCGAGGAACTGGGACTGAAGAAAAAGCTACGCACAGGTGGAATCACGGATTTTAAGTACGACGAACGAGATAGTTTTGAGAATTCAGATGATCCCACGGTGTTCTTTAAATCCGGAGAGAGGCAGAGTATGATCTTGGAAATGGTAAACGACCTAAGAGCCGTGGAGGGAGACGAGCTGGGAAAGATTAAGTTTGTGGAGGGGCAGCAGATCGGTATGAAAATTTGTATTCTTAAAAAAATGAAGAGCCAGGGAAAAAATGATCAAAGGCATTTATCTAACATCTTATAGAGCAATTTCCAACTCAATTTCAATTTCATTTTGATCATTTCTACCAGTCGGATTATTCAGTGGTCGAACAATGGGAAATTTTTTTAGATATCCTCATACAGTCTGTTCTCGTTTAATTTAATGGATGTTCAGTGCCCACTAAACCTCTGTTCGTTCAAAATACTTTTTAAAACTCAGTACCAAAGCTGCAGGCGGAGGGCGTTGTGGAGAAGATGTTTCCTCTACATAACTCAGATGATCTAGCCAAACTGAGGAAATCCTGGGTCTCTGCTTTCTTCAAGAAGCAACCTCTGGGTGAGTAATGTAAAATTCAACAGTTTCTTTATTTTTCAGAATGAACACTCATTAAACTCAAAACAATTTGTTTTAAGCTTTTTTCTTGAGATCTCCCACCTAGGTGCCCAGCCAATCGGTAAGACAGATCAGGGCTTGGAATTGTTTCCTATCCTTTGTCAATTGGTGATATAAGTTTAAAGCTTAGGGCGTGCTATTATTTCTTTAGCCCGGCGTTATGAAATTGGTTCTTTTGATGTTAAGTGCTCAGAAACTGTGTTTTTCTTACATTTTCAGACGATATTTGCGAGTATTTTGGTGTCAAAATCGCCATGTACTTCGCCTGGCTGGGAATGTATACCAAGTGGTTGATAGCACCCGCAGTTCTTGGTATTATAACCTTTATCCTGTCCAACAGGGGTGAGGTAACACGAGACTGGTGCATCTTGTTTTTCAACATCTTCAACATCGTGTGGGCTACGCTCTTTCTAGAAGCCTGGAAACGAAAGAGTGCTGAACTTGCGTACAAGTGGGGAACTATGGACATGCCATCGGATGCTCTCAAGGAACCAAGACCCCTTTTTAGGGTGTGGTTTTTGTTGCATGCCACATTGATCTCTTTCTCTTAGACATAATAAAACCACTGGAATCTCAGTACAGATCCTACTTTCAAGATGTGCCGTGCATTGATTTTGTTACTTCAATAATGTTTCAGTCCAGGTTACTCCACAGTCGAGTTAAGAGACCAGTCAAAAATTTATCCCCTGGGTGGTGGGAGTGTAGAGGATCACATAGCTTCAAGGGGGAGCGGAGTGGAATCAGTCGCCGCCAGTAGAGCATAAAGGGAGGACTATTGAAAATTGACTGTCAATTAACTGCCTAACTGAATTCGAAAGCATGCGAGACGAAGGTTCAAGTTCTCCGTATCCGTTTTGTTACACGACACTCCGTTTTGTTTTACAATATTCCACTTTTTGCAGTTACTAAGAGGTTGTTTATTTCCAACGTACATGTCTTGCTTCTTCCATACAGGGTGATTTCCAACCAAGTGAAATAACTGGACGTATAGAAGCACACTACCCTTCTTGGAAACGAAACATCTTCCGCTACTGCGTATCACTGCCAATCATTCTCACGTCTCTGGGCGTGGTACTGGTCACCATGCTGTTGTGTTTTGAGTTTCAGAGGTGGGTGGACGGTATGGAGAATCCTCCTAAGCCACTAAAGTTTGCTCCAAAGATCGCCCTGGCGGTCTGTATTGGCATGTTAGACGACAATTATAAGAAAGTGGCTTATCATTTGAACGATAAAGGTGAGTTAAGATTTCAGCTACAGTCAAACCCCTATCAAGTGGCCTTCTAGATCAAAGTCAGTGATTCGCTTTTACAAAGTTACGCAAACCATAGATCTGGGACGAGCCTACTGCTCTTTTTTTAAACTCATTTCACTGAAAAATTGGACACTTGTTTAACTGGCAGGACTGGATGAACATCAAATAGGGTTTTCAACCATGAGGTGTAAATTGCGCGATGAATTTTGGTTTCTAGTTTACCTTTTTCTCCGTGAAACGCTAAATATTAGCATTTTTAACGGTAGATCTCGGCAACTATGTTGTCAAAAAGCTCATTCCTGACTCTTAAACGTGTTACTACTGACTATAGGTTTGACCTGTAACTCTTATCACGTAGGAAAGGGATATAAGATTAATAATTCCACAGCGTTGCCAAAGTCTGAGCACGGAATTTAAAAAACTTTATTACGAGGAACGCAACTCACCAAAGAAAGATCTAAGTCCCACTTGCCTTTATCGTATTGATTTTCAGTGACGGAGGCAAATCACTTACCTCTTTTACGCACGACTTAACCTTGTGAGAATATTTACACGTCTGAAACAGAAGAAAACACCACATTTGATTCGATGGTGTCTAATGGCACTAATGAAATTAATCTAATGCCGAGTGAATGGCTGATTTACTTTAAGATTGGAAGAAAATACGCAAAAGCTCTGAATGCTGTTAAAAAGATTTTAACGATAAATTTCTCAATTATAAGGTTCATGTTCTATTCACAGAGAACTATCGACTACAAGAGACATATGAAAACCACTTGATTATCAAGCTTGTCTCGGTGAGTGTTTTTTTTTTAAAATAACTTCTTCTCTGAAGCTGACCGAAAGCTAAGTCATTAGATGCAACATCTCACGCTAAAAATTTTCCTTTTTTCACTCATTATTTTCTTGCAGTTCCAGTTCTTCAACGCCTTCTTGGCACTGTTCTACATCGCCTTCTACCTCCGAGACATGGACAGGCTGAAAACCGTAAGCAAATATTATCTAATCCTAACTATACAAACGTATTTAACTAAAGACAATAGAAAGTGTCTTTTTTTTTCAAAATGATTTAGAATGTCTCTGTTGAAAGCTCTTTTGCTCTAAAATACTCAAAGGGTCGTGCCGAGCTTTGTATTAGTTCTTAGGAAACGTAGAGAAAACATTTAATTTTTTTCAATTCTAGCAACTTGCAGCGTTGCTCATCACTAAACAAGTGGTTGGAAACGTCAAGGAAGCTTTGGTTCCATTTGTGAAACAAAAGGTGAAGGAGTGGAAACTAAAGAAGGAGGAAGCTAAGGCGAAAAAGGAGCTGGAACAAAAGGAAGGAAAAGATAAGGGGGCAGCTGATAAGAAGTCAGATAAACCTAAGGAATTGGACTCGCCACTGATGAATCAGGCTGAAATCGAGAGTACCATGGCAGAATATGAGGTAACAAGAGTTCAAACGAACACTTTCTTTGTGCGGCGCTTTATATTTGTCATGACATTTACTTTGAATTCATTGAAGTAATGGTCCGGGAATTAGGGTCTAAACATTAAAAAGCATTATGTAGTGTAAAAAGAGGTCAGGATACATTTTATCTTTTGTTATCAGGTTATCGTGTACTTCCTCTCCGAAGAACACTTTATCATTCCTAACTCTGCGCACTAGGAATGTCCGTTTTGTACATCTGTTCATAGATTTCTCTTCCTAATTAGATAGTCATGTTTGTTGGTCATTATGAAATCTTAAAATTTTTCGCACTTTGCTTCCCTCAGGACACGTTCGAGGACTACTTGGAGATGTTCATACAGTTTGGCTATGTGGTTCTGTTCTCTTCTGCTTTTCCTCTTGCTGCCTTGTGCGCTCTTCTTAACAACATCATAGAAATCAGAAGCGATGCTTTTAAACTGTGTACCAATCTTCGTCGACCGTTCGGAGAGCGAGTAGAAAACATTGGCACGTGGCAGGTAACTTTTTCGCTCTCGTGAATCAGGCTTCCTTACATTGATTTCATTGCATTATAGCATTTTGTCACTTCTCAATGTTCAAATAAAATGTTAAATTAGTTAAATGATCATTATCCTGAAAAGTATCATGAGTCAGAGCATTTTTATCGTAGGATCCTATATAAATCAAACTCTTTTCCTACAATTCATCTGATGTCTTTCTCTCATAGGATGCAATGGAAGTCATGGGAGTGGTGGCAGTAATGGTCAACCTGGCTTTACTTGGCATGGGCGGCTCAGTTCAGCGGATGTTCCCCAACATGACAGTCACTGAAAGGATCATTCTCATCGTTGTGCTTGAGGTCAGCCCAGAGTTTGAGCTCTTTCCCCAATATCTCCCTCTGCCTTTTTATTTTCCTTCCTTCTCATAATTCTCTCTCCTCCACTACTCTTTAGCAGTCAGTTAAGACCATTTTGTTGCACCGTGCAACTTTCCCATCTCTCCCTATGTCCCTCTGCCTAACAATTTCCTTTCTCCAATCAAAAGGCCTTACAGTATGATGGTAGAACTTCTTGAATTAAAAAAAATAGAAATTGAATTTATTTTATTGCAGCATCTTGTTCTTGGGATCAAGTTTGCGGTTGCTTACGCCATTCCTGACATTCCAGAATGGGTGGAAAATGAAATAGCCAAGATGGAATTCCAGCGGAGAGAAGCTCTGAAGGTACAAAATGCACGTTTGCATAACGATCGAAGAAGCGATCATAATATTCATTCAATTACCGTTTTCCAAAACTTCAAGGTGAATGAAATTAATTAAGATGTCGAACTGATATGTGGCTTATTAGGAATTCGCTTGGTCAGAGAACAGTATAGGTTGCAAACGCGTCGCTTTGCAGATATATAACATATTTACTACTCTCATGGTTTGAGTTTGAAATCTCATTTTAAAGAATTGTATGTTACGTTTCAGAGTGCTCCCAGCACACCCAAGAGTCCAAAAGATCCACAAGCAAAAGCTCACACCCCTGTGTAGTAAGAACACGGGATAATTTATAAGTCAACAGCAGGTCTGAAGGGGAAACCTCTTCATGTTTAGTTATGACCTCAAACGAATGCATTGCAGCGTTTAAAGGGATTTAGGACTTAGACACTTGTTTTAAAATTATTTGTACCAAAAAAACTTACATGTAAAAAAGAAAGATCGAATAACTTGTCAACTAACGGGCTAAGTGGGTTTCTGCGTTTTTGTGATTCTAATAATCCAATGAACCTTTTGATAGTTATGGGAAATTAGACTTTATGAACTTTATTGTAAACAAGTGACGAAATGACTGGGAAACATCTTTAGCTAATGGAAAATTCTCAATTATATTATATAACTGGTTAACTAACGCTATTTTACGGTGATCGACAGACGAAGCGAAACTATCCAATGCCGGACGATAATGACATCATGAAGTAATGACTCGCTACATTCAGAAACAAAACTTCGGAGCATAACTAACCCGCTTCCAAACTCACCATATGGAAATAGAGTGTGTTCTATAGAAAAACCTCTAACACTAACACGACAGTGAGACTTAGCAACAATACTTGTACCTCTCCTTCTCTTTGTTAACACAAGACAATGTTAACAAAAAAGTAACTATAACGTAGCCATAACTGAAAAGTGAATTTAACTTCTATTATAACGAAATGATAACTCGTGTAGCGTTGCTAGAACTAAAGCGTTTCAAAAATCACTGACAATTAATAGACAAAATTACATAAACGGAATACTAATTCATTACCAGTTCAAAACTGATGCACTAAAGAAAAAAACGCGTCACGTTAATTGCTGTAGTAAAGCTAAGAATCGACAGTTCCATTTATAGAAACTTAAACATGTAACGGTAACAATGCAAAGCATACTAACGATAATAACAGTAATAATTATAATAATTATCACAATAATTAGGATATAGACGACAATGATAACGATAACGAAGACTACTAACAAATTTCTCTCAAGGGAATTTAAAATATAATTTTATCTCGCATATTTCCAAACAAAGTCCATCCTTGATCACTTTTCAATACCACAGCTAATAGAGGAACAACAAATTAACCAATAGCTTGCTAATCGTTAGCTGTTAAAAAGTAATCACAGGCGCGAATCACTGTAAGACAAAACGAGACGAACGAATAAACCTTTTAAATTAACTGACACAGATTCACGTACTTTGCCAAGAAGCAGTTTAGACGTTTCATTCTTCTGTGATCGTCACACTTTACTGTTTCTTGAAACAGTATCAGCCGATCTCACAAAAAGTTATGCTAGCCCTGAAATATACGCCGAAGTTTGGCGATAAACTTTATGCGGACAGAGGGACAGTCATGATCAGAAAGTAGACAGACGCACAGACAAACAGACAAAAAGACACAGACAGGTTAAATACGAAATAACAGCAGCGAGCATTAGCTGTTATAACTGCGTGTAACCCTGAACTTGAACCCCTGGCCAAGCCAGCTAAAGATTTTAATTACTTTAACGAGCTAATCTGCATTTCATTACGATCTGGAAAACAAATCACAACTAACAAAACGTCAGCTACCACATTTTAACTAAACAGCATAACGGAATAACAAGAAACTAATTCGGTTAATATCGGCGACCTTAACTCAAAACGACTAAAAAGCAGCTACTGCTTACCACGCCGCGATTAATTTTGAATCCATGTATTTAACCAAGACAAGAATCTAATAACGAGTCAAAGAGACTGTTTAAAAATCATAATATGTTTATTTGCCATCATTAAAGATTCCTAATTTCAATCATGTTTTCTACTAGCTCACGATGCAACAATATTAATACTACTAAAAAACGAACTCAAAGGAGCACACCGGTTAAAATTTTTATCATGGAGTCAATAACAAAAATTCAGTGCCTCTTAAAACTAACAAGGTTGAATTAGTAAAAAAATTAGGGTTCTTAAAAATAGAGAACGAAAGCTTGACGAGAACGTAGATTTACAACTTAAAAAACTAACCCATTAACTTGATAGTTATTAATCGGTAAGCTGGTGTTATCCTTGTCTGTATTATTTAACGCATTCAGACGACGTGTTTTCTTCAAGTTAGTTTCGACGACAGCTAATAAATGTGTAACCAAGAACAACGAAGACGAGAACGTAGATTTACAACTAAAAAAACTAACCCATTAACTTGATAGTTATTAATCGGTAAGCTGGTGTTATCCTTGTCTGTATTATTTAACGCATTCAGACGACGTGTTTTCTTCAAGTTAGTTTCGACGACAGCTAATAAATGTATAACCAAGAAAAACGAAAATTTGCTTGATTCAAACAACATACTATACCGCCTTCTGTAATTTACCAACATATTAACATGTAACATGTAACAACTGATTCGTTACTACTTTTAATTCAAACTTTTGTTCTCAAAGTAAGAAAAGTAAGGAAAATAATGCTCATAATACCAGGTAATGTAAAACATATAGTATTACCGAAATGTATGCACAGGACCTACGACAAAAAATGAACAGGTAACCAAGAAGAATCTTAACAGAGAAGTTGAGTTCCAGTCCACAACGATGTTATTAACATGACATAACAAAATACGAAAATGACAAGTTGGTAAACCACTAGTTATAAGTTAGTATTATAATTTATGACAAATACATCACTAACAACCTATAACTTCACAAAAACAGGATTCAAAGAAATCCAAACTAAGGGACAATAATCTAGCAAAAGATAACGAAAACGATTTAGCTTCATATGGATCACGGAGCTAAATAGGACGAAGAACAATACTCAGACTACGACAGGAACAAACAATAGTGAACAAAAAAATGAAAAATTCCCAGACCCTGGCTTTTTCCAATGAAATCGACAATAGATAATGATAGATAGAATTTTTAAACTACTTGTAATTAAGAGAAGTCAAAGAAATAAAAGACACTAATTTAGGAAAAAGTCGATTTTGCGGGCGACTTGAGAGTTAAATCAATCATGTGAAGTCTCCACTCTTTACATGTAGATGCAACTGATGCACATCTGGTTTTTTGAAGTTATGAACAAATTAAAACAAAGCAGATAAACATTCTAAGTATCAGGTTCTAAAATTACTAGATTCAACCCAGTTTTTTTTTCTTTTTTGTCATCAACTTTTAAGACTTCAACTTACAGTAGATTTTAAACTCTTCTTGGTTGGATATCACAAAAACTCGTCTTATTTGACAAATTTTTTTTCAATATTTTGTAAAGAATAGTTTCAGTGCACTCACTTTTACAACCAGCAAAGAACTATCTGTATCTTTGTATTTATTTCATACTTTTACAGAGAATCAAGTTCTATATGTAGGTGCTAGAGAACAAAGCCAATAGGAAAGTAAAGAGTAATTTAAAAAGGTTTATTAGATATGATCAAGATATGCACTGTAAAGGGAATAAAAGTAAAGTTACTGTTGGACTGAAAAATGTAGGCACCTCTTTGCCTTATACAATGCCATAACTAATCATGACATGGAGTAAATGTTTCAATTGCTCAGTGTGAGCATTCACAGTTTAAGAACATATCTGAGCAGTTTTTTTCCTCGTACTTCCCTGAGCCGGCCACAATGTCTTAACATGGTAAGAATTGCCCTTCCAGTGGAGTCCATCTTCATTTGTGAGTATGTCTTAAGATCATCATCAATGAAAAAATACTCTCCTGTTGAAGAACAAAACCAATGCAGCTGAAATTTGGGGTCATGATGGAATGGGAAAGGGGAGAAAAATTAAAGAGTCTCAGGTTTCTGGATTACTTTTGAGACTCAGTTGGAAGTTATTCTCATTGACTGCATGTACCTCAGTCTACAGTGTAAGGTTGTGTAAGAATTTATTAGGCCAATAGGCTTTCTTTCAAAAGGATTCACTCACATGAAATCATGTTTTCACCATGATCAAGCAATAACACCAGCACATGGCAATAATCATATTTGGATATGTGTCAGTCATCACACATACATACAGGCAAAAGCTTTTTTTCTACTAAGGACACACACTGTCCATGTTTCATGTGTATTTTAAGGCCAGTCTAGGTCACTTACCCTCTATGTCTGGTATCTCAGCCTCTTTAAAAGCCTTAAATACATAAATAGATACATGTCAGTAATTTATAAAAGAAGTGCTAATTGCATTACTGAAGACAGGAAATACCCAAGATGTGCAACTTGGGAACCAAGCATATCTGCTGAGACTTTAAGATATCATATTTATAATTAAAACAGTACTTTCAAATAAATTCAGAAAGCAAGTATGGTATATCCTTCTCAACAGATGACCAGTGTGGCTGCAGTTTTCAAAATATGTGTTAAACCACTGACAAATTTCAAAAGACTGCAGCCACATAATAATAGGACTGAAAGAAAACCAAGTAAGTTCAGTTTATCATGTTTTCACGTCATGACAAGCAAAGCAAACAAATGGTTCTTGAAAGCTCGAATGTCTAAAGTTTTCAGGTTTTCAAAAGCTTTGAAACTGTAAAAGCAATGTACTACAGGTGTTCCAAAGTTAGAAGTTAGTTGGCCATGGCCAGTGGACTCTGCTGAACAACATACGGCTCTGATCTACCTTGTATTTTTTCATAACTGGCTTCAGGTTTTCAAAAGCTTTGAAACTGTAAAAGCATTGTACTACAGGTGTTCCAAAGTTAGAAGTTAGTTGGCCATGGCCAGTGGACTCTGCTGAACAACATACGGCTCTTCTACCTTGTATTTTGCTGTGATGACTTTATGGATTTCATCAATGGCATTGTTGACTTGGTCATAGGAGGTACGTCCCTTGATGTACCTGAGTAAGGTATGTGAGAGTAGGTTATTTAAAAAGGGTCTATGAGAACAACACAAAACAAAGCAAAATAAAAAAATAACAATAGTGAAATGAGCTTTGGAACAAATCAAGTAAAAGCTGCTATTATATCAACAAATATAGTTATAAAAAACCCTGCCACAGTCCTGTACTTCAGCCAGACAGTTACAAAAAGGAACATTCTAATGCAAGAAGGGGTACAAATATCTTTTCTCCTTGATTAGATAAATCTAAGTACAGGAAACTGGAAGAAGTCTATAATCTCAATTATTGAGATGTAGGGGTTGTTTAAATTACTTGTCTCTGGGTTAAATTCTTACTTTGGTATTTGATCAAACTCTTCAACTGTGAGATATGCTAACTTGGGAAACTCGAATCCATCCTCGCTTGATAGATCTTTAGCTCTGCGGGTCTTTCTTGGCTTTTTCACATTCTCTGTTGTAACTTCCTCTTTCAAAACAACTCTAAATGATCACAGTTGGGACAAAAAATAAAATTTTGCTTAAAAATATCAGTGACCATGTGAAGATGTATTTTAGGTTTTTGTTTTGGTTTAGTGTTATCATAGATGGAATAGGTAGGCTCTAGGAATAGTGCTGTTTTACTTCAAATTTACTTTGAAACTGTCTTGAAAAATGCTATTGAGACAAAATGGAAAAGATTGTTATCTTACTACTGATGTAGATGATTCATTTGCAGTTTTTGAAAGAGAAACAAATATCAAATTTAATGTGATTTCATCATATGTTTAAGGATATGAAATTGATATGGCAAGAAAGTTCTTATTTGTCTTATGGTTTTGAAAGAACACTTTCATTGGTACAGTGTAACAGTGATAAACCATATTTTAGTTCCCAAAAGCTGTAATGTTTACAGAATGTCAGAAATTCTACCAAATTCTTTGTGATCAATTGAGCCCTGTCAACTTCTTTTGCTCTGGAGCAAAAAATACATGTATCAATATTTAGCAAATTAACCTCTCAATGCAGTGGGAGAGTAAGTGCACTCAAGAAGCTTGCCATGTGATAAGTGACTCCTTTAACTATAAAGAGAGGCTCTTAGTTAATATGCACCTTTTCATTCAGTGACTCAATTGTTTTACCTTTGTGATATCTTTTCAACTCCAGGGAGATGTGATGGGAGGTTGGATGTAATGTGTTCAAGTCTTTCTTTAAATTTTTTTGCAACATCTTGCATAACCTTTATTGAAGTTAAAACAAATACATGTATCAAAAGAATGTTAGAATCATCATAAATATAATTATAACCACATTTCAGAAATTAAATATTTTATGATCATCAAATAAATATTGGGAGATATAAGGCACAAAATGAAATAATGTACACACATGTCCAGAGGTACACATGGTCCTTGATAAAAGGGTTTCTTGATTGTTTCAGTCCACATCTAACCAGCAGTTTCTTGTAGTAGTACAGAAGTTATGAGTTACCTCTCCTTGCTCCAATAACTTCTTTTCCTTTTCCAAATGTGCTTGAAAGCTACTTAGAGAAGATTCTATCTCTAGCAATTCTTTGTCCAGTGACCTCAACACAGAATCACAGTTGGCAGAAGTTGCTGATAATAATTGAAGCAAATGACATAGTAAACAATGATTTATGTAACTGAGATGTTGTCGGAAGCACAAGCACCAGGTACTGGTAATTTCATATTTGGTATAAAAAGAGCTGAACCATTCATTTCCCAAGCCTTGATTGTTAAATTTAAAACAACATATATCCTTAAGATAATTAATTTGATACCCAAGAGCCTGTTTAACGACGATTGGTTGAAAGTTATTCGGATAAAAAAAGTACAGAATGGGGGATTCTCGTGAAAAATGAGCGGAAATACGGGATCAGGACAACACCCCCCCGCACCCCGCACCAGCTCCCCTTATATACAACCCCCCTTAACCCCGCTCCCCTTTCAGACCCTGTATCTTTCAAAGGGTCCCGCAAATAGTTTACACTTCTTAGCTTGATCAATAAACCAAAGAGCTCTGCAATATTGCACTTTCTGGCACATCAAACCTAAAATCACAAAAGTAAAAATGCATGGTGCACGGTATGGAATAAAAAATGGCTGATTGGTCTTTGACTTTCGGTAAATGATTTTGACAACGATTGAACGGCTTTACTTTGTACTTTCGAAGCCTTAAGACATCAACGATCAACCATGATACAAAATCTGCACATCACATTTTGCTTAACGATGGATTTCAATATAAATCATATTTAAATGCTACCTTTGGTTTTTTTTATCTTACCTGCGCCTCTTAATTCCATGCATCGCTTTAAACTGGAGATTTTTGAAGAGAAAATTTCCGCCATTTGCTCTAAGGTCGCCGCCATTTTGAGTTTAGCGCCAATTTTTTAAAATACGACCGCTTACAAAGTTATACTACAGGCGCAGATTCTTTGATAGTTCTCCATTTGGACTCGTCTACCGGTCCCCCGATAAGGCTACAATGTTTGTAAAACATACCTGATCTGCCACAGGGCTATTTTTCGCTTATAGCCACAGTTTTTGAATCAACTTATTTAGCACGTGTGGAATTATTGCCTTACATAACCCCGAGCAAGTTTCTTAACCAGCTAATTTGCAATCACTTTTTTTTTTGGCTAGCATTAACCCCTGTGTACAGAGGCTATACGGCTTTGAAGAAAACTTGCTTATTAGCGAAGTCTTTTAGTCTTTTATAATTAGAAAGTTTTCCTAGACAGTGACTTTGTTGGAACGTAAAGTGAAGATAGCGTTTTTAAGTATATTTTCCTAGGCCTTGGAGTTCCAATATTTGCCCATACAGATACATTCTATATTTAGTTGTAGAAAATGCAAATCAAGCCGATATCTTTGATGGATCTCGCTAATTTCTTGTTTTCGCGGTCACAATCAATAATTCATATCGTGTTAAGTCCGTTTTTATCATTTAATGTGACCTCTGAAAGACACAAGGACAGATCTGTCTACATGTGCTCTTAAATATATTTCACTCGTCCTTACGTTGACGTTCCTTTTACTTTTAATGGTAAGATATCCTCCGTCTATGAAAATATCATTCAAATAGATCTCTCGAATTCTCGATCATCATCATCCCTCTCTTTTTCCAGGGAACGGCCTTAACTTTCTGTTTTGAGAATACACTGATGAAAATAAACAAAGACAAAAACAAAAGGTGCCTTGTCCTATTGTCTATGCGAAACAAGACAAGGGCTCTCTTGTCAGTAGGAACCTGGTTGTAAAAATAGAACAGGCAGAGCTTTCAATGGTCACACTCAGCTGTTTAGAAAGATGTAGAATAATTAAATTGCGAAGCTAATGACTAAAAGTTATAATTGTGAGTTGTGTCTTTGAACCTGTAAGAAGATTAAACGCCACCGCCGTCTACTAATATCACGCTTTCCTTTTGTCTTCTTTGTCAAGTTGAGAATGGACGAAATTAGGAAATTGTACTCCCCTAGACAACTACACGGCACATTGACAGAGAGGGAAAATTGGAGCGTTAGACGCAGCAAAAATCCTATTGTCGTATTACATCATGTGGAGCCTTCATTCATAGGAAACGGGGTCAAAGTCGTACAAAACACGTTTATCTGCAAATCTATAGTTGTGACTAAAACCAATACAACCTTTGAACTCGCGCTTTTGGAGTGGAACTGATGTGGACACTGATTGAAGCAACACCGATCTGACCACCCAGAACTGTTTATGGACCTTTGCTTAATCCTTCACTTGGTCATAAGTCAGAGACAAGGCTGCTGTATAAACGGAAGTATCCCCTTAAACGGAATGGCTCAGATTTTTCGATAAAAAAAGAAAAACTTTTTGTGACCTGCAATAAGCTAAAGCACTCGCGAATGTGTTTAAGCCCGAGGCGAAATAAACGACTTCTAGGCGCCAAGGAAATATCGAGCGAAATAACGTTGCTATGCTATCTTGGAACTCCAAAAGAAGGAAATACCTTCCACATTGCCTCTCGTAAAATAGTTAATATCCTCGTTAATTTTATCGCGGCTATTTTTGTTTTTGATACGGCGTTAGAGTTAAAGGATTTAAGAGTTTTGACCACGAGTACGACATGAGAGCTAATAACCGTCGCGGTTAATTGAACCTTGTCTGTCAGTAACAGAGTTATTGGCCCTTGCTTGTAAATCACTCAAGATTTTTTTACGTGTACGAGAAATTCTACACTGTTTTCTATTTTTGACTGTAATATCAACGAAGAAATTGCTTATGATTGCAATCAGCTAGAAGTGGCAAAGTCGATTATGGCGCGACTGCTCTCTTTTAGGGTTACCTTGGCAATTAAAACCCCTCACAAAGCTGCGAAGGTGATCCTATGTTTTTTCAAATGAGTTGATCTTCTAAAACCGGAAGAAAAGCATTACTTACATAATAAATTCGGAACCTAAAGTGCAAAGAAGATAACAAAAGTCTGAAAACAAACTTAGCGGAAAAATAATAAAGGAAAAAAGCACGAAATGTTAGTAAAATCACGGAAATGGTATTTATTGAAAGATAAAACTTTCCTTCATAAGGTACTACTTAAAAAGAGTTCAAAATATTACGACACCTTCGATAAGCACCGTTCACAATATTTCAAAGTTATTTTTAAAACGAATAAATTGAGACAGGCAATCTTTCCGGAGTGGCTGTGTTGTCGAAAAACAATCAGCTGTAAAACTTTTGACCGATCAAAGTAGGCATTGAAAACCGAAAAACTTATGGTGAACAAAAAAAAGAGATATTCAAATTTGTTGCTGTACTAGAAGGACATTCATAAACATTGTATAATTATATAGATATATATCAAAATACAATATAAATATAAAGTGGATTAATATAAATTTTCGATCTATATCGATATGTCCAAGCTATTTTATATATAGAAATAGAATTTGTTTCAAATGATATATTTCGACAAGCAAAAATGTGATGTTTCCTAGTTTTCTCGTAGCAACTATCACCGAAAATTGTGCGCCTAAAGCCACGGAATCTACATTCTTATGTCAAAATGAAGTTGTTCAAATATGTGTGTAGTTTATAATCTCATTACCCCATATGAAGGCTTCATAACTTTCCAATTCATCATTTACAGTTAGGCTTAAATATTAAGCATTCTGTAAAGTAAATTTTCTCATGCAAGGCATGCATTTGTAAAAATTTTGCGTTTAGCTAGCTCAACTTTTGATAAAAACGCATCTTAAATAATTGTATGATTAGATCTAATCAGTTAAATCAGCGCTTCGATGTCCACTCGAACGCTGGTACTCATAGGATACACTGCCAATCCCGTTGGCGCACTGTTTTTTCGTTTTCTCATTGGTGGTCGGGAACTCGAAGTGTTGGCCCTTGTACGTTTGTTGTCGTAGGATTCTTTGTCAAGGCTGCTCAATTGGATGCTGCTGAATGCTCTTTGTTTCGTTCTTCTTACTGCAACGTGGTTTTTGTCTTCATCAGACACTTCAAGACTAGCTTTGTTGTCGTTTGTATCTTTACTTATGCCATTTAATTGGACACTGCTGTTGACTCTTTGTTTTGTAGTTTTCTCTGCTATGTGGTTCTTGTGTTTATGAGGCAACTCAACATTGCTACTTGCAAGTGGCTTTGTGTTGTTGACTTCATTAGCATTTTGGTCCTTGCCATGCAGGTTCAAACTGCTGCTTGACTTTGGTTTCGTCTTTGAAGCCATATCGAGTCCGTGATAGAATGGATCTGTTCCATCGCCGAGTGATTCGAAAGCCGAAGGAAATGAGGCGAGGGATCTTCTTTGCATAGCTGGCGGCTTATTGAATTTCACGCTTTTCTTTTGTGATCCATTTTCGGCATCTTCGTTTCCTTTTGGGAAATAGAACATTGGCATTGAAGGAAATTTATAGAGACGCTGTGAAGTCAAAACCCCTTGCTGCGGGTTACTCGACGAGCGCCCCAAGATTTCCTTCTCTCCACCTTCATTAGAGAGCGCGAACTCTTTCGCAGACCATTCAGCTTCTTCTGCAGTACGGGCGAAAGGGTAATGCGAGCCGCGTTCTTCTTCGCTGGCCTCAGAATTTACGATTTCTTCGTCAATTGACGATCCGCGCGAATCAGCTAGAGATTTCGTTGAATAAGCCTCGCTGGTTTGGCTATTTTCGTCTTGCGAGGAAATAACCACGTCAGGTTTAGGCCCTGAGGACAAAGAGGATGGTGAACCATTAGATTCGGTTGGGTCCGCCTCTTTCCTCGTGGGTTGAGGCGCTTTGTAGTCGATGTTCTCCTCTTCTGCCTCCTCCTCTCGTACGTTTTGTTTCTTTTTGTTCGCATGCCTCACGCATTCCACGGCAAAGGCAGACAGGTCAGCATCTTTGAAATTCAAATACTGTCTCATACTTTCACGTACACTCAGGGCACTTCCCACCTTTAGAGTTGTCCCATCTGGAGCAGTGTTTCGTTTCCTTAAATTCGGGCGCACAGGTTTATTTCCTGTAGTGTCTCGAGCTTTATTTTCCGAGCACTTAGAGGTATCAGGTCTATTTTGTCCTTGTATTGCTTCCGTCTTACATGAGTGATTCTCACTGTTCGCAGCTGCGGAAAAATTTCCTTCTTCGACTGTATTTTTGACTTTTGGTGATGTGTCATCGATTAATTTCTTGCTGTAGCTTGCGGCTATTTTTGCTGCGCTGTCATAACCATTTTGTTTAGGAAATTGTTCAATAAGGGTCTGACATAGCAAAACTTCCTGCAAATCAGCACTCCTACGGCCGAGAGTTTGTGTAGGTGGCGGGTCACCATTATTAGTCATCTCACGATTTGGTTTACTCGACTTCATGAAAATGAATTCGTCTTCATCATCTTCCATCGGATTTTCTAATAAAACGTCATTTGTTCCTTCGGAGTTGTCACTCATCAACTTCACCTCGTCTGCGGTGTTGACACGAGCGTCTGGGTCGGAATTTGTGCTGTTGGCTCTGTTCTGCTCCAAGTCAGACTTGCCAATATCTTTAGAAAGCGTGCTTAATAAATTCTGGCTCTCGTTTCTAATTAGATCCTCGTTCTCTCGTTGCGAATCGTGCCTTGATCCCTGTCCAGAGCTGGGTGATTGGGTTCCATCCTGCTTGCCCACTCGAACTCCAATGTTCCCCACCAGCTCTTTTAGCGCAAGTTCCAGCTCTTTTATCTTTTTCACCTGACTCTCATTTTTCCAAAGTTTCGCTTCTGATGTCGAAGACCTTGAATTAGGACTTTCGGGTGGATTAAGACTGTCATCGGTAGAGCTGGCAGATTCCTCGCTTGCTCTTCTCTCTCGCATAGCGGCTATATATGACGCCCGCTCTACCCATTTCTGCAGCCGAGACTGAATTTGTTCCGATAGCTGTTCCAACCCACCACTGGGACTGTTTTCAAAAACAGAATTCATTGAAAGTCTCTCGCTGTCAGAGTTTGCACTCTCGTCAGAGTATTCCTCAGATGTTTTCGATACCGCACGAGCGGGTTTATTGCCTTTTGTTTGAGCACGCACTTTTTTCATTTCCTTAATGTTTGCACTCGTCATGCTTATGTCGTCTCTGCTCGCCGCTCGAACGTTCCTGCTTCCAGAAACACAGTGAGTTTGATTTGTAAGACTCAATTCTGTGTTATTTTGCTTTCGTGGGCTACTGCTGGGATCGCTCGATGACTCATACAACACCATACTGTGACTTAAATCCTTCGGAATTCCATTCTTTGGGTACGAAATAATCCTGTCGTTCTCACGGTCGCCATTGACTCTCTTGTAGTAGGTGGGAGAGTTTGCCAACGAGCCCTTTCGTGTTTTTTTCACCACAATTTTATCGCCGTGTAGCATCGGTATGGGTGCACTTCTTGCCCTTGAATGCTGAGGAGTGAGTGCGCCATTATTTATTTCAAGCGGGTGCGAGTAATCCTTGGTTTCCGTTAACGTTTCTCTGCTATTAGCGGACCGCTTGTCGCGAACGTTTGAACTGGCCTTTCCCATCCATTTTTGAAGCTTTGCTTTCATGCCGGTCGAGATATTTACAGAAGACGCACTGCCGTAGGACGAGGCCATTCCGACTTTGAACAGCTAGACGACAACGGGTTTACAAATTTCTGTGGTGCATTTGCATTACTCTGTACACAAACCTGTGGGAGGTACGATGTCACCATTAAAATGTGCTTAATGGTTTGTCAATAAAGCTCTCGAGCCATTCTCAAGCAGAGCCAACAAATCTAATGTAGAAATATGTGGTATTTGATCGAAGACGTACCTTTTGTTTTGATCCAATGGAAAAAGCTTGAGTGCACGCGATCAATATTTATCGGATCTCGTGCTTGCATCCAACTGGGCTGATGTATTAAGTTTCAAAGCTATTGTAATGATAACCAAGCTGCGCACTTGTCGCGATATAGAGGATCAAATGAGATCAATGTTCATCACGCAATTTCATTAGACGGGTACGTTCTCAGCACACGACATGACAAAAATGGTGCAAAAAATTGGTTTTATCCCTTAAACACTTCAATTCACCCACGTCATTTACAGCAATTAAATCTCTGTCATTGTTAAAAAGAATGTATCAGTTCTTTGAAAATGCAAATGTTTTAGCATTAAATTCTACAGCCTTGACCCCAAATAGACATATTGATTTTCATTGGTCGAAAGACTCTCTTTGTTAGATGACTTAATTGTTCGGTTTTAGATAAACCTCTGTTGTTGCGGTCCTCCCAGCTTATTACGCAAGGAAAGTTTATGAAATAAACTTATCGAGAGCGAAAAAGGAACAAAGGTCGCAGTTCGGCTTCAAAGATGACTCTTATTATCAGTTTCATTTAGCGATGGATGCATCCTATTAGAAACGTGTCGGTTTAAATGACTTAATAATCACACCTGTGACACTTAAGGTGACCGCAGGATAATCAGGTCATGATGGTTTCATTTATCATTTTCTCTTCTGACAGTATTCAAATTAAGATGACGTCCCAAACATCCCGCACTCCTAAAAAGTTTACAAAAGCCGAAGATTAAGGAAAGAGACTTCTTTGCAGGGATTCAATTAGGAGTTTAACTTGCTTACAATGTCGGTCCGGCAAAGAACAATTATGGTGTCAATTTGTTAATCCATTTTGCTCATCAGATGTTCGCTTCTAATCATTCAAGACATTCAAAAGCATAAACTACTTTCTTATGAACATCAAGAACTAAATTAGAATATCTTTAAGTGCGTTAATTAGTTGACATCGAAAGCGTTGATTACTTTTAATCAAACGATGGGAGATGTTTGTTCCTCGTACCCTGCTCCGTCTCACGAGCTCCTGTTTCCGTGATTTTATGGCGCCGCTTGCAGGCTCCATGTGTTCCTGTTTTTCTGTCTAATTTTACCATCAGTGTCAGCACAAATTTATTTTCTGAACGCGTCTCAGCACATACGTGTTGGGTCAAAAATAAAACGCCTTAGGGAACTCCGCAAAATGACGCAAGGGAGGGCTGCATTAGTTGTCCTATCCTGGCGAAAATTAGAGACATTTCGAACTTCTTAAGCGATAAAAATATGCGTAAATAATTTCTGCTGTTTATTCTTTGAGCCACTGGTGTACCTCCTGTTAGGACACCACAGGAGATACTCTCTTTAGTTTTGATCTTTTTGTTGAACGAATTCTAAGGAGTGGAAGAAAGATAAAGGACAACAACAGTTAAGTCTGCTTGGGCAGAAAAACATGGTTGTTAATATCTCTTCTGATTTTCTATGGTCATAGCATGATTTAGCCAGAAACAAAACTTACAAAAAAATTACGAAATTTTTCTATGGTTCCTGATATGTTGTCAATATTGTGTCCGGTTCATTCACGCAAATAAACATCAGGAACAATCGGGCGATGTGGACGATTCAGAACCATTTCTTTCAATCGAGCGTTATTTTATGTTCAAGAAAAATTTATTACTTTTGGTATTTTTGTGCTAAGAACAGTATAACTTAACCTGTTGTTGTTGTTGTTTTCAAGTTGAGACAGTGGATTATCTTAAACCTAACCGAAACTTTGTTTCAATCACGCATCAGTAATTGTAAGAGAGGAGCTGTTGTCCTTTGGAGCTCACACAATAGAACTGTCTTTGTTTTTAACCTGTCAACATCACTTTTATTTGTCAGCATGAAATCAGAGAGATAGGCGCTATCATAGGGTGACGACTTCTTTGAGATACCATTCGGCAAATCTTGTCACAACGCCCACCATTCACGTCTGGTTATGAAGTCATTGCTGTTTATCTTTTTAACACGTGTTCACACCACAACTAATCACCGGCCTGTTTGTTATCTTTGTTTGCTTTGTTTTGTGTCCAATCTTTTGTCATTCCTTAGTCCAAAGTTTGGTAGGTCCAAATTTTGAGGACAAAGGCTCACTCATTAGAACAGGGAAACTGTCTCACCGTTTACAACTCTATACAATCACTAGGTAATCACTCATTCAAACACTGGGGGTCCGTCGAAATATAATTTAACAATTCAACCTTTATACTACCTAGCAAAATCTTTCTAAAAATTCTGTGTGATCGATGAATAGACGCGACAGCCTTGAATATAATAATTTGAGCTTTGCCAAAAAAAAAACCAAAAAGCAAATACACGACGTTGGTATTGTTCACATCGACAAAAATTCACGGATTTAGAATCTCAATAAAGCTCAAACGAGGCAGTGTTTACTTTGCGATTTTCTTCACAACTGATTTTCCGGCGCTATCCGATATTCAGAATGTTTCAATGAAACCTCCGCATTTGGATTTTAGGACAATCTGTAATGCAGAAAGGACCAAAATTCAATAAAAACATTTGTAAGTATGTTATTACTTTTCAACTTAAAAGTTATGACAGCAAATCGACGTGTTGAAAAAGAACATCATTTGGGATAATGTTACTGGAATTTTCATCCTATAGAGATCTAATAGTGTTAGAGCTGTTTGTTAACTGAGCAGAGAATGATTTAACTCAGTTATTCTGTCAGGAGGCCATTACTTGGTCTCTTGTCTTTGTGAAATAAATATTTGTCTTTCAACTTTGCTGGATACGATGTACGGTTTCGACCTACGGTCATCCGGCCATTAGAGGAAGCTGAAACTTATATCACATCCTTAAAAGAATAATAATTTATTTCCGCTTCTTATTACTTCTGCTTCTTTAATTCTTATAAATCCAATTAGAGGATTTGTCTGTTTGTCTGATAGTCTATTGAAGAAAAATCAAGAGAGACTTGAGCAAAGATTTATCATGCAGTAACTTTTGTTAGAAAATTAATTATCACAGCCGACACATTCTCATCCCACGCTTCCACGTCCCACTGGAAAGGAAATTAAATGCATTCCCGTTGAAAAAATGCTTACCCCTGCCATGGGACGAAAGTCGTAATGGTCAATTCTCCTAAAGAGATTTTATGAAATGGAAAGGTGCTTTAATCTGACCGGGAAAGACATGGAGATTTTCAGTCGATAAACATTTCGGGCTCAAGACAATATCGTTTAATTTCTAGGTAAGGCGAACAGATACATTAGAGTGTGACTCAAGCGCAAATAAGCACTCCAGAAAGTAAACAAACAGTTAAGAAAATGCAAATATGAATTAATCTTAAATAAGTCGATAAATTAATGAATAAATAGATAAATAGTGACCGGGATAGACACAGAGAAAAGTGTTTCGACCAAACTCTTGCCAAACGAGTGTTTCTTAGCCGTTTTTGGAGCCCTCCATTTAAATTCATGAATATCACTTAAACGAATGAAACAATTTGAGAATATTTAATATTATGTGCCTAATTAACAATACTAGCTTCTTCGTCGATAAATACCAAATTCAAAATCATGATATTTTCCTGCACTTATCATGGTCAGCTCGTAAATTTAAAAACCTTCGTCCATATTTTGTCAATTTACCAATTGATTTAGGAGCCTCCAACCTCGAGTATCCTCGTTGTATAATATTTGATTTAAAAGACTTGCTGAAAGAAGTTCCTTCCTATTTTCCTCCACCGTTTCGGCGGCTTTTGGTAAAGAGACAGAAAAATGTGCGTTAATGTGATGCGGTCAAAATCGAGGGTTTTTTTGTTCGATATTGATTTTATATTGATGTCAAAGCTCACAATAGCAGACATCTGCGTCCCAATGCTTAATTATACGGAGCCAGTTATTGACATCGAGGAGGTTAGCCATTGAAGTTGCAATATATTGATCGGTTTGTTGGGTTCCTTGTATGAATCACAAAGTGCGATAGACAGCCCTCTTTTTTCATTTGCATTTAGCGGTAGAGATCATATTTACGCCAACTTTTAGTTTTTTTTTAGTTTTCAACCGCCAGAGTTTACGTTAATGGCATATTTTTCCTCTTACGAAGTTTGGATTCTGCGAAAACTTTACACGTACGTGCTTTGGTTCTGCGGAGATGCGCATTGAGTGGAAAAACAAATTACGTAAAATAACCCACTTCCTCCGGAGAAAAGAATGTAACATACGCGCAAAGATTTATTTTGAGGCGATGAAAAAACCTTCTCAGAGAAATAAAAATTTATCTCGAGTTAATAAAACAGATGGTCGAAAGGACAAAGATGGCTTTTTTCACAATGCACGTTTGGGCTCACGCGTTAAGTCGCGTGCAAGACAAGTGCCTCTTCTCTCAGTTTCATGCGCACGGGCGGATCGATATTGAAGTCACCACCCTTGACCGCCCAAACGTGATGGTCAAGTGTCGGTATTCAGTGTCTACACTAGAAACAATAGCTTTTAGAGAGCAGGAGAGGAATGCGACCGAAATATTAAAAATCATTGCTAAGGTTGTTTTATGTCAACTACAATGAAATAGGCTTAGTCCATTTCACAAAAGACTGGGTGAAACAATATATCAGTTTCTATAAACACGCAACTTAACACAATATCATCCCAGGACTCATTTATTTGAAATATTTATTGTATTTTCATGGTTCGGTTCTTTATGAACTGATTTGTAAATAAATTGTATTCAGAAATTCGTGGGTTTAAGCGTCAGCTCTTTGGAATAAGGCCAGGAACGTTTTTTGAACAAAATCTTCGGAATATCCGGATACGTTAGAAAAGGGCATTGGTCAAGAGAGATTTATCCAAAATGATGTAATTTCAAAGAAGAGCTTTTGCATTCCATGGCCTATCGATGGAACAGAAACGAATTTACATGCGTCGGTTCTGATTCACAAAGAAGTTATGTTCCACTTTGTAGACTTAATGTTTCGTTGAACAATACTAGTCTCAGATTCTAGACAGAAAGTGATGAAAATTATAGGTTAGAATTCGTTCCGAGAAGATTGTTGAAAAAAATATGTTGGATTGTTTGAATGTTTTAGTGATGCGATAAATCTAACATAGACAAAAAAACACGGCGGGGGTGAAAAGTATGCAGCGTTCGGCTTTTTTTTTGTCAAGGAGGCGTGGTGACCAAATCAAAGATCAACATGACTACAAGACAGAAATTGCAATCAAACAGTCAGGAGTTCTTTCCTTTCGCTGATTAGATATTCATAGAAACTCTGGCCGCAACTCTGAAGTTGTCTATCTTGACAGTCTGTAGAGAGAACGATCGTCGCGAGGGTCAATTTGGAATTTAGGTGCTTTCAAGTCCATTAACTTGATTTTTTTCCTTTCGTTTCGTTCCGTGTGTTTCCGGCAGAAAATATCTCAGATAATGATCCCCAAGGTACAATGTTAAAACTAACTAATAAGAAGCAGGGTAGTGGCACGAAAGTTTAAAAATGAGGTCTCACAATTTATGGGAAACAATAATCTGTCAGGTCAATTGACGCACATTACTTTATGACGAAACTTGAACTGACGTGTGAACGTTTCGCAATTAAATGTAATTTATACCCTGTTATTGCGCTGGTCAATAACACTTGCATAAGATGTTCGCTGACACTGTCTTAATTTGGGAATTTCTCTCTTGCTCAAGTTCAAATTTCAAGCTTACCAGCCTGTCCAAGCCATATGGTAAACGGTGCGTTAGCTGCGGCCGAGCGACAAAAGGGGGTTTAATTTGGGTCGGGTTACGTACGGATCCAAGCCTCCCTCGTTTTATCCGTCCGCAGCTAACGCGCCAATCATCATCGCTTAAAACAGAATGGAAATATATCAAGAAACACATCGACTTTGATTTGATGACAACATAGTTTTTAAATGAAGTTTGTTTGTTGCACTACTGATTTCCGCGCCTATGAACCTTTATGAGAGTTACAGGTAGAGGTTACTGATCGCACCATAATGTGACAAATTTTCAATTATTTTTCAATTATATATTTATAAACAGAGCAAAACAAAAGGGTGAGCAATTCCGTTATGGCCTTACAATTGGAAATTTCGAATTAAATTCGAGACATTTTAGAAAAAGTATCGAAGTACATGCGCTTGGTCCAAATAAGTTAGAAAACTTTTGCTGATCCGCTTAGGATCTTCTTTTTAAACGGCAATGAATTAGTTCAGCATAAAATGTAGCATGTCTAGAAATGATTTTCAAGTTTAATAGTCAAAGTCCTACGAAATAAAACCATTGAACCGTGTTACAAGTCTGCAAGTTGAAAAATTGTATAAGAAAGGCAGAAATCCCTAACATATTACTGCTTTTGCTTATTTGTTTTTAATGATAGAGCCATTTCCACATAAAGATACGCATTCAAGCGAACAAACAGGACTCAAAAGTCACTGAGGTTTGGGGACTTCTTCGATAATCAATCGTGACACTGAATTCCAGCCTGTATATCCGTCTGAGTCTCTATATCCAGGACAGTTTCCAATGTTGATAGCAACACGGATTCTTCCCTTGTGGATGTTTTCACAGTAGCCTTCTATTGCTCCAGGTCTGTGGTTATCTTCATCCTTGTTTCTGATCCAGACAACCACGTCAATGGGCAGCGGACCACTGCATTCTGCTCCATTAAAGGTGACGAACCAGCGCTTACAACAGCTGTCACAACGCACGTATATATTACCTTGATAAACCACTCGTAGAGCGGTACCATCTCTCGTCTTGTCGAAGATGCAGTCCTAAAAAAAAAGGCAAAATAGATTAACAGTAAATTGATCAAAAGAAAAGATTCATGATTTTTCACGCTAAAACCCTCCTAGTTTGACAAACACTTTATTTCAACCCTCCACCAATCTTGCATACCTTAATTAGTCCCACGTCCCGACTGTCCGAAGCCCTCCAAACGCACTGTTTCCAACTTCTGTGGTCGGTATCAGACCCTTTTGGTCCAACGTCTCCTTTAGCTCCACGTGGCCCAGGCTTACCTGCCACGCCCTTCTCTCCTTTAGCACCATCTCGACCGTTTAGGCCTGGTGCCCCATTATATCCATTGTGACCAGGGAGACCAGGAGGTCCTTGCAGACACGTGCTGGGATTCTGTGACATTAAATAGGATAGGTCATTAGACTCTTCTTGGAATTGAAAATTTTGATTCAGCCATTCAGTATTCGTAATGATTAACTCGACTACTTTTTTTTCTAATGTCCTTTGGTTGGGATTATGTACTCAAGATATTGTTGAGTCACGGACAAAGACATTAAAGATGAATTTATCTTTTAGACAAAAACATTCTATGACTTTCCTTAAACAAGAAAATTAAAATCGATGACTTCGTCGGTCCGAAATAATGTCGAATGAAATGAACATCGCTGCTCATTCAAAAAGCGAAGAAACTTCCCTCGAAATCACTAGTTTTTTTCGACCTCTAGGACGAATTTTATATATTATGATTTTACGAGATTTCATCAAAGCAAATTGGAGAAAATTAAAATCAAAGCCAAATAAGAGGGTCTGAATGGGGTTTAGTGTTTAGTGTTATTTGTCCATATTTTTTAGTGTTTACTGTTAAATTGGCCATTTTTTTAATGTTTACTGTTCTTGAAAAAAAATACTGTTTAGTGTTTGAAAGGAGACCCCAAAGTATTTTTTAAGGATCTTCAAATTTTATCTGCTCTTTTAAATTCTGCAAGAAAATCAAGAAAATCACTCACGAACAGTGAGCCGAAGCTGAAATGCTCTTGTCCTTAGAATCGATAATGCGCCTTACTAGACCCTCAGTACTGGATGTACTTAAGGGGATACGTTTGGTAATCCACAAAATAGTTCCTGAAAAGTATCGCTTCTGGAAATCCAACCAAAGTAGTGTTTGCAAAAGACCAATTGCACTTTAAATTGGGCCCCAAGGCAAAGTACTGGCGTTAGACTACGATTTCGACTCTCGATAGTCTCGTAGAACTGCTTTTACACCGACCAGTCGATGTAAATGTTCGGAGGGAAGTATTCAAGGATGCGCGGGACCTATGCTTCACCAATGGCGTAGTCTTCGTTGCAGAGAGAGGCTCATCAACAATCCGTTTCATTGAGTTGAAAGGCGAAGTACTTTTCAAACCCGGACGCCTAAAATCGCGAGCTGATTTGCTCTCGCAGCTTAGTCGTTTCAGATTGTCACTTGAGGGTACAGGTCCAGTTCTACAGAAGCGGCTGACGACACATCTGAGATCTTTAGCCGCACAAGTCGAGAACTGAATAAACAAATTGTCCAGATTAACCCACCTTTAAATAAATCAACTTCCATCTGTGCGGCAAGTAAGGATATCCTCCTGTGTGCAGATGATGAGCAGAGAAGCATAATGCAGCTGGAGTTAGAGTAAAATGGAGTGGCTATCATCGGTAGTAGGCTGAGACAGATAAACTACTCCAATGACGTGACAAGTGTTGAATCTCTTTATGTTCTGCGGCAATCAGCATACTTGGCTGTAACTAGCGCAGCTGGAGGGTTATATGGTTGTAACCTCGATTCTGTCAATGCTGAGCGACTCTTGCGGAATTCTTCAGATTCTTGTAAGGAAATCAGGAGGCTGTATAGTTATGAGGGCAACATTGTTTTCACCGACAACAAAGATCAAAAGGTTAAGACCTTTAATCCCTTAAGTGCAACAGTCGAGACCTTGTTGGGTACTGGCCATGAAGGAACCGTTGATGGAACTGAAGAAAGCTGCTCATTTACACAATTTCATGCAATCTGTTCCTTGTAGAAAATTTTTTTTGTTTCCGATATAGCTGCTGAAACAATCAAACTAGCTTCGGGGCTTACTGGCAAAGTGTCCTTTCTTTGCAACCTCGAATGTCTCTATGATAGTTTTGGAATTGGTGCACATACGATCGACGCGGTCCAATTATCTCTTCAAGATGCTGTGTGCAATGTTTCATCTGCAAATGCTTATATTAAAAACACAGTCGCTGAAGTAAGGCAGCACTATAAAATGAAAGAAACGGCAACAATAAATGGCCCTGAAGGAACTGTTTCCAGCAAAACACAGGAGTCATTGGTGCTTCTCGAAAGAGGTATGGAACAGCTACGAGATAACGTTAAGAATGTAAACGAGGACTATCTTGGTGACATTGACCTGCGTACGCTCCTAACAACTCAGGTAGAGAACCTTCATGCAGTCTCCAACTTCAAAAACGAGACTTTCACCGCTCTTCAGTATGCTCAAGACTTTGGAACAATTTCAAAGGAATCTTGAAAGAGAACAACGAAGTGGGGTGCGAAGTACTTCACACTTGAGAAGTCTTATTATCCAGTGCCTAAATCCAGTGTGGAGTTACGGGACGTAGATTTGATGAAACCTCCTCCAGCTGATAACGTTGACCCTGACATTGAGGCAGCCATGAAGGAATTGGTTGACAGGTATCGACCTGTCAAGGACGGTAAGAAGCGAATCAACAAAAGACAAAGCGGGAACCCTGCCGCCAGCTGTATATTCCAGTACGCCTTCGTGTACTAGAGTAACATTCCAAGAGGATGTTTAAGATGATCCGGGGACAGACAATGAAGAACGAGTCGACCAGGATACAAATAATCCACGAGCTACAAACGAAGTACCGAGAATCACCTTTGTTGACGAAAGCATGCTCGGAGTTGTCGCAGTTGATGACGTGACAGACATCTCCGAGAAACAGGATGAATTCGACACCGACTCGGAGATCGATGCGGATAATGATACAGACATAACGTTCAGCAGATTTGGTCGCATCACCCGCGCTCAATTCCGCCTTGATCTCTAGAAACAGTTGGGACAATCGCGACTATTCAGGTATGGAATATAATCAAATGTTTTTGGCCAGGATGGAGTGACATGTCTGTCATTTTTGTTGACCATTATACATTGTGAGCACTGTAGCCGATCTTATTGGTAAAAGAATATTCTGTTATTGCATTCATTACTAGTCAAATTTAAACACTCATATATGTTAACTCTCATTTTCCTTGTAATTTTCGTATTTATCTCTTTTTGTTTACAGTGCAGATACACCAACTGGGACCATCTCACAAAGCCAACCAATCATACTGAGGTATTCATACAACGGATGGCAGTCCATAAATTTGCTTAATTTTACTACTTATTTCGATGTTCTATCCCATTGGCTGTTTGATTTGAATATCGTAATCTGATTTGTTACTAATATATTCTCTCTAAGTGGTCACTGTTGGTGAATCCTCGCTGTAAAAGCGCTTTAAGAATAGAATTGTTATGAGTTATACAAGCCAAATCTGCGGTAGTCTTCAAATATCGTCGGTCATAAGTCTGTGGATATCTTTGGCAGTCTCAGTGGACATCTTCGGCAGTCTTTGGACATCTTCAGCAGTGTTCGGACATCTTCGACAGCCTTCAGACATCTTCGACAGCTTTCGGAAATCTTCGGAAGCTTTCGGATATCTCCCTCACTCTTCGGAAGTCTTGAAATAATCCCGAATTGTTGGAAAATGGCCAAAAAAACCTCTTTGAGACAATAAACATAGGCCCAACATAGATATTTCCCCTTTTAGGGTGTGGTTTGTTTGTTCATGGGAAAAAAATAATGTTACAACGAATTTTTTAATGTTAGTGTTAAAATAGCTGAAAATTAACTGTTTAATGTTATACAGTCAAAAAAATAAGTGTTTAGTGTTATCGAAGTACCCCCATTCAGACCCTCAAATAACCGCGAGTGAGCGTCTACATTTGGCGCACTTCAGCTCAAGATCGAAAACTTGTATATTAATATGAATTACAGAAAACAACAGTCCGACCCTTGATTATTACATTTTGGTAACTTTTAATAATCTGGAAGGCAGAAAACATAAAAAAGGTATCCATAAAAACCTAATATAACGCTGGCGCGCGCTTCATAATCGCTGGCTAAAACCCCATGGAAACACTTTAAGATAGGCCAAGACGACATGGACCCTTCTATATTACTTAGAATTCGAAAAGTCAGATTTTTAAGGTTAAATTTGATCTCGTTTGTTTTTGATGAGCGACATCTCAGAGAAAGAGCGCCTGACAAATTCAAAATGTAGTGTATAGATTACGAAATAAGAATGATATACAGCTTATTTAACTGACAATCGACAGAAAAGTAATCGAATCCTCCCATGCGATTAATTCGGGAACGAGGTTCCAATTTAACTGAGATCATACCCTACTTAATGATGTTTACTTCTTCCAATCAGCAAAAAAAACCTCAAATTTTTAAGGAAAGTCGAGTGACTTTAAGTCATACTTGACATATAATTATATAAGCGGTTGGTATTTCGTAATCTTTACCTTAGATTTACCTTAGAAGAAGACGAAACAGTTTTGTGCCCTTCACTTCGATTGAAGAAACAAGAAGTCAGCAAACACAAGAACAAAGCAACAGTGTTGAACATTATTGCTTCTCTTGGAGTGTCACCGTCCAAAACTGAGCAATCTTCTGATGGATATTAAGCTTTAAGTGCCACAAGAAGACTTTGATGAATAAGTATATATTGCCTAAGAGAGGGAGCCTCTGATACACAACTGGATGATTTTTCCTGTTCAGATTATGTCGACTGATCAAACAATGTAGAAATTAGTTGTTTACACATATTATCTTTCTTATTTAAATTTGCCACTGTCTCCCAAAATAACGCTTTGTTATGGAAAATTAGTGACATTTGGTAAAGAATCACTACGAATGGCTCAGAAATTCGACTCTTGTACGTCTATGATTCAGCCGATGTTACAGCAACTCGTTCGTTTTCCTTTGAGATGCGAAGGATTCAAGCTAAAGCATGGGGCAAAAGCGAATGATTAAAGTAAGAGAACTCTCGCTTTTATTGTTTCCTTTCGCTGAATGCTTTGTCTGCCACGCTACTCAGTTGCTCTCGCTTGGATAAAAAGGAGAGCAAAATGCTGTTAAGTTGACTAGTTTTGATTTAGACGTTGAACTAATCGAATGCTGAACTCGATAGATACAACAGTGATGTCGAAGTTTTCTTGAAACCGATGAAAATCGCGGAACTGGAAAAACACTGTGTTTGAGTTGTCAGAGTTGACAAGTAAATCAAAACATGAAATTAAACAGCCAGGGATCCCAAATGATAAATAAGCAGAATGACAACAAAAATGACAGAATGACAACAAAAGCCCAGAACTTCGGCTTGTTTTTCACAGTCAGTAAAATCAGATCGAAATGACAATTTTTTTATCGACAATCCAACGCGGAATTATGCCCTATGATTTAAAATTAATTCTATCGACTCTGTCTGTATACTACGAAAATGAGAAAATTGGAGCATTTGTTGACCCTTGCCGAGTGAGCGGTGAGTAAAATCTGAGCTTTGCACTGTTTGCAAATAAAAAATTTATTCAAGATATCATAATTTGTGTCACTACAGAAAGGCGATTTTCATCTCTAAGTTTCTCTCGTGTCTTTTCGTATGCCAATGTACGTTTTATCAGTTCCCACAGATTGCCACTACAAGCATCAGTGTTCTTGAAGACCGTATATCACTGCTACGCAGGCTATCAACGTGTAGCTATACCGTCTTTGCGAATTTCGAAATTTTCTTGATAGCTTGCGTCTCAGCGGGCACGATTACAAGAGATTCTTATTTTCAGTATTTTTTCAAATCAAGAAATAAAAAATGCCTTGGTATATATGGATATATATATATGGATATATATGGATATATATGGATATATATGTATATATATATATATATATATATGGATATATATATATTTATATATATATATATATATCCATATATAAAGAGTAATTTGACTTACGTAAGACAGTGGTCAATACATAGGAGTAGAGCGATGTATATATTGTGGGAGGAAAAACAGAGAGCATCAAGAAAGAAATAGGTCGCATCTTCAATAATAACGGTCTACGCATCACCATAGAGGCTAACAAACAAATAATCAACTTCCTAGACGTCACATTTAACCTTAAACGAAGCACTTATCAGCCATTCACAAAGCCGAATACTTCACTGCAATACGTTCACCGCAAGAGCAACCACCCGCCTGTCGTCCCTATCATCTGACAAAGCATCCTTTGACCAAGCCGCCCCTCCATACCAGAAAGCACTCGACGAAAGTGGATACCACTACATACTACAGTACGAACCAACCGACAACGCAATAACATCCTTTGGTACAACCCTCCTTTCAGCAAGAACACCAGCACCAACATCGGACACAAATTCCTCGCCCTAGTAGACAAACACTTTCCCAAAAATCACAAGCTCAGAAAAATCTTCAACCGAAACACAATCAAGATCAGTTACAGCTGCATGAACAACACGAAACAAATAATCGACAACCATAAAAAACGCATCCTAACCGCATCTATACAGGCTGATGATACCGCCGCCGCCACTACCATTAATAACAAGACATGCAACTGCCGAAAAAAGAACGCATGTCCACTCGACGGAAACTGCCTCCAACCATCAGTAATTTACCAAGCCACCGTCACGCGCAAAGACAACAACACGACAGAAACATACATCGGACTCACAGAGAAGGACTTCAAAACAAAATACAGAAACCATATCGCATCATTCCGCCACGCTAAACACAAAAACTCCACTGAACTCAGCAAGCACATCTTGACCCTCAAAGACAACAACATCGAGCACTTTATTTCCTGGCCCATTCTCTCATCACACTCGCCGTACAACAGCTCAAGTAAAAGATGTAATCTCTGCCTAAAAGAAAAATTCTTAATCATCTGCCGACCCGAACTATAAACACTGAACAAACGTAATGAACTCGTGTCTTCCTGCCGCCACAGAAACAAAGCCCTCTTACGCAACAACTAACTGTTAAATTCCGCACTGCATAAATTAGATCATATTGTATATATAGGCCATGGTAAAGATCTATTCTCATTAAATCCCCTGATGAGTGGGCAACCACGAAACAGGTCTGTAGGGATGAACTGGTAGTTTATTTGTCTTTTTCCTCCCACAAAATATATATATATATATATATATATGCAAACCCGTTTTCAAAACTGTTGCAACTTTGAAAATATCTATTAAATATATATCAAAAAGAGGACTTTATGACAAGAAAACAAAAAATACCTTTAATACACATATATATATATATTCTGTACAACATATTTCTTTCGAGATAATAGGAGGAAGTCTAACAGAAGTTACTTTAGCAGATCAAACTTGTCGAAGATTGGTCAGCATAACATTAAACTGAATATCACGAGGGCTTCAAAGTTTAAAAATTATTCATTTTTATTATGTTCATATCAAAATTATTATCACTGTTTATTCCTTTATGTCCCGCGCATGGCCATAATGTTTGAAAGAAAGCTGGTTTTTTCAGACTCCCTTAGGGAAACTCGAAATCTTTCTGTATTCAATACAATGTAAGAAAAATGCTGACACAAATTCAGTGTCTAGAGAAGAAGATATCAAAACTGATTCCCTTTTATACTGTGGCTTTCACTTGAGACTTTATAGAGTATAAATAAGCCCAAAATTGCAATTAATAATTAGCTTAACAAACTGTCGAACAACTTATGCATTGGTGACGTCATTCTCCTTGGGCTCCAGCGAACCAGAACAAAAACTTCAAAAGCTGTTTTGTCTTTCTGATTTACCAATCAGTAACAAACATAAAAGATCTGAAATAAGTCAAAGATGCTCAGAGTCAAAAATTAATAAGTATTCCGTGATAAGGAAAGTCTTTGCGTGGAGTCGCTGATGTTTAAGGTAACGTTTGTCCGTTTCTTTGATGTCCACACCAACTAAATTGCACTGGATATAGCTCATGGATTAAATTCATCCTCAAATATCCTACGACATCCAACTCTTCGCCGCGATCTTGTACATGTAAAGACTGGAGTTCAACTTCAAAGATGTACGATTTGTAATACTGATATGCCATGAACCTTACGGATACAAGCCTTGAAAAAGAAACGTTCGATCTGGAGTTGTTTGCGGCTTACATGACCTTGATTCTTGTCTTCGTTGCAATTATTATAAAGTCGGTTTTGTTTGCGTAACTGAAACAACAACTCTATTATAAATGGCACACAATGGTGGCTCATTAAATTATAACTTTTGGCGAACTTTCATGGAGGCGAAGCGTATACGAATGCGGGAAACACAGATAACGGAGTAACACTGAAAGCTTTACTTCGTATGATGAATTACGGATAATAGACATGAAATTGTGGTGATGCACTCAACAAAGAAATATCAGATATGCATTATTCATGTTCGTCAATTTGCAATGTTCCATTGATTATGAGTACAACTTGAATTAACACCTCATATACTTAACTTATGGATGCTTGATACGTGGGAAAACTTAACCTTCTACACGCACGACAAGAATTCACAAAAATTATGAAAAAGTGAACAGAGCTTGAATCAAAAAGTAACAGCTAGAGCAATGATGATTAAGTTATCAAGATGAACCGAAGGTGGCGAACTTGGCATTATTAATAACTTTATATTGATCGAAAACACAGATGTATCCCAACGATTTTCTTAATCGTAGTAAAGCTGCTATTTGCTGGAATTTCATAGAAAAATTTCAAACCGTTATTTGCGTAAGACGCATTAAGCTTCACATAATGAATTCATCTTCAGCTATTTTTAACACGGAGCAGTTGTGTCATGTGCCAGATCTTTCTCAAATTGTATTTATCCAATTCAATAGGTGTTCGTGATAACAGATAATATTGACAATTACAATCAATGCGACTGCTTCTTTAAATTCGAGCCTATCCAGCGAGGAAACCGGCGATTTCTTTTCGTATACATCTCAGAACATGTTACATAATCAAGTCATTTAAGTCAGAAAATTGTGTACCTACGAGTGACAATTAATTCTATTGACAAAATGGGTTGATCTTGGTAGAAAAAAAATAATAAAAGATAAAACCAAATAATTACTCAGAGCAGAGTTAGTAATGAAGACGCTTCTATTCTAATGATGTATGATGTTAGATTCGCTTGCGGCTTCTTTTAGAAACATGGCGTGCAAGCTTCCAAAATCTCAGTTGTGAATTTGCATTAGACATTGTACTAATAGGTTGAAGGCTCCAAATCCTCCTTCGTTGATTGTGAGCGGTACGGCTAGATCAAGAGAGATAGTTTTAATTCATAAGCGCAAATAGCTCAGACACCCTGATAAGTCAGAATGCATCCTGCGACCTCTCTTATTGAACTTTGCGCATTTCTGAAATAAAAAAAATCACAGAGATAAAAGGAATAAATTAAAGATAAAACAAAAGAAGCTAGTTCGCTCCATGCTCAGCATGCTTTTTTTTCTGCTGATCTCTCAGTATATCAGATTATCTTTATTTAAATTTCAGTGGTTTCGTTAGCTCGTGTTGTAAAACACCTGACTACAGTGCAGGAAGTGGAGGGTTTTTAGCCTCGAAAATGATTAGATATTCTAGTCTTCACAGATAAGGACGATATAACATGGGCCCCGACGCTTGCATCTTCCCTGTACTGGTTAGCAGGGTACGTTAAGGAACCCTTGCACTTCTCGCAAAGCGTGTGGAACATAGCCCCCGGTGTTGTGGTCTGGCCTTGTTGTTTTATACAGGCCCTTATTGAAACCAGCTCTGAAGCTGGATTGAGCCAGTCTGTTTAAATTTTGTAAATGAATAAATAAATGAAATAAAATAGAACCCTAACTCTAAAAGTTCCTATTTTTCAACAGAGGTGTAACTTTTCGATCGTAAGTAATACACTCCCCATACGCAAAAGTCTAATATACTTCTTGACTCAATTCTTCATCGAAAGTGATCATTCTACATCCTAGCGAATAACTCGACATGTCCACCACTTCAAGAATTGTTACGACTGGCTTCTTACAAAAGGTCCGTGTTTGTGAGATATTAGCACCAGTCCCATACGCTTGCCGCCTGCAGCCGATTTGCACGTCGACGATGAGCCCAACCATTCAAATATCCTGTGGTTTTTGAGACACGGAACAGTATGGATCCGGTATCCGTCCTCTCTGATTGACGTGATATATAGAGCTAAAATGAGTGATTATAAGAAACAAAAGGGTGGTAGATACAATTCCCAGGGTTATCCAACCGCCAATCTGAAGAAGAAAGAATAGATATTGCATGAGACGCCTTCGCCTAGGTTCCCTTTAGGAGGATATCGATCTCTGACACCAGTAGTCGGCTAAAAAAAATCACAATGAAGGCGTTTTCTCTCGACTAAACGTCCAAGTCCAGAATCTGAATTGTCAATTTTTTCGTTTTCAATTTTATCTTAACCATTTCTTTGAGCAAATTTCAAACTCACGCAAGCTGATCGCTGTGTGCGTATTCAACTCTTTCGAGATTGTCACGTGCACTTTTGTCCTGTTTTATTCCAACAAAATTTCTTGAAGCAGCTGTATATACATGGAGAGTCAAGCGATCCCGTTACACATATGTATAGAAAACTCGCCCTGACGAAAAACTAACGCTCGAAACGTCAGCTATGAGACTCTTTACAGTGGCTAATTTACATGATCAACTCAGTTGATACAACCAAATTATCTTGTTAAAAAAACACAGCTATTTGAGTGAGAGATCAGAACAACGCCAGCTATTTTTTGGCCTTTAAATGTCGATGTTAATTTCTGGTTTTGTGTCGTCTTGCATATAGTACATTTTATACCGCTTTACTTCTATTTTAACTATAGGGACTTGGTAATTAAATTGCATTATTTAAACGATAGAAAATGCCAAATATATCTTACAAAGGTTGTGAAACAGAAATATCAAAGCATGTCGGAGACTTTGTGATTCGTGCGTGACGTCGACACATGTTAGATGATGAGTGTAAACATGATTATGTCAAGAGCTAGAAGCACCGCCTCAAGTGATTTTGGGACATTGATCGGTTTACATGATCAACGCAACCTTAAATAACCTTTTAAGTCAGCACTCAGCAACAACCAATCACAAGGTAGATAAGAAAGTGATTTCTTACAAAATTTGCAGAGTAGCTTTTTATACACCCGTTGTACATAGGCGAATACGAGAGTGGAATAAAACAGTTTGATTGAGTCTAGCTCGTTAGAATTCTATCCCTAGTAAACGGGGCAAGTTACGAAAAGCAGCCATTTGAAAACCATGAACACGTTGTATTTCCCCCCTTCGTTACGTACATGCAAATTTACACCCTGGGACGGGGGGTGGGGGACTAAATACCCCCGGTGTATGGCTCATGACCATACAGGGAAGCACTCTAGACAGGGTAATTTTTTCCTTTTTCAAATTTTTCCTAAGATCTAGTACAGTCCCTTGCACCTATCCGCTAGCGGAATAACTTTTTCGCCTATCTCGTTAAATACGATGTAGTGTGCCGATTGGAATCTGAAGCGTATGGTAATGGAATTTCAGAAACCATCACAATGTCACGATAAATGCGCAAGCTCTTGCACAGTCCTTCCTTAACTAGCAAGGCCTAATTTTTCTAAGGGAAGAAATGAATGAAATAAATTGAATTAGGTTAGTTATCGTAATTGGTAGGTTAAGAGGTGATAATTGTGACGAGCCAAACACACCAGTCAACGTACCTTTCTGTAGAATACGACGCTCTTGTCCTCATCAGCATGTTGAACGCGTACTCTGTTTGTTGGCTCGCCATTGCCTCTAAAGTTTGTATTAGTCCTAATGGAAGATTCAATAACCACTGTTGTCTGTCTGCTTGAGACTAGAACTCCACTGGAAGGTTTCGGCATGTTCATTAAACTCATATTTGTTGAATTAAACATCTTCAATGCTTTTGTTTCCACAACAAGTCTCGTAGTTCTCGCAATGGATTTTAAAGATGGAGAGGGACTAACAGACGCTCGCAAAAAAGCCGGAGAACTTTGATTTGGCGCTGCACCGGTGGCTGAAGTATACACTTGAACACAGGCAGAATACAAAATGAAACACTTGGGTACCAAAAAGCGACGAGTAACTCCAAAGGTCAGCGCTGTTCGAAGCACAGATTTTTCCATAGACATTCTACGCGTGACTGTCGGCTTGCTGTTGTAACTGATTTCTGTCGTTATCTGTTGAGGCGATGTAACATAATAATCACATCAACGCATAACGAATCTTTGCAGTGGCCATGACACGGCTAAGCTTCACAGATGTTTTCAATCTTTTGTTCGCATAAAACTTGAAAAAAAAAACCCTAAAAAATAAAACACACAATGAATATTTTCTCGAGACTGTGTTTGTATGAACAGTCTGTCATCTTCAGGCGTTGTTGAAGCGGCGAAACAATAGTAAAAAATGATATAACTTTTGAGTGCTTTGAAAATGGCAGCCTTCCAAATCTACTGAATGGTAAACAATTGCAAAAGTTGTAGCTGGACATTAAAATTGCTTTGAGAGCTGTAATTTGTTTGGGTTTTGATTAATGCAAGAACTGAAATTTGGTTGCCCTATTATGTAATTTAAGAAGGAATAATATGAGTGGTTTTAAGGAGTTTGTCATGAATGTTAAAGCACCTTTTCTTTAGCTTGTGAAGGACGTCGACGTCAATTTAACTGTATAAATTAAGTAATTAAAAGCATTTCTGTCATTTTGTTCACGTTTTCAAGTGCACTATGATGAAATAACACATTTACCTTAGCCGCAATTCTCTTGTTAATTTTTTAAAGCTTTTTTGCCGTTGAATTGACTTTTGAAGCTAATTTCCGTTTACTGATCAAGTTTCTTTCGAAACATTTTCCCAGGAAATACTAACTTTTTTTCAGCAATTTGCAAACGTACGGCAAATAAAGACGCATCAACTGTAGTCTGTTCGGTTGTAAAGCATAGAAGAAGTGGCAACTAGGGCTCGAAAAAATGGGAAGTGGGAGAAATACGAGATTAAATGAAGTGTTTTTATGTAGTTTATGAGTGCTGCAGCCCCTTCTTAAATATTTCGAAGCAGAACAGAAAACAGCTGAGACTTCTTTATTTGTCTTTTGATAAAGAGTTCTCTAATTTCCGCACTCATTCGTCATTGTTTTCAAAACAAACTTTAGTTGAAAGTTATATTAGTATTACAAATTTAACAAATAGATACTATGATGTCTGGTCAGTAATGGATAACAGATGACGTCAAGATGTGGTTACACCAAAAAATTTTCACTCGAGGCGCAGCCGCGTGTGTCACCTCGCCAATGCTTTTACCGCATTTTAACGTTTCTGTGATCTAGTACTGCACATTCACATGGTTAAATAGAATCAATTTGTTTCACATAGTTAAGAAGCAAAAAACTGCTAATGGTGACGTCATCTATGCGTCTGTTCTCTTAGAGATTATAAGTGATAACCAATCAAAACGCGTGTACAGTTCAGCTTATCACATAAAAGGTTATTATTTTGTCTGTTATTATTATTTTTCCATTAAGGGTATTTAAGTGATGGTATATGCTATTGTGAGGAAAGAAATACGCAGTCATGGATCTCCAGGTCTCCATTGAAACTGAATCGATAAATGCAACTGGCAAATAGATTTTAGGAAGGGGAGAGTGGGGGTATGTTTTTGAAAAGACTGTTTGTTACGTTTATTAAAGTTCTATTCTCCCAATACAAATGGATAATTAGGAAATTATCTTTTTTCATATTTCTCTGCTGAGAGAAACGTTTTAAAAGTCATTTGCACACCAAAAACTAGGCATCGCTCGATTTGATCTTAATGATAGTTCTCATCCGGCGGCGACTTTTTCAGTTTTAACATACATGATGATTGGTGATTTGCAGATGCCGGGTAAAACTGTACAAACGAAAATTTAAAAACAGAAGTTTCACCAAATTCACTCAGAATATAAAAAGCTGCGATCATAATTTAAATTTCAAGCTGAAATTAGCTATATCAATTCAATGAATATGCATACTTTGTCAATGAAACACCTCGTCATGTTTCCTCAAAGAATAATGTTTTTTCCAGGTGGTCAACTTTATTTGAAGAACTGAGGATGTGCCGATCGCGGAGAACATACAAAGCACTCTTTCAGATTTTTTCGTAAGCCTTCTAGTTGTAATTAAATAGCGATTGCGGCCTTCTTTGACCAGCCCTTTGCCGATTAAATAGCTGTAAAAACTGTTCCTTTTTTATTGTTATTATTACAATGATTCGCATCAGTTTTGGTTTTACCCTTTCTTTTGCTCCAACTAGAAGACCATTTAGCTTGAGTGAATGTTGTCAGCTCACGTTCTTGCACACGATGTAGCTGAGACTACAGATTCTTTCTTAAGTAAGATTTGAAATTTTACGTTCCCATGACAAAAATGTCAATGAGAATGTTCCATAACTTCTTCTATATATGTAGCTGACAACTGTCCGTGACTTTTTCATTTTTAGCAAAGAGATCAATTCTAGAATATTACGAGGAGGCAACTTTGAACAGTTTTAATTTAACAAATTGACCTTTTGAGTACAATTTGAGGACAGAAAAGTAGAGATGGTAAGTTTTGAGCTCGGTGAAGAATTAAGAAAGATGTTTTTTCGTCTTGTCACGAGCGTAGGACAAAGAAAATTCTGAGTCCTCATGAGGAATCGAACCTCATCACCGAGCTCAAAACTTACCATCTCTACTTTTCTGTCAAAAACATTACGCTATCGACATTGCTGATCCTGGAAGTATGCAGGATGTGTGTCATTAGAACTTCGTAATAGACCCCACTCACCGAAGAGTCTTTGTGGCTTAGTGGTAGAACATTGGAGCGCAAATCCGAAGGTCTGAGGTTCGATTCCTCATGGGGGCTCAGAATTTTTCTTTGTCCCACGCTCTTGACAAGACGAAAAAACATCTGTCTTAATTTGAGGACAGTTGTGAAGTTGGTGGGTGTTTGAAATTTTATTTCCTAAAATTTGCTCATATCAGACGACACATTAAAAAAAACAATGAAATAGAATTACAACAACAACAAAAGAAATGCATCGATATTTCAACACGACTGTAAACACCTTCCAAGATCGTCTGAACGAAAGCATTTTGAGACACTTTGAAATGCCAAAGAATAATATCTAGATCAACTAAACTCGAAAATATGACTAAAACCGACTGATAACTCACGATGCACCATGAAATCCCAAGTTGCTTAGAAGCTCGAAATGGAAAGAGAAACCTGGAATTCTAGAAAATTATCAGCCGATCTGCCATCGCGATTCAGAAAAATTTAGAAAAAACCCGCAATACATGGGTTTTTTAAAGGTCAAAACCATTGATCGACAAATCTTTATTTACGTTCTTCCCTTCAAAAAGAGACACAAACACAACGTAGGCAGATGCTAATGCTTTCGTGTTTTTGACATTAAGTAAAATTATTTATGCGTATCATTTGAAAACGGTGAAAATTTTTACAGTTTTTGAACCATAGGAACATTTTTACCATGAAAATTCGAATTCAGTTCAAAGTAAACCAAGCGAACTTTTTTAAATCTAAAGCGATTTCCGGCAGAAGATTATTTTTCTGTCAAATTAAAAGCATAAGACAGTAAAAACAAATTACACAAGTGAATCAACATTTTGTATTATCAATGGCCATGTATAATTGATGACAAGGACACATCTTGTCCTTGTTGGTTTTATTTTCATTGTTAATTTTTGGGCTTTCAACCATGAGTTAAAAAGGGGGATCGGCTTAATGCTATCTAGATGATAAAGAATGTTCTGGCGTTGAATAAATATTGTTAAACTAAACGTTACGTTTTAGATCAAACAATAGATTGACGCAACATTTTCATCGCCGTAATATTTCAACTGCTACGTTTCACAACGGGATTGTTATGACTTCGATTTTGGCCTTGTCCTAACTGAAGTGTTAAACTTAAGGCTGTTAATAACCTTTTTCTTTTTTCTTACCTCCAGCGATTTACCTTCGCCTGTGACTCGTATGCATTCTCTAAAACGTAGTCATGTGTTTTTTCCATGCAGTTAAAATAAAAATGCATGCGAAAATGACATTAAGATTCATGATTAAACGTGACAGCTGTGCATAATGTTTGATAAATTAGAAATGTTTTTAAAATCTTTTCGCGAAGATTAGAGGCCGTATTTTAAAGTAGCATTTTAATCTTAAGGGAATTTGAACACTTATTGAATCTTTCTCTAGCTCTCGGAATAAGCCAGTAAAGAAAATGTCAGTGATCAAGTTAAGCATTTCAACTTTCAGTGTTAGTAACATCAACCAGTTGGCCCCTGATAATTTCATAATTTATCGCAGGAATGATATTACTTGTCAAGCCGTTACCATGGTATCCAAATCGAACCGAAAGTGAAAATAACAAAGCAAAACGAAAAGCTAAAATGACCCAAGCCACTCTCGTTCGTGTGGTAATATTCTGCGCTAAAAAGATTGTAAAATTATTTTAGTGGGTGTATTTTGTCAGTAACATACTGTTGCCGCAATAGGATCATACATGGTTGCTTGTAGATGGGGAATTTCTCTTCTCCTGTTCAATCTGATATCTTACTTGTTCGCTGCGCTCAGTTGTGAGATATCGCATTGAACATGAGACAAGAAATTTCATATCTAATAGAAACCTTACATTAGTTTGTTCATTATCATAAAAACACCATAGGCCTTCACTGACAAGAAAAGCCGACTTTACTGACGAGAGTGGCGCGAAAGAGTGACGTGTTACCAGCTGTTTAGCGACATCAAACACACGTTATAAAATATCGTTAGTTTACGCGTGTGCAGTTTTTTCTCAGGGCTGGAAATTCTTGTACCGCATTTAATATATCAGATTAAAAACAATTTCTCAGTGTAATATAATATAAAAGTAGCTCCTTTACCGTATACCCCAAAATAATGAAAAAGATATTTCAAAAAAGGAAGATATTTATTGCATTGATCTGAATAATATTATCCTTTTCATTAATCACCCGGTGGAAAGTTCCTCACCTTTTTACACCTGTGAAGCACTTAAAATTTTTTCCAAGCAAGAAATTATTCTTTGGTTGCATACACCAAAAACTTTAATCACTTTCCTACTCTCACGAACTTCCTTTCTGGTAGAGTCATTGTCTTTCGTAATCTAATTTAAAAAATAGCTTGTGTCTTAAAACACGTTTAATCCAGCAGAGCCCTTGACTCCCGTGATTAATGGCATGTTTAATGGCACGCAAAATGACAGCAAGGATTGTTGTCATTTTTCGTGCAAATTCTGTGTAGGATAGATTAACCTGTAAAAGAGTAACATTGCCTTAAAATCTTATCCATCCTTTTGGAATTGAAAAGTCTTCAAATGATATCATCAGCATGGTTCAAATGAGAGTAGGAAAACTAGTCGCCGAGGTATTCTATCTCTCTTAAAGGCGAAACTAGTACAAGAAACAAGATTGATTCATATTATTCTGACATACTATTATGGATGTTAACTGTTCTCTGTCAGTCTTTTTTCTAACTGTTTGGTATTCTAGAATGCAGGGACGATTGAATGCCATCGAGGAAAGTTGCATCTCATGTTTAAAACCCTCGACCAGAGTATTCTTCAAGTACATACAGACAAGCTGAACTACGAACACCATGTCAATTGAAATATAACAATGGCCAATTTTAATGGCTTTCCAAATATAGATAGGCCTTGAAATTCAAACGTCTACGATACACATAGGCGGATTGTACTTCCCAAACGCTTTCATTTCCACATAGATAGATATGCCCATGAATATAAAGTAAAATATAAGATAGATGCAGCCCACTTTTTTATCCAAAACCCATTTATAGTAGTAAATAATAAACAGCGTGACAGCTATGGAGCCCAAAATGAAGAAACAAGAGACGAAGAGTCCGTGACTGTTGATGACGACGGCTGAGTCATAGTCCCACACAGTGGTTTTGACAAGCCAGGGAATTCCTAGGCACAACAGGATGTCGAATACATTGCTACCAACTGTGTGCGACACGGCCATATCTCCGTCACCTACAGGAAAAGTAATAAAAAAAATAATGGCAACTGAGTGGGTTCCGAATTTTAATCCTGGAATCGACCATTATCCTAAGTTTGCAATAAAGTTTTACGAAATGTGTTTTATGCCTCAGGGTTATATTTTGCCGCAATTAACAAATTTTGCGGTCACTTTAAATGGTAAATTTGTTTTTGCCACCAAATTAATTTGTGATTTTAAATCAGTAAGTTTGGAAAATGTTAGTTTAGATCTTTTAGTGTCTACGTTAATAAGCTGAATCGTGTTAACAGTAGAACAAAGATTTGAAAATTGATTCATTTTGTTTTTGAAGAACCCGTCGGAAACAGAAGGGAAATGATAAATGCCTCGCTAATTTTGGCCTGTCATTCCGTCATGTTAAAAATCCTCTTTTTCCTCCTTCGATAATGACCTGTGCGCTTCGCACTCAGCCATGAATCGTGGGGCTAAAATTCGGCTCCTAAATTTACAGAACAGATATCAACCCGATTAGTAAGGGGTATTTATTTCTCTCTGAAAAACCTTGAATTGCAATTATCATGCATCAGACTGAGTATGAAAACTGATTGGTCGAGAGAGCATTCTGTCAATAGACAATAGCTTGTGAAGTAGACATGACAACCTAACATCTGCATCAGATATTGAATAATATGCCGAGTTCAAAGTCTACCTAGTTTCCAAGGCCCTTGCCCTTGTGGCTGGTTCTCAAGCTTTTGCAAATTCAGAGAGAAGTTTCTTCTTGTACAGATTATTTAAAAAACTGTAGGATAAAACAATTATAGAATTCCGTTTTCTCACGATATCATGAATTATCAAAAGTCATAACTGTGTTATCGGTCTCCGCCTTCGGCGAATAACTCAGACCTCGCATAATTAATAGTAACATGTTCAAACTCATCCAATAGTTGCTTATTGTTGTACTGTCCAAGTTACACCAGTTGTGTAAAGATAAATTTACCAGATTCTCTCCCCCGCCGTGAAGGCTATGTAATATCCTTGTGACCCCCCCCCACCCCCTCTGCATCAACAATTAATCGGCAGTCAATTTTCGACAGTCCCCCTTTTCATTAGCGACGCACTGGTCCCCCTTCGTTCCTCCTAAACGAAGGGGGGACCCCAATAGTCCTTTTAGTCCCAGCCTCTTCCCCCCACGGGGGATGCGATAAATATTGGGTGGTCACAGGATCCGTCGAGGGTTAAACAGGAAAAAATAACTGCAGAAAACAAACTCTTAATAAAACGATGAGACAAATTTGGCACCCACCTTTCTGCGCTACAAAGAGGCTTGATAAGCAGTCGGGAACACTGCTACCGAAAGCGACAAGAGAAAGTCCCATAACGGTATCAGGAATCATGAAAGTGTATCCAATTATAGTAACCATCCAAACAAGAATGTATGACGTCACACCAATCCACACAATGCACACCACAAAAGAGAATCCCGCGAACTTACGACAAGATTCCTTTTTTACATCTGGGATTGTGAAATAGAATAAAATGTTGATTGGCAGCCCAAGCGCCCAGCAGAAGCGAGCCCAGACTCCTTCCGGTGGACTCAATGGCGTTCCTAGGGTGAGATCTGGGACCTCGTGAGGTCTTTGTTGATCATATTCATAGTGATGAGCCAAATGCTCGCCGCTTTCTGAGGATTGAAAAAAAAAAAAAGAAAAGAACATTGAAAGACCTTTTATTAGTCTTTCTTTTCTCTTTTTAGAACCTATGGATTTATTCCTATGGCAACAGTTTCATCATAGCTTGTAACCTTCGACATGCGTAGGACTCTTCTCCATCCTTAACAATCCATATTCTGTTTTATTTTATTTCCACCGAACTGTTATTTTTACTATCTTTCCAGGGATCTCTAACATCTTTTTTTGCCCGTGATGATCAAAATTGTGGAAATAACTACAGGTATCAAGCCACAACACTTTTAAGTTTTTGCACACGGAGGTAAAAAATCCCTATCAGTTTCTTGAAACACGTACAGCCTGTACTTGAGAATCAAATGGAAATCTTACCAGAGAATACAGGTTTCTTTTCCTTTTCTTCCTCCTTTTTATTTTGTTCGTTGTCTTCTTTTACATCTTCTAAATCGTCTTTCTCCTTGTTTTTCTCAAATTCAGTATTTTCTGAGTCATCTCCGGGAACTTTTGAGTACCCGTTTTTCTTGCCGTTATTAGCGTGAAGTTCAGACTTGTATTCAGGGCTAGTTGTGTTTGTCACCCTGTAGAGCCACGCCTCGATGCGAGGATTGAAATACATAATCAGAAGGTAGACTGAGTAGAAGCAAACCATAGCCGTGGCTTCTGACCTGAGGAGATATCATGAATACTTTTAGAGGAAAGTTTTTCAAAAAAGTGAAACTGGTTCAACTTTTATCCACTGATTTCGTTTTGAATTTAAAATCTGGAGTTTTTTTTCCTTTTTTTTCTCCCAAACCTCTATTTCGTGTATCATTCTCATTCATGGCCCAGCCAGGATTGTGTACCATGGTCAGGTAATTAGCTGGTGTTCAACAGGAACATGAAGTTTTAATCAACATAAGTGATTTTCAAGTTTGTTAGAACAGGAAACGAACAGATAATCAATGAAAAACCATGATTATCAATAAAGGCGGGGAGGGGTGGGTGCACGGATTTAATTTCCCGGATCAAATTTTACATTACCCCTTTTTCCGGACAACATTTGAGCTAAATTATTTTTAAAATTTACCAGCTTACAAAACCTAGATCCCATTTTTACCCCTTCAGACACTTTCCTCACTGTTAAGTTAGCAATCGAATCATCACGTGCAAGTTTAAATGCTATCGATAATTATTTGAAACCTCCTCACCAGATGACTATGTTATCCATAAGAACCAACATGAGTATAACAAGACTGAAAAGATAGAACATGCTGTCCCTCACTAAAGGCCACCAAGCAAGGTACAAAACCTAAAGGAATCAAGTGAACATGAACGTGAGGAAAAAAATTTAAACCAATTTAAATAAAGATATTTCTGTTCAGGTAGAGCGAAAACAACAACAACAACAACAACAACAACAACAGATAAAAAGTTAGAAAGATTTGTTCAAAATTGATAGAATAAAACCAGAAAAAGATACTGTTGACAATTTGAAATAAATCAAGGCTTCAAAGAGGAGTAACAGGCAATTAAAAGGTTTGTTTACTTATTGAAAAGCATTTTGTGTTTGGCATATGAGAAGCCTGTATTATTTTGCTGATTGATGTATGCTTTACTTAGCTTACCGTGCCTGCCCCAACGCCGCAGACACCAATCACAAAAAGTACGTTAAAAACTGCTGATCCTAAAATAGTTCCAACGCCAATGTCTCCTTTTGTGACAAATACACCTAAAAAAGAAAATAAACTTCTCAGTGAAAGCACGAAAAAATTCCCGACTGAATTTGGCGGGTCGTACCGTGAAATTCAGCCCGCTAAATTGACCAATCATGGCTCGCGTAATAACTGAGAGATACCATAAGTCAGGTTACTAACCAATCACAGAAGCAAAAAGCTCAGGTGCCGAACTTCCTAAGGCCATAAACGTAGCCCCAGCTACATCACTTTGAAGATCCATTTTCTCGCAGATGATCTCCAAACATGGCACAAAATAATCATCACACACTATAGCTATTGCCCAGAACATGTAGAAGGCGACTGCAAAGTTAACAATAACAGCGCCATGTTGCCTTTGCTTCTGGTTGAAAAAATCGTTCGGGAACTCCTCTATCGATGGTGGCGTGCAGTTTTTCAGCTTGTGGGTTTTGTGAGCTGAAAGATGCCTTGACGTAAAAGATATTTCTAAAAGGGATTTTAAAAGAATGTAATTACTTCTAACACTGCATAAAAATAAAGCAAACAAATAATTACCTAAGGAAATTAGTAGGAAACTTTTCATCTTATAGGGAGGGGAATGGGTCTTGCATTTGTTCAGAATTAAGTGTCTAATTGAATAAGAATGAAGACGGCTATGTTTCAGTTTGTGATAATATGACACATCTAAGGTAATAATGAAATAAACCAGTTAATAAAAGACGATATGGGAATTCCCATATTAGAAATTGTTTGAGCTTTTTAGTTTCGAGGGACCTACGAGCATGCAGATGATTGTATTGTAAAGCCAAATAATTCAGCGGTGCGTAGGTGTTAATTTTTTTTGTTATGACAAGACTTGTCTGACAATGTCACTGCTTCTTGAAAAACTGCGAATGAAACAGGTACTCTGCGCCTCTGGAAAGTATAGTTTTCCTTTTTCAAAAATTGGTATTGAGGTAAAACTTTAACCTATGATCGTTTTGATAAACCATTCGCTCAGTGAGCTACTGAACTACTTTAAGAATTTTCGTGAATCTATCAAGTTTCCATTTTAAAAACTGCATCGCTTTCATTTGCCCTGTCGAATATATTTAACTGCAATGACCCATCAGCAAGATTACCAAGCTTACAAACAATTTCTCTAATGTATTTCCTACAAAAGAAATATATGAAAATTTTCACTTTGGATTTAGCATCATTCTCCTTTAAGCGGAGGGATCTGAAAAACTAACGCTGATGGGAAGCAAGGCCAGTTTTCGCGTAGTGGTTATTGATGGCAATACCGCAGAGAAGCTGCAATCGTAGGACACCTAATTTTTTAGATGATAAGTTTTAAACACAGAACGTTTCCAGAAGAAATACTGAATGTGGAATCTGATCTACAATCAAACGAGTATCTTACGAAGGCTCACTTCTGGGGGTGGGGGGGCCTGCCACTAACAAATATTTGTTTACTTCGTAGGTGGTATTCAAATCAGACGTCAAACAAAATATTTGTTTTCAAAATATAAAAACCTTTTGTTTCACTGTTTTCCTTACAGGTACATCGAACTGTTTACGATATCATGATCTACCTGAATGTTCTTTTGTGATTGCTGTACTTTCGCTTGTAATGTCCTTGCTTAGGTCATGGTAAGCCAAAGCAGTAAACAGGACAGCAAGTACTCCACCGCACGCCAGCTGAGTCTTGAATCTTCTCTTTCGTCTCATGGTTGCCTAAAATCACATTTTTGTAAGAAAAAATTCAATACTTAAAGAACTGATTTCTAACGCCAAGATAAAAACTTTTCAGGTTGCTTCATTTGCTTACACAATATGGTATTTATGTGGTAAGCTATTGGTTATTTATTCAAAGACCTGCAGTTCGAGATACGGACCTGTAAGAAGCGATCAACCGCGACCTGTGGCTCAAGGGAAAATAGCGGGAAAATTGGCGCTTACCAAGTCGTTCGCGTTTCCTGTATCCTTAAAAGCGATAAATGCGATGTAGATTAAGCTTTAAAGAGACTGAAACCCAGTAACTACGATTCAATTTCGCGGTTAACTGAAAATTATTATTTAAATATTTCTATTTCATTCACACCGGTTCAACACGATTTCTTCTGTCTACAAAGTAATGAATGAATGTAGTCAATTGATAGTGTCCAAATAGTCCATATAAAACAAAAGCTTTCGACCGTCTGCTATAAACAAAAGATATTCGGAAGTTAAAAAAGTTTTTTTACGATGATAAAATTGTCTCAGATTCCTATGCTTAGCTTTAAACAACTTATTTTTAAGTCTATCAGTAGATTTTTACTCCTAATACTCTAAATGTAATTGTTTGGTTCTTGTTGGCATTTTTTTCGTTTTTTTTTATTCGGATTTATCAAGCGAAAGAAACGGTGAGAAACATAAAGAAAAAGGCAAGCGCAGCTCAGGAAAAAAGAGGAGAAAGAGCGAACATAAAGCAGCACTTTTACCGAAACCACATGAAAACGTTTGCTTTCATGGGACAGAAACTCATGTAAACGAAAGATTGATGGAGAAATTCTGGATGGAAATATTTGAAAAAAAAAAGTGAAAGTGAAAGTGTTTGTTAGAAGACTACATTAAAGATTAACTTATAAACACACATGAAAGCATACTGATTGACAGGGCCTCCTACCTCTGAGCCACATGTAGGTCTAAAAATTTTTAAGAGAGACTTTTAAATCAAAGCTATTATCTTTAGTTGAATGCGTTTTTTTCGTAGCTGAGTAGTGGAGTTTCATGCGCTTCCTTCCCTTTTACTGTAGACTATCTCGCCCCTTGAACTGTTGAAATATCTCGTTATCTAATAGAAGTTCAAGTAAAGTTGAAAAAGCTTTATTTTAACGAGGTGGTCTATCAGCTCGAAGGCTAATATCCATGGAGGCCTTGCATCTTGAAATTTACCCGCATTAACGAATCAACACCATATATCATATCAAAATTCTAAAATATACCTAAGTTACAACGAAACATCATCAAACTCATGATATAAAGCCCACACACTTCTTGCAGAGAGAGGGGAACGTAGGTCCCGGTGTTGTGGTCTGATCTCGTTTCCGAAATTGAAGACATCTACAAATTTCTTATTTCAAAAATCGTGAATTGTTGAATGCAGTCGGGCCAAAGCCCCCTCAAAGTGTAGTAAAGCGCCATGAGCTCAAGGAAATGGCGCTATAGAAATCCCTCATTAACATTACACATTATCATGAGAACAAATATGTCTTGCTGGGGGAAGGAAGTCTGTGTGCGAACTCTGCGCTATTGTATTAAAGGGCAAAGTCCTTATCCCATAATTAAGTTTAACCCTCAGTAAGGGATAACCAAGGAAAAATGCTTTTTTAAAAAAATCCATTAGAGTATGATGAAATGTTGGTGGGAGCTGAAAAGTAAAGGCAGAGAAGGTTGGCCTTGTGGTAGGAACGTCTGCTTGAGGGAAGGTCGACTAGTACAAATATCCAATTGCCTCAGAAGAACGCGAGCAATGTGTGATTATCTGGGCAGACCTATTTTAATGGCTCTGTTATCTGTCAATGTCTTTTCGTAGGAGACTGATTCAGGTAACGTCGTTTTCGTTCAACTTAGCAGTCGTCCTTACCTAGCGACCAATTTTACAGCAGCTGCTCTGCCAATTTTTATCTTCGATTCCACAAGAGGAAATCAACAGCGTCACTGAAGCTTTCCTTCACGTATTTCATTCTCTATTTGTCCTCCAAAGTTATGACAAACAAAGGTCTTGAAAGCCGTCGTGATTGGCCTTCTCTCAAGTAAACTTTGATATCCGTACACTCGCTTAAGATCCGATCAAGTAGATTGTGGTTTTGGTATAAGTTCATGAAATTCTTACAACATAAAGGAAAATGAACGAAATCTTTACCTCAAGAGAATCGGCAGGACGCTTCGACGGAGACTCCTTCTTACTTCTTGTCAACACATTTTTTTTCGAACAAATATTGGGCGTGAGCTTCCCACGACATAAAGACGTCAAAAACTAATCCTGGGTAATTTCACCAGATATAGCCTTTCTGGGAATATTCAGATGTAAATTACAACCACGCCCTATGTGCCATTGAGAGATAAATAATAGGCAATCACAGTTGGAAACATTTCAAACAAGATTTTTGTCCTCTAACCATTAGTTCAATACTGCAGATCTTTATAAGTGTAAAAATTTCAAATATCTCGAGTTAGATGTAAGAGACTACATATAAAACAAATTAGGTGAAACATATCATCTCTCTCCACGTCTTAATTAGTAATGGCCAGTCAAAAAAAGGAGCCTGAGGCAAGAACTGACTGAAGAAAATAAATGAGGAAATTGTGAGCCAAAGTTACTTGGTGAGATACAGTTACAGTTCGATAAAGTTATAATTTAATACGGCGACCTGTTAAGTTAAATGGTAAGAGGGAGTCATATTGTATCCTTGTAGTGTTTAGTTTTTCTGGCATTTGTTGTAAACTAGTATCCTTATTGCCGAGTGATAGTAAAGCAGCGGAATTAGTCAGTTTTCATCACCACGATTCGCTGGCGATACAAGTGTTTTGCCTGTTATAAAACAACTACAAGTCGAAAACATGAAGAAAGGTCCCTCAAATTATTCAAAACTTCAAACCGCTGAGTTTAAACTCCACTTAACTCGTTAAAATAATTGCAATTAAGAAGCGTTGTCTAGGAAATTGTCTTTCATTTGCAATTTATAATATTGCTTGCATTTAATTTTATTTTTGTTTTACTAAATAATAAGCCCGTTTATCTGTTTACTCCATAAACCAAAACAAAAAGAACACGAGCGCACATTCTCTTGTCCAAAATTATACTAGTTATTGTTTAAAATCCAAAGCTTTTTAACATATTCTGGCGATCAATTACCTATATGAGTATAGTTTATGAACTGAAATTTCAATAAAACCGTATTTTTCATTGCGTAAAAGAGAAGTATCTAAGTAACACAAGAAAAGCTCCAACGGGCACATCCTTGCTTTTACTTACTTTTTCGCGCGCATGCTAGAGTGATCAGCTTCAATTGGATTTTAACTCAGTTCTAAGTCCACATTCTTCAGCTCATCAACTGGTTACAAGAAGATTAGGGGAAATTTTTTCCTCAAGGATCTACTCAATGATTCGAGTGATTGTATTGCTCAAGGGAAACGGATAATAAATTATGTAGTCAGAAAAAAAATTAAGTTGGGTATGACACATTATATGTTGCAGACCAAATCTGACATCTTGAACTTTTAAGGCAGAGAGGCAACAAATACACGGAGTCCTTCACTTTTTCATTGCTGAGTGTGAGAATTAACATAAATACTTCACCTGTTATTTTGATAAATTAATTCCATTTCATACCTTTAAGCAGTACGTACTTTCCTCCCTCAGCACTGTGTGTGAGGATCAGATTCACTCTTTATTTAGCCTGGCAATTAAGACTTGATTTTCCTTGATTTACTTTCTCAAATAAACATTTCGGGCAATCAAATGACTTGAAATGATTTTCTCCGTTGTCTATTCACGATTCAAGGACCAGTTTATAGGAGAAAACGGTGATAAAATAAGGAAGAAAGAATGTACACAGCCTTGTTTGATACATCCATCTCGTGCCCAGGCCTCTGACTGTTTCTTAGCGAGGTACAATTATAGTTCGATAACGTTGTAATTTATTACGGTGATCTGTTAAGTTAAATGGTGAGAGGGAGTCATGCTGTACCTTGATAGCGTTTAGTTTTTCTGGCACGTGTTGTAAACTAAGTATCCTTATCGCTGAATGATGGTGAAGCAGCGGAATAAGTGAGTTTTAATCACCACGATTCGCTGGCGATACAAGTGTTTCGCTTGTTATAAAACAACTACAAGTCGAAAACATGAAGAAAGGTCTCTCAAATTATTCGAACTTTAAACCGTTGAGTTCAAACTCCACTTGACTCGCAAAGTTTTTTGTATTGTTCAAAATAATTGCTATTAGGAAGCGTTGTCTAGGAAATTGTCTTTCATTTGCAATTTTTAACATTGCTTGCATTTAATTTTATTTCTCTTTTACTGAATAATAAGCCCGTTTATCTGTTTTACTCTATAAACCAAAACAAAAAGAGCACGAGCGTACATTTTCTTATCGAATATTATACTTGTTGTTGTTTAAAATCTAAAGCTTCTTAGCACATTCTGGCGATCAATTACTTATATGAGTATAGTTTATGAACTGAAATTTCAATAAAACAGTATTTTCCATCGCGTAAAAGAGAAGTAATTAGGTAACACGAGAAAAGCTTCGACGGGCACACCCTTGCTTTTATTCCTTTTTTTTGCGCGCATACTGGAGCGATCAGCTTTAATTGGACTTTGTCTCAGCTCTAGGTCCACATTTTCAGCGCATCAACAGGCTACAAGAAGATTAAGGGATATTTTGTTTTCCTCAAGGATCTACTCAGTGATTCGAGTGATTGTATTGCTCAAGGAAAACGAATAATAAATTATGTTGTCAATAGAAAAATTAAGTTGGGTATGACAAACTATATGTAACAGACCACATCTGACATCTTGGACTTTTAAAGTAAAGAGGTAACAAATACACGGAGTCCTTCCTTTGTCAACGCTAAGTGTGAGAATTAACATAAATACCTTACCTGTTATTTTGATAAACTAATCCCATTTCATACCTTTAAGCAGTACGTACTTTCCTCCCTCAGCACTGTGTGTGAGGATCAGATTCACTCTTTATCGTGTCTTCACCTTTACGTGACAAGAGCTTAGCGTGAGGAAGTAGCAATCGTTTCTATTAGCCCGGCAA